ATATAACTAGCTAGTTTTATCCTTTAATATATTAAAGTAGACTATATATAATAGAGATTTAATATTATTATAGTCTATATCTATATTAAATTTCTAGTATTTAAGAATATATTAGCTATAAATTAAAGGGGTTTTATATACTACTTTATTCTACTTATTTAAAAGTTTAAAGACTCTCTAAAAGAATAATAAACCCTTCTTTTTAAATTAGCTAAATAATAATAATATTATAAAATAAAATAGATAATATTATACTTTATAAATATATAAATAAGCCTTTAGGCACTATATTATAATTCAAACTATATATTTAACTTACTTTAGGTTTAGCCTAACCTACTAACTAACTAATAGCTATTTAGCTATATAACTTATAGACCTTATATATAAGCCCTTCTACTTTAGCTATTAGTTTATTACTTTATATCTTAACTTCTTTTATTATAATAATAATAATAATAATAATAAATTTTTTATTAAGATATATCTAACGCTTTAATATTCTTCTTTTAAGCTACTTCTCTTAGCTATCTACTAGATAATTAGCTCTAAAGCTATTAAATTAGTACCCTATTATACTATTATACTAGTATACTATTAATATTAAGCTTTTTAAAATTATTTATAGAAAACTCTTTACTTATTACTATTATTATTACTATTTAATAAAGCTATTATCTTATTACTTATTATTAACTATATTTATAATATATTATCTAAATAGGCTTAATTTATAGATTTTTAATTACTTTAGGCTTTAGATCTATAGCTATTTAGAGGAAACTTATAAGATACTTATAAATAAATAAATTAGCTTTAATCTATATAAATAGCTTTATTTTATAAACTTTTAAATTATTTAATTACCTTAGAAAATATAAGATAAGCTTTAGAAGCTATTTATAGTTAAAGATAAATTTTATAAGAGTTTTCTTTTTAGCTAAGGTCTTTAAGTCTTTATATCTAGAGCTTACGTTTTAAATACTATACTTAGTAGCTAAAGCTTTTATATTATTATACTTATTAAGAAGTATATTAAATAATATCTTATTAAATAATATCTTAGAGGAAGGATTTAAATATAGTAATAAAGAAGGAAAATAAGAAATAAGCCTCTAGCTTAAGATAATAGCTAGCTTTATAAGCCTACTTAATAATATAATAGAGATATTATTCTAACTAAAGGACCTGAAGGGTATTATAAAGAGGGATTTATAATAGAGATACTATTTTAGCTAAAGGACCTTAAGAGCATTATAAAGAGGGATTTATAACTAAAAAGTTTAATACCTTTATAATAAGTTTAAGTTATTATTATTACTTATTAATAATTAAGCTTATTATTTACTTCCCCCCCTACTTTTTCTATAGCTCTTATAAATAATATATATACCTAAAAACCTTAGTTAGGCTAAATATATTAATATTAATTTAATTATATATTATATCTATTTATTTTATTAAGAGATAGTATAAGTTAAAGTACTACTATTATAAGAAATATATTATAGAACCTTATATTAAGAAACTATTATAAAGCTTATTTAGAGCTAGGTATTAGTTTATCTTTAAATATATAAGTAATATATCTCTTTACCTCTTTAGTTTAGCTATACTTTTATTAATCTAATAGTAATAGCTATAGTCTCTCTACTATTAATAAGATTAACTTTAATATATATATAGTTTAAATCTTTTATATGGTTTATATTATTATATATATAAAAGTTTATACTATAGTTTATAATTATATTATTATAGAGGGTATTACTATTAATATAACTTAAAGTAGTAATATAAAAAGAGGAATTAAAATAGATTAACTTTATATTAATATAAAAGATAGTATAGAAAGATATTTATTTATCCTTTTAATCCTTAGATTAAAAGTATCAATAAGAGGGTTCTTAGCTTTTATTATAATCTCTTTAGTTATATAAATTTATACCTAACTTCTTATTCTTCTATATATTACTTATATTAGTATTTATATTATTAAGCTTCCTCTTAAGATAACTATAAAATAGTATTAATAACTACTTATATTTAGCTTTAATCTTTTTTTTATTATTAAGATTATTAAGATTATATACTTTAAGCTAAATTAATAGGTTTATATAGATATAATCTATAGCTTTTAGTTATTATATTATATTTAGAAACTATATATTTAACTAACTTTAGGTTTAGCCTAGCTAACTTAACTAATTAATAGCTATTTAGTTATATAACTATATATAAGCTCTAGCTTTCTATCTTAGCTACTATTTTATTACTTGATGCTTTAACTTCCCTTATTATAATAATAATAATAAATTCTTTTATTAAGATATCTCTAATACTTTAGATCTCTTTCTTAATATTACTCCTTTCTATTATTTACTAACTAATTAACTCTTTTAACTATATAGCTATTAAGCTAATATATTATTATTAATTAAACTTTTTAAAAGACTATTAGCTTACTTTTAGTATTTAAGACTATTATAGTTCTATTACTTACTATTGGTAATATTATTAATATATTATAATTTAGATCTATAATACTTATAACTTAACTTTAGGCTTAAGATCTTTAGCTATTTAGAGGAAACCTATAAGATACTTATAAATTAATAGATTACTATTAATATTTACAATAAATATTTTAATAATATTAAGATCTTTATTCTTAAGCCTATTAAGAGTAAATATAATAATACTTTTATCTTTAAGGTCTAGAGCTAATAATATAGTCTTATAAGTAAAGAGAGCTAAAGTAACTTTTATATTAAAGTCTAAGTTATTATATTTATAGCTATTAATACCCTAAATATTATAAATATATATTAATTCTTTAATATTATTATTATTAAGCTTATTATATAGTATATTAAATTAAATAATACTTATTTCAAAAAAAAGATTTAAATATAGTAATAAATAAAGAAAATAAAGAATAAGCTTTTAGTTTAAAATAGCTAGCTTTTTATACCTACTTAATAATATAATAGAGATACTTTATTAGCTACTCTTTTAGCTAAAGGATTATAAAGGTATTATAAAAAGGGACTTATAACTAAAAGGTTTAATATTATTATAATAGATTTAAGCTATTATTACTACTTATTAGTAATAAGGCTTATTACTCCCCTTTTTCTTATAGCTCTTATAAACTTATATATATCTAAAGACCTTAACTAGGTTAAGCTTATTAGTTAATATTAGTTTAACTTTTATTTATATCTATTTATTATATTAAGAGATAGTATAAGCTAAAGTACTAAAATTATATTAAAGAACTAAAAAACTTATATTAATAAACTACTATATAAAGCTCCCTTAAAGCTAGGTAATATTTCTATTTTATAGATATAATCTATAGTAAAGTAAAACTTATTAATATAAATAGGATATTTTAATATATTATTATTATCTTTCTCTATCCCTTTAAGTAAGAGTATAATTATTATATTTTTATTATCCCCTTATTAAATAGTATAATTAATACCTTTAGATATAATAAAAAGAGGTTTTAATACTATTAGCTAATTTAAATAAAATATATAAACTTATTATTAAAACTTATTAGCTACTTTTATATCTATAGATTTTTCTTTTATTACTATTTTAGTCAGCTCTATTTTATAGCTATCCTCTAAAAATAATATTAAGATATTATTAAAATATTTAAATAAGATACCTTTAATAGTATATAAAAACTCTAAGACTTATATAAATAGATCTATAAGTATTAAAACTTTAATAGATATTATATCTATTATAATCTCTTTATAAGTTAATAGCTATTAGTTTAGTTAAAACCTCTTAATAGAGTAGAAATAAGTTTAATATTATTAATAAATATATCTCTATTATATAAAGTTATTTAGTTTAATATTATTTTTAATCTCTTTTAATATAGTATAAATATTACTATACTTAAGGATCTTTTAATAATATAATAATAAAATAGATTTTATAATCTCTTTAGCTATAGCTTATATATTAACTTTATTATCTTTTTACTCTTAGAGAGTATCTTAATATTATATCTTTATAAGAGATATCTTATTATTAAAGTTAATATTAGCTATATTAAAATATTAAATTATAAGCTTTTTATTAATATTAATTATATTTAGATTAATATATCTCTTAACTTTATATAGTTTAGTAACTATTATAATTTAAATATATTATTTATTATAGTTACTAAGGCTTTATAGAGTTAATTTATTATTTATATTAATATTAAAACCTATATTAATTATTTAAATATAAAATTAATAAATTATTTTCTTATTTTAATTAAAAAAATACTTTAAAGTATCTATTTTAATAATATTTTATATTTATATTAAGATCTTAATAATTTTAAGATATATAAGAGATCTTTTTATTTTAATATAGAGCTTTTATTTATTTTAATATATAAAGTTACTAGTTATTTATTTAATATAAATAATATTAAATATAATAAGGAATATTTAAATAATCTTTATTATTCCTATTATTTTATACTATTTATAATTACTAATTATATTACTTAGCTAAATTAAATATTAAAGCTATAATAAGCTCTACTATATTAGATCTATTGATTAATAGCTTAAATAATATATTAAATAATATATATAATAAAAGTCTATTACTAGAAATTACTTAAGCTTATAACTATTAAGTAATAATTATAACTAGTAATATAGTATATTAAATATATTAATTAATATATAACTAGCTAAAATTAGCTAAGTTAGCCTAAATACCTAAAAAAAGGAGGGTATATATACCTAATATAAATAAGCTATATTTAGGTGGGAATCTATAAGTAGATTTATTAAGTTAATGCTTATACTGGTTAAGCGGTGTAGGGTCTGACACGACGCGGGTCTAGTCGCGCTTTCTTGAGATCAACAAGGTCAGGGCTCTTTCTTCCCCCCTCCATCCTCATCCGCCACTCTCCTCCTGCCCTTCAACAACCTATTGAGTCGTCGGAAGATTGCAACGCACTCTGCAGGTTGCACAGCCGCCAATCGTGGTTCAAAATGTATGAACTTCAGACGAACTCATCATCCAAACATCAATCACTAACTCTAGTCGCAGGACTGCCGACGTCGCCGCCACCCCGGGCGCCAACAAGGAGAACGTCCCGTCTAAGAGATATGGCACTCCCCAGTCTGCCGACAAACTTCACAAGCCGTTCAAGTGTCCCGGATCCGCAACGCGAACCGTATCGACCGATCGCCCTGCGCGAAAGAAGAGAAAGGTCGATTATAAGGGCGCGGATGGCGCAGTTGACGCGGATAAGCCATGGACCAATGCCGACAGACTCGCCCTCGCCAATCGAGACGCGAACAAATTCCCAGTCTTTCAGGTGAAGGATAAATCAACAATCTTCCGCAAGGCATTCTCGATACCTCTTATCAACAAAGACTCTGCCGCCTTCAATCCGAATCGTCCGCCACCAACCCTCGGTTTACGCACGGGTGCCGTTTTCATCGCGAAGCCGCTGCACGACCCCAGTGGCGAATTTTCGATTGTGCTCTATGATCCGACCGTGGACGACAAGCCAAAAGTGCCCGAGAAGAAGGAGGAGAAGAAAGAGGTCGAGGCCGAGAAGATTGATGCACCTCTTGTCCACAAGAGCTTGGCGGAGATTCTCGGGATCAAGAAGAAGGTTGAGGGAGAGCATCCCAGGGTTCCAGTTGTCATCGACCCGAGACTGGCCAAGGTACTAAGACCTCATCAAGTCGAAGGTGTCAAGTTCATGTACAGATGCGTCACTGGTATGATCGAGGAGAAAGCCAACGGCTGCATCATGGCAGATGAAATGGGTCTTGGCAAGACGCTCCAGTGCATCACGCTTCTGTGGACTCTTTTGAAGCAGTCACCGGATGCAGGAAAGCCTACTATTCAGAAGGCCATTGTCGCATGCCCATCCAGTTTGGTACGCAATTGGGCCAACGAGCTGGTGAAGTGGCTGGGAGCCGATGCCATCACCCCTTTTGCAATCGATGGCAAGGCCTCAAAGGAAGAGTTGACACGGCAGCTGCGCCAGTGGGCCATTGCCAGCGGCAGATCAGTCACACGACCGGTCATTATTGTCTCTTACGAGACCCTTCGCCTCAATGTCGAGGAGTTGAAGCACACCAAGATTGGCCTGATGCTCTGCGACGAGGGCCACAGACTCAAGAACGGCGACAGTCAGACATTTAGTGCTCTCAACAACCTCAATGTCACCCGGAGAGTGATTTTGTCCGGCACACCTATTCAGAACGATTTGTCCGAGTACTTTGCACTGATCAGTTTTGCCAACCCTGATCTTCTTGGCACCCGCCTAGAGTTTCGCAAGAGATTTGAGCTTCCCATCCTGCGAGGCCGAGATGCTGATGCGGGCGAGGCCGAGAGGAAGAAGGGCGATGAGTGCTTGTCTGAGCTACTTGGCATCGTCAACAAGTTCATCATTCGCCGCACCAACGATATTCTGTCCAAGTACCTCCCCGTCAAGTACGAGCATGTCGTATTCTGCAACCTGGCGCCCTTCCAACTCGACTTATACAACTACTTCATCAAGAGTCCGGACATTCAGGCTCTTCTCCGTGGCAAGGGGAGCCAGCCACTCAAGGCCATCAACATCCTCAAGAAGCTTTGCAACCATCCTGACCTGCTCAACCTCACAGATGATCTTCCGGGATCGGAAAGCTGCTTCCCCGAAGACTACGTCCCCAAAGATGCTCGCGGCCGTGACAGGGACATCAAGCCGTGGTACTCGGGCAAAATGCAGGTCCTTGATCGCATGCTGGCCCGCATTCGCCAGGACACAAATGACAAGATCGTGCTCATCAGCAATTACACACAAACTCTCGACCTGTTTGAGAAGCTGTGCCGTTCACGACAATATGGCTGTCTTCGCCTTGATGGTACCATGAACGTCAACAAGCGTCAAAAGCTCGTCGACAAGTTCAACAACCCCGATGGAGAAGAGTTCGTCTTTCTCCTGAGTTCCAAGGCCGGTGGTTGCGGTCTCAACCTCATCGGTGCCAACCGTCTGGTTCTCTTCGACCCCGACTGGAACCCCGCAGCCGACCAGCAGGCCCTTGCCCGTGTGTGGCGTGACGGACAAAAGAAGGACTGCTTTGTGTACCGCTTCATCGCTACTGGCACCATCGAGGAGAAAATCTTCCAACGTCAGTCTCACAAGCAATCGCTGTCTTCATGCGTCGTCGATTCTGCCGAGGACGTCGAGCGACACTTCTCATTGGACAGTCTGCGTGAGCTGTTCCAGTACAGACCCGGCACGAAGTCTGACACGCACGACACGTTCAAGTGCAAGCGGTGCAAGCCCGATGGCAGGCAATATATGAAGTCGGCTGCCATGCTGTACGGCGACACAAGCACGTGGAACCACTTTGTCAATGAAGGATTGAAACCGATTCAGGACTTGCTGCTTCGGCAGGAGTGTGGCGAGCCTGAGGTGTCGGCGGTTTTCCAGTACATTTCACATTAGACGGGTACGATGCATGATTATGAAAGGGCGCTCTGGGTCCGGACCGGTAGATGTGTATGGAGTCAAGGCTTTTCGGTGAGGTTTGCGACGGTGTTTGGTGCGGGTTTCGTACTTTTGCTGTTGACGTCAACGAACTTGGGCGCGTTCAAATAGATCATTTCACACTGCACATTGCACGACGTAGATGTTACTTGTTTGCTCAAATCAAGACAATCAATCTTTGTTATGCAGAACCGGGTCGTTTCTAATGCTGTGTGTGCTTGGTATAAGTCAAAATGTCTCCCACCCTCTACAGCTCGTCTATTACGTGCGTCTTTTCGGCAGGCGGCTCCTCCCAGTTCCGACTCTTCGTGTTCTTCTCCTCGACCGTCTTCTCGCCCTCGCTCTTGATATCTTCCTTCTTGGGCGCTTCGGCCGGCAGACCCTTACGCTTGCGGTCGAGCACGGCAATCTCGTCATCGTACACAGTCCACTCCGGAACCTGGCGGCGCGCGCGGTCGAGCTTGGGCTCCTTGGTCTGCGGGTTGTTGCACAAATCAATCGTCTTGGCCTCGCGCTGGCTCTCGTCCGAACACCAAGTCTCGCACCACAACCACTCCTGGGGTAGGCTGTGGATGGGAATCTGGAACTGCATGTGGTTCGGCAGGTCTTGGTCCAGGTTGGCCAGGGAGTTGGGGTCGGCGCTGAGCGAGTGGTAGGTCTGGCGCAGTCGGTCCCCGGCGGCGAGCTCGCGGAAGCGACGGAGGTCGACGACGTAGAGGGCCGAAATGTGGTAGGGTTGGCCACGGAGGTAGTTAGCCCAGTAGCCCTGCTTCCAGAATCGGAAGCCCTCCATCTCGGTGCGGGAGTCGCACATGGGCGTGAAGCCGTAGGGCTTGCCCTCAAGGTCGTGGTTGACGAGGTTGATCATGTCTGTGCGGACGATCTGGTCGGCGTCGACGAAGATGACCTTGTCGAGAGAGAGGGGGAAGAGGACGTCGAGGAAGAGGATTTTGTAGCCCCAGATTTCGCGCTGTTTCTCCTTCTGTTGGCGGAGCCAGTGCGGCCACTTGAAGGTCACCATCTCATACTTGAAGCCATACTCCTTGGCCATGTGGGGAATGAAGTCCTTGAAGGACGGGGAGAGGAATTGCTCGATGAACCAGAACTTGACGGTGTGCTTCGTGTTCTTCATGACGCTGACCATCATAATGTTGAGCATGCGCTCGTAGAGATGGCCACTGGCGACGGAGAAGATGTTGATTTCGGCGTGTTCCTCGTCTGAGACAGACTTGGTCTTCTTGCCGAGGATGCCCTCGGCGAACTTAAGGCCGCGACCGACAATGCTGTTGTCTTCGGGTGACTCAGCGAGGACGTCGGCCTCCTCTTGGCCTGGCTTACGCGACAAGCGCGGGTAAAGAGTTGTCCCCTGGAAGTCCATCAACACCACCTCAGTGCCTTCGTCGCCTGGCACAGGTGTCCATCCCTTGGCGCCGATGGAATCGATGGTGTAGATTTCAGAGCTTTTTCCTTGCTTAAGTTGAATGTTGTAGAAGCCTGGATTGGCCTTGAACTGGAAGTAGCCAAGGTTCGCCATGACAATAGTGTCGGCGAAATGAGGTTCTTTCTCAGTGCCCAGCACAAGCTGCGCACCGCGTGGGGGTTGCGTGGCTCCACCCTCACGAGAATGGCCTTCAATGAGAATACTCTCCAGCTCGTAAGAAGCGTAAACATTTGTCTTGACAGAGCTCAGCTTGATGTTGTCAGGATCGTGCACGGAGATCTTGGGCGCCACTAGCCATGAAGGAGGGACATCCATGCCAGCGTTGAGAAGCGCTTCAGAAGGCAAGTTCTTGAAAGAGGCCTCGAGAGCTCGCACCTTGCCAGCCTGATCAAAGGTGGGCTCGGACTCAAGAACGTATCGGAAGAATCTCTTCACTGGCAGCTCGTCAATCTTATCTTTTGGGTTGAGGAAGAGCTTCAGGTAAACGCCTTCAAGTTCGGAAACGACCTTCAGAATCGGGGCCCATCGCTGAGCCTGTTCACTGGCAGGATTCAAAAGACCAACCAACTGAATGCTGGAAGCTTCTGGGTCGCCGATCTCAATCGCCGTATAGGTTGAGTTCCAAGTGTCGTAGGCACTGACTCGCATTGAAGGCGCGGATTCGAAGATACCCTCGGGCAGGTCAGACATGGTGGAAAGAGCCGTAACAGACGTGATCTTGGCCGCTGCGACAGGTCCGGAGATCTTGTCACTCAAGCCAAGCTCATCAACGGCTGCATACACAGGCAGGATACGAGCCTTCTGTTCGAAGTCGAGGAGGTACTGGAAGTCGTCGGCCTCGAAAGGCTCGTCGGCGGTGAAGGGTCCGACTACTCGTCCGTTCAGAATGAGTACATTCGATCCGGGCTTGATGGCAGCGAAAGATAGGAAATCGTTCAATGCTGCGGTGTGCATTGCATCGGTGTCGCTACCAGCTTTCTCGACAATCGCCTTGATGTCAGCCGGAGTCTCGACCTTGATAGGCTTGTCATTGTTCTTCAATGCAGTGTTCACTGCAGCAGCCGTAGCAGAGCTTTCAGGGTTATGGAGGATGTCGAGGCGAATGCCAGGGTTGTTCCGGCGGAAGTCCAGTGCAGAGAGAAGAAGCTCAGCTCCAGCGTCGGTGGTAACGTCAGTAACAACCGTCAAAACTGCCCAATTCTCCTTGGTAGAGTCGGCGTATGCCTCAATGACTGGAACCTTGCTGAAGAGATCGTCATGATCGGTATAAATCTTGTTGACATCCAAGATCTTGAGAGACTTGTCGTCCTCGGGGTAGATGTACGTGTTGCGTCTCTTAACGGCCTTCTCAATAAAAAAGTCCGGAACCCACATCTCGTCGTCAATCATGCCCATGTAGACAGCGCGCTGAATCGTTTGCAAATCATTTGCGGCCTTCACGCTCATCGCCTGTAGCCAGTTGTTCTCTCTCGGGACTGGAACGCCATCGATGAACACTGGGGGGACGGGAGTGTTGGCGTTGAGTCTCTTGACCCAGTGCTGAGCGAGTTTAATCACCTGTTGAGCTCCTTCAGACTGCAACACGTCGTCAAAAGTAACAGCCGTGGCTTCAGGCAGCAGTTCACGATCCTTGATAGCCTTTTCGAAGACAGTTGCATCGGCCTTGTCGGTCTTGGAATCTTGCAAAGCAATGTCCAAGTAGTCGACGAACGCGTCCATACCGTAGCTGTCAAGGAGGTAGTAGAGGATCTTGGCGATGCCGGTGGCCTCCTCTGTAGGAGTCAAGGGGACCAGACCGAATCGGAGGGGAAGTTTTCGCTTCACAAAGGAATTGAGCTGGGCGACGACACTTAGGTCATCGACCTTGGAGAAGTCGACGGGGACGATGAGATTGAAGATATCTCGGCGGACGGGAGGAAGCTGGCCAGGATAGACGCGTTGGAGGAGCTAGCAATAAGTTAAAACGGAACAACTCGGGAAGTGGGAATAGTCTCAGCTTACCGACATGAGGTCCGTAGGGAAGTTCTCATACTGCTCATCCTTCTCAAGATCATTGAGAAAGATGATAACCTTACCCTCTTCAATGTCATCCGTCCAGTCAAACCGTGGAGGCTCGTCTTCTGCCTTGGACTCGGCAACCTTAGGATGGCCCAAAAGGGCCACGGCCTGGCCACCGGTGAATCCAAGGTCGCGAACGCCATCAATGAGCTTGCGTTCGCGGCGGAGAAGGTCGATCAGAGTAAAAGCCTCGATTTGACGTTCAATGAGCTGAACGCCGTTCATCCAAAGCACATTCATGCCGCTCGGGACGAGTTGTTGACGGTTTTGTTGGTGCTCGGCGAGAAACTTGTCCGAAACGTTATGCGCAGCAATCGACGCTGAAAACTTGGGGAAATCCTGCGTGAGCTTGAGCAAAGCATCGAAGGGCTTCTGATTCTGCATGACGAACGAAGCTGCCTTCAAGCCGAGTTGCTCAAGCTCCGACTTTGCCAGAGGCTTCAGGTCTGCCACATCCTCCTCGGCGTCCAAGACCTCCTCTGAGGTGATCTTCTTTTCGGAGTCGTCCGCATGAGCCTCGCGATCGTCAATCACGATGTAATCAGTCCTCTTCAATGCCAGCTCCACGCCATAACCACTGACAGGTAGCGGATCGTTGTAGCTACCCGGCGGCTTGGTGTAGCGCACTCTGTATTCGATCTCGCCGTTGCGGGCCTTCTGCGCTAGCGCACTGTGGAATGCGCCAAATGCGGACGAGGTCGGATCCGCGTAGAGGACGGCTGGATTGCCTGAACCCAGAGTCCGATCGAAGGGCAGAGCCTTCGCCTCTGTCAGTTTCGTGTCCTGCGGGCTGTCTAAGGATGGGGTGCAGTATTGCTTTCCTCCCAATTCAGCCCACACTTGGCATGCGTCCTGGGCATCGGGCTCGATCTTCGGTTCGACAGCAGTTTGATAGTATTGATAGTGAGCCTCGACTCGCGGGGCGGCTGTTCTCAAGGAAAGAGCCAACTTGAATGTCGAGAGGGCATCGGGCGTTTTGATGTGTCCGTCATCGCGGAGGAGTTGAAGGAACTTGTCGTACACTTCCTTGTCGGTCTTGGAGTCGCCGAAATGCCCGCTGGCAATACGGTCGAGTAGAGGGAAGTATGACGTTGCGTTCTCACTTGCGGCAGTCTCTCTGGGAAATCGAGGTCAGCTCACTCACGATGCCACCAACAATGGGACTTGCGCAGCCTACAGCAACTCGAGAAGGTAAGGGCCCGACGGGAACGCTGCCTTCATATCCACAGTGACGGAAGGAACTGCCGCAACGTTGACGGCGGCCAGCAACGTCAGGGCAAGGCCCATTGGCAGCTGGGACGGGCGCACCATTGCGTAGGAGAAATTGCGACGGCCTGCGCGGGCTGTCCTCCGGAATGGTACTTGCGTTCAGTTGGTGGCTGTGGAAGGATGTAGTTGCTCCCGGTGGGAGATAATTAGCTCGGTGTCGCTTTCGAATTTCTTGGAGACAGGTAAACAAGGCTAGGCCGCCTGATTATTTAGCTATCTGCTCCGGTCGCATGGCACTTGTTGCGAGAATGTTTGGAGGGGTTCCAGAAATATGTCCGCCTAGGCCCAAGGAGGTAGTGCAATGTTCCAGGTGTAAGTGAAGCCCGCCTTCTGAACACATTGACAAAAGAGCTCTCCCAAAGCAGACTAGCGCCACGGTCGCCAGGGGTCGTAGGTCCACCCGAAAATGTGGCAGAAAACCGGCCTTACTGGAGGGGCAATGACAGGCGGCTCTTTTGGACACCTCTAGCTTTTTGGCAGGGGCGGCCACTGCCCGGTCCACGGGTCGGGTCGGGTGTCCAGTGTCCGGGCGGTGAGATGCCGGAGGACGGCGGAACTCTCTTGCGACAGCTCCTGTCAATCGGCGCCATTCGGGACCCACCTTAAACCCACACTTTACAGATGGCCACGAAGCGGAATTGTTACTAGGGGCCTGAGACGAGGAAGTGGCCTTTACGTATCTTGTCTACATCTGCGTGTCCAACCACTTCTCACCGCGCCTCAACCTACTCTTCGTGACCCGTGAATGTCACTATCTCCCCCCGACTCCAGCTGTACCTGATTCTGGTCGGTAAGCTGGCCTGCACCTGAATATTTCCCTCTGAGGTGCCGCCTGTTTCTCTAGTTGCTTGCTAGAAGCTCCAGCTTCACCTCCCCGCCAAAAATGCAGGCCTCCTCGGGCATGTTGACCAAGGTATGTCGGCAGCTGGCGCATTGGGTCGAGATCCCACTACGCATAGACTCGATTGCTCACAATCATTGCAGTTCGAGTCGAAGTCTTCGCGCGCGAAGGGCATTGCCTTCCACCCCAAGAGGTGAGCTAGCTATTCACTCTCCCCCAACTTCCTACCACGAGACGGCCCCCTTGCTGACGTATAGCTTCCAGACCATGGATCCTCGTCGCCCTCCACTCATCCACCATCCAGCTTTGGGATTACCGCATGGGAACTCTGATCGATCGATTCGAAGAACACGACGGACCGGTTCGAGGAATTGACTTCCACAAGACGCAGCCCCTCTTCGTGTCGGGAGGCGACGACTACAAGATCAAGGTTTGGTCCTACCAGACCCGGCGATGTCTGTTCACCTTGAACGGCCATCTCGACTACGTCCGAACCGTCTTCTTCCATCACGAGCTGCCATGGATCTTGTCGGCTTCCGACGACCAGACCATCAGGATATGGAACTGGCAAAATCGCTCTCTGAGTGCGCACAACCCCTGGGATACCTTGGTCGCGATGCAATGGCTGACTTACCGTGACTTGTAGTCTGCACAATGACAGGACACAACCACTACGCAATGTGCGCCCAGTTCCACCCCAAGGATGACCTCGTCGTCTCCGCCTCCCTCGACCAGTCCGTCCGAGTCTGGGACATTTCCGGCCTGCGCAAAAAGCACTCGGCACCGACATCGATGACTTTCGAAGACCAGGTCGCCCGGGCGAACCAGAACCAGACCGATATGTTTGGCAACACCGATGCGGTTGTCAAGTTCGTTTTGGAGGGACACGACCGCGGTGTCAACTGGGTTGCTTTCCACCCAACCATGCCCCTCATCGTGTCTGCCGGCGACGACCGCCTCGTCAAGTTGTGGCGCATGAGTGAAACGAAGGCCTGGGAGGTAGACACATGCAGAGGGCATTTCCAGAACGCCTCGGGCTGCTTGTTCCATCCTCACCAGGACTTGATCCTTTCCGTTGGCGAAGATAAGACGATCCGAGTCTGGGACCTCAACAAGCGCACCGCAGTCCAGTCCTTCAAGCGCGAGAACGACCGATTCTGGGTCATTGCTGCCCACCCCGAGATCAATCTGTTTGCCGCTGGTCATGACAACGGTGTCATGGTCTTCAAGCTTGAGAGAGAGCGCCCTGCATCTTCAGTTTACCAAAACAACCTTTTCTACATCACCAAGGAGAAGCATGTCAGGTCTTACGACTTCCAGAAGAATATCGAGAGCCCGACCCTCCTGTCGCTGAAGAAGCTCGGCAGCCCGTGGACTCCTCCCAGAACTCTCTCCTACAACCCGGCTGAGCGCTCTGTCTTGGTTACTTCACCCTCCGACAGCGGCTCCTATGAATTGATTAACCTTCCCCGTGACGGATCTGGTGCGATCGAACCTACCGAGTCCAAGCGCGGCCAGGGTAACTCCGCCATCTTCGTCGCGCGCAACCGCTTCGCGGTTCTGAACACCTCCGGCCAAACGATCGACATCAAGGACTTGTCCAACAACACCACCCGATCTTTCAAGCCCCCTATTGGAACTAGCGACATCTACTTTGGTGGCACTGGCAACCTGCTCATCATCACACCGACTGCTGTCCACCTTTACGACATTCAGCAGAAGAAGAGCGTTGCTGAGTTAGCTGTCAACGGTGTCAAGTATGTTGTTTGGTCAAATGATGGCTTGTACGCTGCGCTACTGAGCAAGCACAACGTCACAATCGTCACCAAGACTCTGGAGCAAGTCAGCACTCTCCACGAGACGATCCGTATCAAGAGCGCAACCTGGGATGATGCTGGTGTCCTCTTGTACTCGACTCTGAACCACATCAAGTACACTCTTCTCAACGGTGACAATGGTATTGTCCGCACCCTTGATCAGACTGTTTACTTGGTTCGTGTTAAGGGCCGCAATGTGTACTGCCTCGACAGAGCTGCCAAACCCAAGGTTCTGCACGTCGACCCCACCGAGTATCGCTTCAAGCTTGCCCTTGTTAAGAGGAACTACGAGGAGATGCTTCACATTATCCAAAACTCCAGTCTCGTCGGCCAGTCCATCATTTCTTACCTCCAGAAGAAGGGCTACCCCGAAATTGCCCTGCAGTTCGTTCAGGACCCGACTACCCGGTTCGAGCTTGCGATTGAGTGTGGCAACCTAGATGTTGCTGTTGAAATGGCTAAGGAGCTTGACCGCCCTAAGCTATGGCAGAGATTGAGCTCCGAGGCGCTGGCCCACGGCAACCATCAGGTTGTCGAAATGGCTTACCAAAAGCTCAAGCAGTTTGACAAGCTCTCGTTCCTCTACCTGTCTACCGGTGATCACTCTAAGCTCGCCCGCATGGCCAAGATTGCTGAGCACCGTGGCGACTTCACTGCCCGGTTCCAGAACGCTCTTTTCCTCGGCGAGGTTGAGGACAGAATCCAGATGTTCAAGGAGATTGACCTCTGTAAGCCAATTCGAATACGAAAACGTTCAACTCGCTAACTTGTGACAGACCCTCTGGCGTACATGACCGCCAAGTCCCACGGCATGGACGAGGAATGCCAAGCCATTCTGGAGGCTACCGGTCTTACCGAGGACCAGTTGGAGACTCCTACTATCGGAGAAGCCCTGACTCCTCCCAAGCCTGTTGTTCCCACTTTCAAGGCAAACTGGCCTACAAAGGCGACGTCAGTGTCCGTCTTCGAGAAGGCTCTCCTCGGCCAGGTCGAAGGTCTGTCGTTGGAGGACCAGCCTACAGCGGCTAACGGATTCGACGATACTGTCGAGGACGACGCGGCGAAGAAGAACGGCAACCTCATCGATGCCGAGGACGACGATGATGCTGCTGGCTGGGATCTGGGCGAGGACATTGTCCCGGAGGTTGACAGTGACTTCGTCAACGTAGACAGCGCGGAGGCCGGCGGCGCTGGAAGCAGCGAGGCTGACCTCTGGGCTCGTAACTCTCCTCTGGCTGTGGACCATGTTGCCGGTGGCTCATTCGAATCGGCCATGCAGCTTCTCAACAGGCAAGTGGGTGCGGTCAACTTTGCGCCACTTAAGCCTCGCTTCCTTGAGGTCTACCAGGCATCAAGGACATATCTGCCAGCTTCTGCGGGTCTTCCTCCGTTGATCAACTACGTGCGACGCACTGTCGAGGAAACAGATCCGAGAAAGGTGCTGCCGATTGTGCCCCGCGATCTCGAATTCCTCGCCACCAACGATCTTCAACAGGGTTACAACTCCATGAAGACCAACAAGCTTGAAGATGGCCTAAACGTCTTCAAGGGCATCCTCCACGCCATTCTCATTAACGCTGTGTCCAGCGAGAGCGAAGTTGCCGAGGCGAAAAAGCTCATCACGTCTGCCAGCGAATATGCAGTCGCTATGGAAATCGAGCTCAGCCGCCGCCAGCTTGGCACCAGCGCCGACCAACTCAAGCGCAGCCTGGAGCTGTCCGCCTACTTTACCATTCCTAAGATTGAAGTTCCTCACCGTCAACTTGCCCTCCACAACGCGATGCAGCTGGCCATCAGGAACAAGAACTACAACTCGGCGCTGAGCTTCGCCAACCGCATTATCGCGAACGGCGGCTCTAGCAAGCTGACCGAGAACGTAAGTGGCAACCGAATTCCCATCCCTTGAGCATCTTGAACTAACTATTTCATAGGCCAAAAAGGCAAAGGCACAGTGCGAGCGCAACCCGTCGGATGCGATCAACATCGAGTTCGACCAGTTCGCCGAGTTTGAGATTTGCGCAGCAAGCCACACACCCATCTACAGCGGCACTGCGTACGAAGAATGTGCCTTTGACGGTTCCAAGTACCACAGCAAGTACAAGGGGACCGTTTGCAAGGTGTGCGAGGTGTGCGAGGTTGGCAAGCACGGCAGCGGCTTGAAGCTCTTCGCGTAAGAGAGTACTATAATGGGTTTCAACCAGTGATGAAAAGCTGCCGGAGACGCAGTTTTCTCGGCCAGAAGTGGGCGGTCTTGGGAAAAGTTACTGTAGACAGGGCCGAAGGTCTGAATGAAGTCCCAGACTTTTGATTGTTAGCAATAGTTTGCGGGAGACGAATATATGTCATCTTTTGATCATGATGCTTCTTTTAACTCCAGGGTGCTGCGCATTTTCCCGAACCTTTCGTCTATTTCATCACATCTATGACGTCGATAGCAGTATGTTTAATGAGCACTGCGTACTCCAGATATCACCAGTGTTTATCGCATGTGCCATTGCTGCGGAGACCGTCAAACGCCAAAGCCTGGATTCCAATGTCCATGCCCCCAATTTCATGGTCTATCGCGTGATATTAGTAGTACAACTGAAAACAACCACCCTCTTCTCAGCCACGATCGTCTTTTACACAATGGTCTCGAGTTCTCTGGCGTAGCCCAACGTGTTCTCTATCACCATCTTGCTCATCTCCTTCTCTTGGGTGCCATCCTCGGCGGCGGCCTCAGCGGTATCGGGGAAGAGGATCTGGCCGTCCTTCAGGATCCAGCCGCGCTGCTGGGCAAACGAAATGACATCGCCTTCGGAGTCGAGGAAGAGGAGGGACTTTGCGGAGCTGATGGGCAGACTCGGGTAGGCACGCTCGCTGCTGGAGGCGATTTCGGAGCGGATCTGGAAGGTAAGAATCTGTGGTGTCTGTCAGCGCGTGTCCCTGCCACAATGTGAAGGAAGAAGAATATCGGGTCCAGCGTACCTCTGAGAAGACGCCGTACTCCTCGCAGGGCACGTCACGGCTCTTCATGGCGTTCCACACACGGTCGTAGCTCCCCTCCATCAACCATCTCTCCAAACGAATGGGGTAACCCAGGTATCTGTCGCCCTCGACGGCGCCGCTATCGCCGCCGCCCTCGCGGTTGGCCAGGCTCTCGAGCTCGGAGTGGAACTCGGCGTAGCGGCCCTGGGTAAGCAGGAGCAGCAGGTACAGGCCGGTAACCTTGTTGCGCTCGGGGACGTTGGGTGGAAGGACATTCGAGGGCAGCTCGTAGAAGGGCTGGAGCTGCTGGACGTAGCGTGTGAAGGCGTCCGGGTTCTTGGCGCGGATGGAGGCAAGGGCGCCGAGTTCGTACGTCTCGCGGGCGAGGGCGAGGAGGTCGGCGGAGGTTGTGGAGGAAGGGGTAAGGGCGTTGAGCTGAAGAAGGTGCAGCTTGGCTTTGGAGAGGTGGGCGGCGGAGTCGTTGTAGGAGAGGGAGGAGCCCTTTTGGCGGAGAGTGGTGAGAATCTGTTGGAGGCTGCGGTCGGCCATTGTGGCGGGGTGCGCTGTTGCAGAGGGGACTAGGGATCTTGGTTCCGTCGATTGGATTTAGGGAGGTATATTTGCACTTGTTAGAGACGGATGTATCGCTGGGGGTTGTTGTGGACGTGGTTTGCTGGCGTTGGTTGTGATGGTGATGTTGTGTCCGGATGCTCTGGGTGTTGTATTGATTGCTTGCGGTGGTGTTTGGTTGCTGCGTTTGGCTGCTAGGCTGAGAGGCTGACGAAAGGTGCCGTCAAGCTGGGAGGAGCCGTGCTGGGGTCTGTCGAGGTGGTGCTAGCCGCTTTCGGATACCACCGGGGAAGCTCTGAGGTGGCCGTGAAGTAGTCGATCACGTGCTACGGAGTAAAACTCTCCGTCATCCGACTAGCTGGGCTCCCGTCGGTAGGTGGATATCGGTCAGCCTCGGTCAATTGTCACCCTTGCCAAGTTAGATCTCGGTGAGGGGTCTCACAGTCAGATTTGCAGTTCCCCAGCTTCCACGTCCAAAATGATTCGACTAAGCCCATTCAAGCGAAGCATTCTTTACTTACGCTACTGATGCAACGCGCTTCACACTTGTGGATAGCTCGAAGTGAAGGTCACGCGATTCCGAATGGCCGCCTTTCAACCAGAGCCCGCGATCGGCAGCGATATAAGGCCAATTCTCGCACCAATGCCCCGTGACCAGCTCCAAGCGCAATCGGTCAACAGGTTCGACGGCGTAGACCGGCGGCTAGTTGGTATGGAAACTACTCAGCCTTATGACTCGGTCCCTACTTGAACCACTATGCAGCATGGGAAGTCGATCATGGTTGTTGCAAGCGTACTGGACACCTAGGCAGGTACTTTGCTCGTACATAAACAATTGAAAGTCACTTGGCCGCGGAAGTGTCGGATTCCGTGCTGGAAGTTTTAGGTGCTGACAGGAATGTCGCCGTCCACACAATTGGGTAAACTCCAAGCTGTGTTGATCTGCCGCAGCACCACCGGCCCACGAATCCGATGGCGAAGCAAGCCGTGGTATTCTTGACGGCTTTGGAATGTAGTTGGTCGCGCGCGGCAGAGCGGCGGCTGCTTGACGAGCCGGGAACGTTGGGATTTTGACGCGGTGTTTCAAGTTACCTGCCCCTTTGAGGCGATTACGCATGAGCGCCCGCGATGCGCCTCGTGGACTGTCAGGCTTATGTGGTGGCTAGTGCTACAGGGCACAGCCTGGGAGGGGGAAGACGATTTCGGCTGGCAGGAGAGATGGGATGATTGCCGTGGGCCTCCATTGAGACGTGGAGTTCAGGGGGGCTGGGATGACTGGTGGAAGGTCATGGAAGACGACTTTGTTGTTGTGCGGCTTCTGAGGACGATGTTTCATCTGGTCTGGCCACGAGTTGATGATATGCGGTTACATCCAGTTGCGGAATGTCATCTGTGCAAGATATTGCAGGGTATAACCAGATCGACCCAGGATGCAGCTATTCAAGCCCCTGAGCAGTCATAAATTTGCAGTTCCAATGATGACTAGGCTGACGCTTCCTAGCACATCTTGCGCGATTACAAGAAGCTCGAGATTCTCCTCGGCTGGGAGCCAACGGGGCCAGTTGCGGGATTGAATGTCACCTTCAAAAAGTCTTGATTTCCAAACATAGAAACATAGTCTCGATGTTGTGGCTGAGCAGAGGCGCACAATGGGAGGACCAGGGCCAGGTACCTGGCCTGTACCCAAGCACCCGCCTATCGGGAAATGGTTCACCTGGACTGGCCATGAACATATCAGAATCAAAGTGCAAAGATGCATGAGTGTAAGTGTCCATTCCATTAGGTTCCATGTTGACCTGAGCGTCCCGTTGGAACAGCGACTTTACTGCCCAAGAAACAACCCTGCCCGCTAACTGGAAGGCGGGAGCAGTAATAGGAAGGCACGATTGGCAGGTGCGCACTTGCCTTCTGTCAAATGAAGAATCAACATCCAATATTTCTGCGCAGCTGCCTATCTCACCTACATGGAAGGCCGGATAGGGCGGGTGCGGATTATTGTCCCATCTTTTCTGTATATTTTCAATTTTCCTCTGTTCATTCGTCTTGGTGTCTTTTATCCAAGCCGCATGAGTCTCAATTTTTCGGAGCTGTTGGCCAGGCCATCCAGTCATCGCCCCGACTGCCTCCCATTTTGTCGATCTAGAATTACCTTAATCCCAGCCGGCACTGACAAACCTTCGTCTTCTCTCGCCGTTCAACCGACAGGCAAGACATGACAAACTCCTACGAATACACATGGCCATACGCGCGGCATCTCCAGGGCCCTGCGCCGGCATCCGGTCGAGATCCACCAAACGACGGCGCCAACAGTCGCGGTGGAACTCCCGCTGGACCTGGACCGCATTCCATCTCCGGCTCTTCAAACCGTTGGCACCAAATCGGTAAGTCAAAATTGGACTTGCTCCCCCTTTCCCCTCTTCCTCAGCTGCTCCGGTCTAGATTCCTGAAGCATCTCATTTTATTACACCCCAGCTCTGCTTTGCTACGCTGCTGTTGACGCTGGCTCGTCTCTTCTTCGAACAAATTCCGTACCGGCACCGTCCGCGCGAAGGATATCACGGGCAGATCGAATATGGCAGTCGAGATACGTACACCACACTACAGTCAAGCACGCCCTCCCTGCGCCGCCTTATGCACCTGGGTGCCATGTGCACATGCCAAACCGCCCCCTTGAAGGATTATGGCTGCTGAGGTCTTCGATGACGATACGCCGTCACTCGCTCCTCTCGCTTTCTGCCGTTTGAATTACCACGGACTTCCAGCGCCTACATTATGCTTGTCAAAGGAGCCATCCTAGTCGCAGACGGGATGGACGAGCGCCGAATAATGGAAGGGCTCGCCAACGGCTATTCATATTGCCTATATTACATGCCTCATCCTGGGCCACTCTCGATTACCTTTCGGTACTCTGTACCTGATCAGCACAACCGGCCACCCCCTGCTGCGCCATCCACCAAGTACAGACGAAGTCCCTTTTCGACTTTCAGCTTGCAGCACGCGGCAGCACATTCTCAAAGCCAACGGCCACGCGGGGCACAAACAACAGCAAACTACGCAGTCCTAGCGGTGACATCCCTTAAGTTACCTCGCACTTGGTGCTGCGGCTTGGGTGGGCGGTGGAGCGGCATCTCACAACGAACCCCTCCTTCTCTATAACTTCCCTGACAAGTCCCGCTCCTGAAATCATGGGGACACGCGCGATCCCCCTTCCTCTTGACCCTGTTCCTCAAGAGAAGAGAAATGCGACTCTGGCACCTGGCACACCCATCCAGTCGAGCTCCAATGTTTCACTAGCCAAAACTGAGCACAAAAAAAGGGGACGCGAACAACATGTCTGCACGCTAAAAAGAAAGGGCCCGCCGTCGCAAATTCCGATGCTTTGAGCTTCGTCCCTCTCCACCCCGCTTCCGGACGCACTCAGTGTCATTCCTTCGAGACCACTGGCCAAAGAGACAACGAGAGAGCGAGTGAGAGCGAATCTTGGGCACCTCAGAGCGAACAGGAAGAGGCCTATTTTCCGCCCTTCAGCAACCCACACCAAGGTACATACATACAAACCTACATACCTACACAGCAGACAGCCACAACTCAAGTCAGCCCGGCCTCTTATTCCTCATTTTCGCCTATTTTCCCCCGTCCGATTCTGGCCCTGACCCGATCCTGGCTGAGTGGTCCAGAGAGGAAAGAGACCGTCAGACGACAACCCGGCAGCACCCAGCACATTAGCAACTCGGGGGCTCCAGCAGAAGGCGGCCGGCCACAGCAGTGTCAGCAAAGCAGAGCACCTACCTGACAGGCAAAACGAGCCCAGGAGAAAAGAAAAAAAAGCTAGCGGTGGCTCCAACCTAAACGTCATTCGAGTCAACCCCCCGCTGACTGGTAACCTCCTATTTATGCAGCTGCACCTCAGCCCAAAAACACAACTGAAGAGCCCGAGATGTCCAACTTCGGCGCAACCTTCGTCCCTGGAGGGTTCGACGACTATTACATGCCCGAGGTCGTTGCACCTTCGCCTCAGCGGTACGCGTATTCTTTCATTTTAATCTTGGGCGGATCATTTCATGGGTCCTCCTATCCGCCCGCTACAACTGGCGATGGGGCCGCCATCCTGCGGCGCCGAGCCTTTGTTCCCTTTTTCTCTCAGCCTGTTGCTGACATGATCTCTTCTCCAGTGTGACGCCCCAGGTCCCCCAGAACATGCAAAACGACCTTCAGCGCATGGAACTCGAAGCCCGCGAAGTCGACCCGAACCGCCGCGACCCCAACATCGTTAACCGTCACGGCCGCGAGCCGTCCCTGTCCTCCGTTCTCAAGCCCACCGACGCTGGCGCACCTGCCTTGCCCCCCAAGGGCTACACCAACCCCTCCGCTGCCGCGCCCTCTTCCGACAACTTCAAACCTTTTCACGAGGACAGCGCGAGCGGCAGTCACCATACCATGCGGCCGAGCGCGACGCCGTCCTTCTCCCCCTTTCCCAAGGTGAAGGGCGACAATATACCCCCAACCGATGAGGAGAAGGAGGAGATTTTGTGGAACGCCCGCGAACATGTCCTGCACTCCAACAATGTTTCCATGCAGCTGTCCTGGGCTCGTGACACTTTGGCTTGGGCCGAGATTGTCTCCGAAGCCAGGTCCAGGGACCCGGAGAGCGGCCGTCAAACACCAAAGGTCGAGCACGAGCTGCGTACCGACGCCTTCAACATCGTCGAATACTTGGTTGGCCAAGAGCATCCCGAGGCGCTCTTCATGAAGGCGAAATGGCTCGAGTTTGGCAAGTTCGGCTGCCGTCCTGACAAGAGAGATGCCTATGCAAAGTACACTCGCGCTGCAGAGCTCGGCTACGCGCGTGCTGAGTACCGCTTGGGCATGCTGTTCGAGAACTCCAACGATTACAGCAAGGCCGTCGAGCACTACTACCTAGGCCTGCGACTCAAAGACTCGGCAGCCATGTACCGCCTGGGAATGATGAGCCTGCTGGGCCAGCACAACCACCCCAAGGACTACCAACGCGGCTTGGATCTCATCAGAGAAGCAGCAGACCTGTCGGACGAGGATGCGCCACAGGGTTCTTACGTCTATGGTATGCTCCTTGCGAAAGATCTTCCCGACATCGAAGTTCCCGAGGCGTTGCTTCCTGTCGACCTGCCATTGGCCAAGATGTACGTCGAGAAGGCGGCTTACCTCGGCTTCGCCAAGGCTCAATTGAAGATTGGCCAGGCTTACGAGCTCTGCCAGTTGAGCTGCGACTTCAATCCGGCTTACTCCATTCACTACTACGGCCTTGCCGCTCAGCAGGGTCAGCCTGAAGCTGCGCTTGGAGTCAGTCGTTGGTTTCTGTTCGGATACGAGGGCATCTTCAATAAGAATGAGCAGCTCGCGTTCAAGTACGCACAGGACGCCGCCAACGCCAAGCTGCCAACGGGCGAGTTTGCGATGGGCTACTACTACGAAATCGGTGTTTACGTCCCCAAGGATCTTCGCCAGGCCAGATTCTGGTATGAGGCAGCAGCCGATCACGGCAACAAGGACGCCGTCGGTCGCCTCGAGGCCTTGGATCACTCTAAGAGCTTGACCAAGGCCGACCACGAGACAACGACGCTCACAAGGATCAAGTCCCAGCATGGGTCTCAGCGCGGCAAGCGGCCTGATCGCTTCAAGCAGCCCAAGCAGATGCCGACGGTTTCGGAGAGCGCGCCGGCCACCCCTACCGACCCCGGATACCCCACCAACACATCTGCCCGGACATCTCCCCATCCGTCTCCGCGAGCCAACCCGACTGTTGCCCAAGACAACGTTGACTTCCCCGATCCGTCCAGACCCAGCAGCCGCGGCAGACCTAACGCCTTCAACGTCAATCTTGATGCCAACTTGGCAATTAGACCCAAATCAGCTGCGCCGTACCCCGAAGACGACAGGCCAGCGCCTCTCAACCTCAACCGGCCAAAGTCAACGGCCCCGTACCCCGAGGATGATCGGCCCGGCCAGCGACCTGGGGCTGGTCCGCAGCTCTCTCCTCACTACAGCAGCGGTGGCCGCCCTCCTGCTGGCCCTCACTCTGACCGCCCGGGCAGTGCCTTCGGAATACGTACCGGACCTGGCCCCCAGGGAATGGCTGGCAACGTGCGACCGTCGCAGTCGATGGGCAATATGATTCCCCCGGCTGGCGCGGACCCGCGGGGCCGTCCCATGACGGGCGGCTGGGACCAGTCCGCACACAGACAGCCGAGCCCGGGCCCTGGCGCCCGACCGGCTACCACCCAGCCGTACCCCATGTCTCCTGGTCTTCCCTCAAACCCGGCCGCGAACAAGCTCACCAAGCAGGGCCCCCAGCAGTTCGCCAAACCTCAGCCGTCACCTCCATTTCAGCAAGGGTACGGACCGAGCGATTACGGCCAACCCGTACATGCGCAGCCCGGCCGTGACTATGGTCCGAGAATGTCATCCATCCCTCCTGCCGAGCAATATGGCTATGGCAGACCGCCTAGTGCCGCACCCAACGGCGCGCCCTCGCGCGTCGACTCATTGCCGCTCAGTCCCTCGGGTAACCCGCGTCCACAGGGCGGACCCGGCGGCGCGCCTCGACCCTATGCCAACAGGCCAGATCTCGTTGAGCAGCCCGGTCGCGTTGGCAGTGCGCCCCCTTCGTCTCAGCCGCGACCCCAGCAGAAGCCCAGCCCGGCTCCCAGCGCAGCAACAATGCCTCCTCCGAAGAAACAAGCGACAGGCCAGGGACCCGCGACTTTCGAGGAGATGGGTATTCCCAAGGGCAAGGATGATTCGGACTGCGTAAGTTCATCTCGTCTCTTGACATATGGAGCACTTTGCTAACAAATGTACAGATCGTGATGTAAATTTCTCTCAGATACCACAGCCACTTGACGATGTGATGCTTTCCACTTTGATACCGGGGGTGGTTGGAGCGTTCGTGCATGTAGATAGACTTCCATTCAGGCCAAAGAGATGGCTAGCGGGAGTACAACAGCACCCGAAGAACAATTGCAAGAAATTTGATCATGTCTATGCCAAAGTCTGCTCGCGAATGCGGTCTTGAACCATTTACTCGTCCGAGATCCTTGCTTACTTGGTCTCAGAAGCAGCATATTGAGCAGCCAAAGGGGCAATGCAGTCTCTCAAACTGGTCCAGCTCTGTCCTCCTCGCACACGTTTCAACAACTCAGTCGCCCTCTCGTTGGCGACAGTGCCTTGGTCTTCGGCGAGATCGGGCACGTCGGCCGGGAAGCTGCGGTCTGATTGCGTCTCCCGAAAGACGGCCAGAAAATCGTTGATGGTGAAGCGGCCAGCGTACGCGATCAGGCGTTCTGATTCGACGTCCGGGGAGAGAAGGGCGGCGATGTGCATGTGAGCGATGTCGACTACGTCGCAAAACCATTCTACCTTGCGTCAGATCAAGCTGTTCGTCTTTCACCCCGTCGAAACTTACGAGCTGGGAACATGGAGATGAGCTCCGGCGATATATGGCCTTGCCACAGCGCTTTGAGAAGCCCAACTGCTGTCGGGAAGCCTTGGTGCTCTGGAAGGAGAACCCTACCCAGTGCGGCGTTCGGGACGACTACACGAGGTTCTCGGTCAGTAGATGTCAGGCACAAACGGTCGCACTGCGACTCACTCGAGTTCAACACAAATCCGGGCTTCTCCTCGGAAAACCACTTCCATAGTGCCTGCTCGGCTTTGGTCTTTGCGGCAGAGTAGGCGAGGTAACCTCCAGCCAGCCCACCAGGCCCCTTGCCGGAGTAGGCGATGGCGACGGCTTCCTCGTTGTAGGTGTCCGCTTTGACCTCGTACGGCACGCCTGGCTTCGGCATCGCGGCGGCGCCGGAGGAGGAGGTGTAGACGAGACGCTTGACGGACGGAGAGGCGGCGGCGCTGCGGGCTATGGAGAGGGTCGCGGCGACGTTGGGAGGGACTACGTTATCGGGGTTAGGGTCCATGTTCATGATTGCGACTGTGTGGATCGCGGCGTCGGCTCCTGTCGGTGAGTGTTAGTGAGAGTAGTCTGGACCCAATACTGGCAGGGCGGTGACCTTTGACGACCTCATCGAAAGCCCCATCTTTGGTTACTTCGGGCACGGCATGCAGGGTGAAGCGCCCTGCGCCGTAGGTCTTGTCGAAGTGGGAGGATAGCCAGGTGGTTTTGGAAGGATCGCGGACAGTACCCCGGACAAGGTAGCCGGCGGCGAGGAGCTGGTCTGCGATGTGGCTTGCGATGAAGCCATTCGCGCCGGAGACTACGACGGTGCTGTTCTTTGGGAGTGCGGGATCCTGAATGGTAAGGGGCGCCATGTTGAGGTCTTGGGGTGATGGGCTCGAGATGCGTTTGCTTGAGGGCTGAAATTGATCATGGTGAGAGATGAGGAAGAGCTTGCTGGCTTTTATGAAAGTTGGTCGTTCGGACTGTTGAGACAGAATTAAGTCCGTTAGAGGCGGCCAAGATATTGTTTCTGAGCTTCGTTGTCGTCATGAACGGCGTTGGTTGGGCTTCAAATGGTGGTATCCCACCGGGGCCCGGAGGAGATTATGTGAGCAGGCGCGGAGGGCGGAGCCGGTGGGAGGTCCGGTGTTGTGGGATGGGATGCATAAGCAACTTCTATTGACATCGGAACGAATGTGATGGAGCTTCTTGAAACATATCATGCGAGACTCCCAGCTGTGTTCGATGATGGTGTTCCAGAGGGCTAGCTTGTCATTAACCTTTCCCCGTTTTGCTCAGGCGCGGTACTATTGCGTTTGGGTCTAATCAGCAAAGCTTGACTTCTGTCAAGTTCATCTCTTCTTTTACAAAGAAAGCTTCAATTAGGATGGAAGGCATCGTCGCTGTATTGGTGCCAAGGAAATCGATGCAAGTAGCCGTGAAGATGCAGCCACTGTCACTCCACGTCACAGTCACACTCTTACCGCCGCCGTCCACCAACCAGTACTCGCTGAGGATTCAATGGTCGATTAGACGCATTATCCGCTTAAGGCCTGCTAGTGTAGCTAAATGAGAGTTGCGACGCACATGGTCCTCCCGAGCTCCAACCGCCAAACGAGAGTCAACCTGGATAGCTCTTTCATATGTTTCAGGTATGGAATCTTTTGGTGTCAATTGCTGTCGACTGCTGCGTGGTTGAATCATGGCGAGATCGAAACGGTGCGCCGTGTAGACAATCTCAGGCCTCCGGGACAATCTTCCCGATCGGGGTGAGCAAACAAACCTACCATGCACGGTGATTTTGATGAGCGATCTGCAGGAGTCTCGACGCGTTTTTCATATTGCATCTACCCGTCGGTCTCATCGAGTAACGTCTTCGGATTTTGTTTGCTTTGGCAGGATGGCGGGGTTGGTTGGTGTTGGTGTTTTCCTGCGGTCCGTCCCCATTTCGAGTACAAAACGAACATGTTTCCTTAGGTCTCCTTTTCGCCGCTCGCCGCCGTCCCAGCAAAATTGGTGTATTTTTGTAAAGATTCCGAGTATTTGGGTTTTGGTGACGGAAATTGCTGATTGAGGCTGGTGATAATTGCCGCTTGGGAAAGCACCAAACCTTCCGCAGCGGTCGTCTTCCATCCCATCCCGTCTTGAGATCGCTTCTTTCCTGATACTGCAAACAAAAACACTACGCTTCTTCGTAGTGTAGCGGGCTGGCTACCCTACCTCACCTTAGGTATCTCGCATTCACCCTTGGACTTTGTTGCCAATTCACCTCTACGGAAGTCGACGCGACGCGATCGACTGCAGTCCAGTGGTAGACGCGCCCATTCTTTCTTTTTCTTCCCTCCTTTTTTCTCTTTTTTTTCTCTCTCCCTCCTTCTCTCTCGCGTGGTCAACAATCTCCTGGTCGACCATTTCCTCGACATCCCTCCGTCCCTCCTCCACCCCACCCTCACTCACCTCAACTTCGACCTCGACCTTAAAGGTTGGCCGCGTTCTTGCACCACCCGCGCGGCGACGCCATTGGCATCCTCACCCGCAACATACATACGAGATAAATCATTCGGCGCCAAAACTACAAACATGGTGAGTGCGCCCTTTTTTCTCCCCTCTTATGCTTTGTCCGCCTGCTTGTCCTCGTCGCACCTCCACGCGACACCCTGATCTCGGTCTCGAGTTCCGAAGATACCTTCAGTCCTTCGTTTTCGCCCGACATCTTCATTCACTACTCAGCGATCCTTTCGGCTAACTCAGAACAACAGATTACACAACAAGCAGCACCATGGCGAACGGAGCCTCGGCCCGCAGCCGGATGGCGTCGCCGCATGCTCTCAAGCAGAAGAGGCCATGCAGCGTTGCGTTCGCCGACACCGACGATGACGGAAACGACTACACTGACAACATTCCTGTCAAGAAGCAGAAGCTCGTCAGCTCCAAGCTGAGGCTTACTTACCCCTTGGATGAGATCAAGCAAGCCATGCGCGGAGAGCTTCTGTCCACCCCGGCTCTCAAGTATGTCTTGGACGAGATGGTCGAGGACATGGCCGACTGCAAGCAAGACGAGAGGCGCTCGCTGGGCTCCAACAAGTTCTTCGGGCCCACCAAGGCCGCCCTGAAGAATGGTCAGCAGTCTCTCGTTGGCATCAAGCGCTACCTTCTGGCCGAGGCATTCATCCGAATCGACAATTGGTCTCTGATCAACATCCGCGAGTGGTTCGACCTTGTGGCAGAGGCCGGTCTCGAGAAGGATTTCCGCGACCTGTATTGGGAGGACAATCAGAAAATCCACGCCATCCAAATCGCCAAGCTTGCCCGCCATGTCACCAAGCCCCAGAGCTCCAGAGTTCGCGAGCTCTCCCTGGCGCAAGCTGCCCAATTCGCCCAGGTTGGACAAGACATGGTCGCCCGCTCCGTCTTCGTCTCTGGTCGCGGTCATCCCATCATCCGCAGCGCTGCCGCCATCATGGTATTGGCTGAGTTTTCTGATGCAGAGCTCAGAGACAAGCGACAAGAGAACAACATTAGAGTGACCCAGATCTGGGCTGCCTGGTGCATCTCGAAGCACCTGGATGAGAAGGAAATGCAGTTCCTTGCGGTCCTCATTCTCGATCGCATCCACAAGAACGACATTGTGAAGGCTTGCTTTATCCACATCCACGAGGAGTTGAGACGATGCGCCCGGAAGGCAGACGAAGACGAGTACAAGAAGTGGCAAAGAATGCACTGGAAGTGTCATGTCATCAACTCCTCGGAGATCCTGAACAGACCCAAGGCACTCCAGACATTCGACGATTCGCGAGACACGCCCTCCCGTCAGAGCGACACAAGCAAGATTATCAAGACCAAGAACGCTGCTGGAACACCCAAGAATACGTCATCGTCTCGAAGACCCTCACCAACTGTTAAAGCAGGTGCTACATCCGGCACTAAGACCAAGAGGACCACCGACATGGCTGTCGAGACTACCGAAAGTACCATTGTCGAGACTGAGCAGACCGCTACAAACCACACGCATCCTGATGAGTCCGCGCAACCTAAATCTCAGACGACAACACTCAAGTCGACAAAGCTTGCGAAGGCGCCACATATTCAGCTATCTGTTCAACTGCCTCATCCTTCCGTTGCCTCTTCAACCCTGAGCTCGCCGTCTCCTCTGATGACGCCTGCATCCACCATGTCACCTAATCAAAGCATGTACCCCTCTTCTTCCGAGGATCCAATGGCCGTTGTCGCCAGCTTGATGCAGCAATTTGCACACCTGAACCAGGGGAAGAAGTCAGGGATCGACAACGAGCTGTACCAGGCAGCCATGGCGAACATGCGGGCTGAGGTGGCTGAGACAGCTGAGCCAATGCGCGACAGAATCAGTAATCTTGAGGGTCTTTACAAAGACATCGGCAACAACTGTCAGAATTTCTTCGATAGATGTGAGGCCATTGGGGGCCTAGAAGCTTTAGCGGAGAGACAAGGGTCCATGGCCCACAAACTGGAGTCTTTGGGCGACAAGCAGACGAATCTCGATAGGATCACGATTCAAAAGCTGGCAACCGAGTCTAAGAAAATTGGAGACCGAGACAATGCCATCCAGAGCCTTCAAAGCGAGGTCAGCTTCCTCAAGAATCGACTTAAGCAGTTATCCTCAGAAATGCGCGCCCTCTCCAACAATCGCCGCGGGGGGTCTAACTATCCGCCCCAGGCACCGATGGCCATGATGCATTCGGGTCAGCAAGACAGAACACCAGACCGATTCAATCGACGGGGAAGGAACTAAGTTACGAGTCACGGTGTGTGCAGAAAACATAGCGGCGGCTGGCCGATGACGAACGATGGAGACGATGATCGATGATGAGTTTGACGTGTTATGGCAACGCCGGTGGACAACGATAGCAGAGACAGACGACCATGGGGAGAATATGCTGACGCCTGCGGACAATTGTGTTTTTATTAAGTCGGAACGATTGGGGTGAGCCCCTTATGATGGATATACCCGGAGTTCTCTTTTGCAAAACGGCGGCCGGACTGGTACGATGACGATGATGGATACGGAAAGACTTTTCACTTTGAACATGGCCAAGTGTATTTCTGGGGCGGCGGACTCTTTGTATGAGAAAAGCATTACAGAATAGAAAAACAATGGAACAGGGATACCACCACTTTGGTCGTAAGACTGCTGGCCTTCCAGCGGATGACTCAAGGCTTCAAGGCGCGACAGACAGAACAAGCATTTTTCTCAATCTACTTGAGAGGCAGAATACAGCGTTTGGAAGAAGCCGACTTACTACGAAAGACGCAGACGAATCGTGCGTTCAGAGCTAGAAGGCAATAGACTGGTAAACAGCAAGGGCATGTGTCTGCTTAAAACTTGTTTCTTCATTCTCCGAAGCATCACTCAGGTCTACATGTGGACGCGGATTGAAATGTTCTCGTAGTTGTTAATGATTTCATACTGGTCCGCAGCATCATGTTTCTACATTGTTGATGTCACCTGAGGGGATGAGACCGCAGCCGTCAAATCATTATCGAGGCTTCCATGCCATGATAGCGGCATGTCGGCACAATGGCTGGTTAGTAGAAGATTTATTTTCACCCATTTCACCTACTATTCTATGAGAAAATACAGCCCGCTGGGTGTTCTTACACGCGTCTACTCGGGTGCAGTGGGGATGCTGAGGAACCAGCTTTCGGATCACAAGCCTCAGCTCAGTCAACTGATAAGATGAGAGAAGTCCAGCATCTTCTCGGAGACCGGATTCGCCAGAATATTTTTGTAATTCATCCGAGATATGGAAAAAGAGCAAGGACAAGATTTGTGAGTTATTGCGAGTGGATGGGTTTTAGTCAAGGATCTGGACTTTTTGTCCCATGCAAGACAGGGAGTGTCATTCAATCGCCCTTGAATAGCTCCACAGGGTATATAATATTTGGATGTAAAGAATCAAAGAAAGATTCATTGGCAGTGACTGTCCTTGTAAAGTATGCTGTGGAAAGAAATATCTTGACAAAGTCTTTGTACGGAAAACGTTCCTAGCGAGCCATTGACTGAATGAAACTCTAAGGATAGCCCTCGGATTGATGGCTGGTTCCTGGACAGCATGGATTGTTTCCAAAAAAGCAACAAAGATATCCGGAGACGACTCTCAAGTCCATCTGGCTTTATAACTACAGCAATAAATCTACCTAAATCTTACGAGTCCAGCATTACCATCACAAAACCAACAATAAGCATTCACACATTCACACACAAAAAACAGCCCTTCTTCAATCAAACCTTTTGATCATATAACTCGCCTACGACCGCCTCAACTACATTGATATTCTCTCTCAGGCTACAATCAGAATGTCGACCTCACCCTGTGTACCCCGTCATTTACTCGTGGCAAACCCCCTTCACGTTATGCCCGTCCGCATCCCCCTCTTTCCCAATCTCAACCCCGAGCAATATGAGGAGGCACTCATGAAATGGCGCGAAAACCGCACTCCGAAGGCGATCCGACGGCTGATATCCAGGTATGTCGTCTTTAAAAAGGACTACAACAATGTTGACTTCGCTCAGTGGAACCCGGACGCAACCCCTAGCACCCGCGACGTCAAGCAGATGCTGGATTGGTACACCGTCACCAAAACACATTACTTCCCGCGGGTTAAAAGCGTAAAGCTCCTGGGAGTTGGATTCACGAACGTGTACTTCGTGGTCAGATTCTACACCCCACAGGACACCCCCGGCGAGGGACCCATGACCTTGCCCGAGAAGTTGTACCTGCGATTCACACTACCATTGCACTACCCAGAGGATGCCATGCCTTGGGCCGGGCCGCGCCTGGAGCATGAAATCGCCACGATGTCCTGGGTTGCCGAATACAACTCCCTGACGCCCAAAATTTACTTGTTTGACTCCTTTGCGCAGAACCAGCTTCAACTGGAGTGGCTTATGATGGAGCCCGTGCAGGGATTTGTCCTCGAGAAGTGCATCGACAATCGATACTGCACATGCGAGACGGGTCTACAGGGCTTTGCACCAGTAGGTATGAAAGCTCCTGCTATGAACAGGGATGCTGTTGCGAAAACCTTCTCGGAAATTCATGGTGCTTTTAAGAAAATGACCTTTGCTCGCCCCGAGCAAGGCAAGGTAATCGCCGGGTTCCATGTCCACCAGGGCACCTGTTACGATTTTCTGGGCAGGGTGGTGTCCAAACAGTTCGACGTCGCGGCGAGAATTTCCAAGATTGAGACCAGCAGCGATCCATTCCCATCTTTCGAACATTACTTTGACGCATATTTTGACGCGGTGTACCACGACATGGACTCCGGCGACCGGCACATCAGGAAAATGAAGCTTTACAGCACACTTGAAGCCCGAGGAACGCCTTGCCGGAAGCTTTTCAGTTACATGCACCGCAAGAACGTCGACCCCAATTCAGATGAGCCACTCCTTCTCAGGAGCTTGAATCTGCACACCGGAAACGTCCTCGTTGACGAACATGGTCATGTTGTTGCTGTTCTGGGTTGGGAGGACGCGGTGGTCTTCCCACTAGAATGGTTAAAGTCAGCTGACGAACTGAATCAGGGTCTTCTTCATTGTACTAATGATCCTCTTTTCCGACCGTTGAGGAGCGTCATGGAGTCGTTTGACCTGATCCCCCGTGGCAGTCGGAGGCCGAAGTACGAACTGGGGTTCGATCACGGATGTCCTGATCATACTCGCGACAGCCAAACCCACTTCCGTCCTGACCATGATCGTACAGCCACCCCGAAAACTCCAAGGACCCCGATCACTCCCGTGAAAGAGATGTTTGGAAAGGTCTTCAAGGAGCTTAGAAAGTGAGAATGGTCCAGCCCAATGTTTTTGTAAGTCGTTTTAGTTTTCGTCAGCCATCAGGAAAATCCAAAAGTTGATACTTTTGAAACAACTCAGTTCTTTCCCAACAGTGAAAAGCATGTGATTCTTGAATGGTTGACCCCTCGACCAGGAAATAGTTGGGATGGAATATGAGTGGTGATCAAGCCGTTTGGCAAAAAAGGCGCAATAACCAGTAGCACCCCCCTCTTGTGTCTTCGGAACTGTTCAAGCAACTCCAAAGCCTCATGAAGTGCAAGAGGGGCTGAGGTACAGAAATTGAAGCACGATATCGGAGGAGCCAGTCTCTTGAAAAGTTCAAGTGAGATTCAAGGAAGAGAAACAAGAACTGGAGGATCCGAGAAGATCGAAGGCAATTTGTCCACTTCTAGTTCGAAATCAGCCGCCTGGAGGATCATGCATGTAAGGCAGAACGAGCCTTATCCTTGCCGCCCAATTGGCTGGCTCGGTAGTCGTAGGCTCATTGCTACCCAAAAGCCTCAGCAAACACCCATCAGCAGGCCAGATTGCTGTTTAACCGAGTAATCCGTGATGCGGTTGCCTAACCCGACAGGCTATGAATCATAGTGTTCTTACACACCCATTTCCCTACAAATGTGCAAATTTTGATGCCATTTTGACTTTAAAAGCTACAAAATGTTATAAAGGCGCCTGGCAGAGACCGCTTCCACAGAGACCATCAGTTGGTTATGTTTCTTTGGCAATAGACGAGTTTTCATTGCCGAGGGACGAGAATAATCAACAGCAACAGTCGAACGAAACCTGCACGCTAAACGAACCACAAGGCGCCTGTCTGAATCAGTGCTGGAAAGTTGAACTTGGCCAACTTCTCCGCGGGTAACGAGTGCCGATGAGATTTGAAAACACGGAAGATGATCCATCCCGCGACGTTAGAACGGCTGCCGGGGTGATCTCGGCCATCGTCATCTTTTTGGGTCTTTGCGCGGTCTGCGTGAAGTCCAGCAAGTTTCGCGAATCTGGAAAGTCTCGTGTCGTGGCGAGGAACCTCGACTTTACCAAGCTAGACATCCCAGCGGATTCTTCTGAAGAACAGATCATATCAAAACTTCAAAACGGATGGCAACAGCATCTTCGAGGCCGAGCGACATCACGCCTGGAGAACGAACGGGATACCTCACATGGGGAGCCCATCTGGTTGTCGATTTACGCCAACATGGCCAACTTCAGGCACTGGGCGCTCTTGACGCATCGGTACAAGTACGAGCTCAGGGAAAGAAAACGCAACGGAATCCGGTATGATCCGTATGATCTCGAGGCCGGCGGTTTCCAGAACGAAGCAGACCAGCCGGTGGAAGCATTCGCCGCTAGAGATGCTGTCGAGGACGTCAGCAACACGTCGGGATTCGCCAGGTACTACGAGCAAGTCATTCGCGAAGACAAGGATCACGATCCGATGATGGCACAACGCGCAGAGGCAATTCGACAGACCCAAGTGCCACGAGTTTACAAAGACAACGTTGGGCTTCTGTATGTCATCCACCTCGGGTGGACTACCAAAACAAAGGACGAAGTGGACAAGATTTGCGTGGCGGTAGCACAAAGCTTCGGCCGGTATAATGTTGTGAGCAACAACTGCCAACATTTTGTCAGGCTCCTTGCTACTAGCATCGTCGACAAGAAGTCGGAAGATTGGGAATGGTTTGAAGGAGCAGCGAATAAGAGGTATGAATATGTAGGGCCTCTGACGATAGGTCCTCCAGCAGGTCTTGCTCAGCTTTGTCTGGACAGACTGACCAGTATGCTGGCAAACGACGAGATCAAAGACCCCGAGGTGAAGGCGAAGATTATCGAGCACATACAGACGCTGTCTACGTACGTGGATAACTTGAAAAGGGAGATCGACGAGGAGCTCAACAGAACTGTGGAGTTTGGCAGGCGGGATGCGGGATGGAATCAAATGATGGGGCAAATGGGGAGCGGCGGGGGTATGGCCGGAGGGTGAGGCGGGCCTTGCTTGTTTCTAGTTTCCCTGGCATTTCGATTTTCAGAATACATCAAAATCATATCAAGTTGGATTTAAGAGAGTATAAATGATGGAGGGAAAGAAAAAAGGTCTCAAGCTGAATGAACGCGCTGAGTTGCGTCGTCATCACGAGCCACGTGGACTTTCGTGGACACTGACTGAGACATCCTCACATGCGAGGTAACACTAACAAGCATCACAGGTTTTCCTCACTGTAGCGCCCTTGAGAAACATGACTGACTGCGGGGTATTATATGAACTTCGCTACCTTAGCGATTTGACTGGCTTCTCGGGACTGAAGGCGCAGCGGCGCGCCGTCTCCGGTGCATCTGCATTGTCGCCTTGTTTTTATTCACTTTGGTTGGTTAGTTCGGGGCCTGGATGGTCAAATCGTCTCTTGGCCGAACGAAGTCCAGTACAAACTGGGGTTAGACCACATCTTGCTGAGGTGCTTGTGCGGCACAGCAGTCGCCCGGCCAGGGTGAAATGTTGCCAAGGTCAAGAATGAATCCCCAAAATCGTAAGCTCCTGGAAACCCGGTTCATGAATTACTTAAAGTGTTTGTCAGTCCGTACCTAATCGGAGGTTATTTTGTCGACTTGTTGAACCAGATCTTACTCATCGACATAACAGCAAAGGAAAAGACAGCTTCTATCATCAACAATTGCAGCACGCCGCGCAATAGGTACAATGCAGCAACCCTTTTCCCCTCTCCGCTCTATTCAGCATCTCGCCGTACCCAACGAGCACACATTTAACGTTCAACATGCGGACAAGTTTCTTGATAAGACAACTTCAATCATGGGTCTGCATACATGGGACATTCCACAGTTGGTTCAGACCATCCTCACTGGTCTAGTTCTCTTCCCAGCTATGGCCATCTTCGCTCTCGTCTTGTCCAAGCCGGGTGCCAAGCATGACTACACCCTCAAATGGGTCGACTTTACCAAAGTCGCCTTCGGGCTTTGGAGCGCGTAGGTCAACCTTCATTTTTGCGCCTGCGTTTACACTTGAATGTAATTGTTGGGGAAATATGATATGTTCTGACTCGCCCGACCCCATCATAGATCTCATCTTTTCAGCTTCATCGCGTCTATTATGTTATTGGTCATCTTCTCCCGCCAGTACTGGGGCCACTCCCTTGAAATTGACATCATCAGCTACTTTTACGTTGTCAGCTTATTTCTTGACATCGGCGCTCAAGTAACCTTCTTTCTCGCCATTTTCTACCTTGCGCATGCTTTTACCCAGCTCCGTATCGGTGCCGGAGCAAACGAGACCCAGCAGTTCCGCATCGGCCAAAAGGGTGCGCTCGGGGTGTCCGCACTCCTTGCCCTGATCGCCCTTGCCGTCTTTTCACTCGGGGTCGCTATGGTAGCCATGCTGAGCAGTACGAGGGGATCTGGAAATTTCAACGATTACGATACTATCGTGAGAATAAACATTGCCCGGGAATATCTTTACTATATCAACCTGGGCATCCTCACTGTTACTGCCCTCGCCGTCACCGTATACGCCATTGCGGCTCGCAGGAAGGAAAGAGACAGTCCCGTGGCGAAGGTACGGGAAACTCATTGACATTTTGCACAAAATCTTCCCCGAGACCGGAAGATGCTGACATATCTTTTATCTCTTCAGGCCGCCACGCTTTTGCTCGTCTCTGCGTCTCTCTGGCTCAGCACTCTCCTCTGGACTGTGATCTCCATCCTCGTAGCACGCTTCGCTCCCTTTCCTAGTGCTTATAGATACATGATGGTGATCGACGTTTTCCTCAGGGTCTGGCCTTCGTTCGCTACTCTGTTGGTGCTTTATCTCTTGGCCTCCAGTGACTCTTACGGTCTTTCGAGGATTCACTACCGGGTTAACGACGACGAAGAGCAAGATGCGTGAGCTTCTTCAGAGCACGTCCAAGATAAGCACTCAGTGTTCGGAGTAGTGCAAGTATGTTTCGTTTCAGTGTTATTGGAATCTGGATATACTTAATAGGCTAAAGTTATTTCTTTCGTGGAAGGTTGTATGTGATGTTACAAGGCGCATATTTGGAGCATGCAGAGCAGTTGGAAAGCAACATAGATACCCGCCACAGTATCCGACAGTTACTCTACCTCATCGTCATCAAAACCAGTTTTTGATTCTTCGGAGCCGTGTTATCACTTCGAAATCAACGTCGGTGTACTTTGACGCACTCCTTGGCACATTCTCTGCTGTCATACCGAAGGCGGAGACCTAATTGAACCTGTGAGCTATATTTGTCTGTGAGACTCTACGCAATTTACTGTTACTGGAGAGTTTTCGACTCTGCCCTGAGAATTCGAATCCTATTTGCCAGCGAAAGGCTCAGGAACTCGCGCTACAGCTACATTGAGCCTCTCAAAGTAGTGATAGGCAATCCTCTAACCTAGTGTTTGGTGGCACAGCATGATGGCTGGCTTAAACATAGGCATAGAGTTGCAATATTTGATCATCTAGGACGCATACTACATGATTTTCGTCGCGTTTTCTCGTATGGGCACCGGTTGTGCACATGAGATGACATGCATAAGAGCCTGAGATCAAGTATCAGGTCGAAAGCCCCTCAGTGGGGCGTGGAATATCGATTGGCCTCAATGATCTCAAAGTCTGTGAAAGAAAGTCAGTGGTACCAACAGGACTGCTCGGCATGGCCATGCAAGTAGGATCGCGATGTCTTAACCTTGGAGTTAGCTAGATAAGAAGTCGTCTAGATAAGAACATGGTGCTTACCTACAGAAGTGCTTTGTTCCGAAGAAAAGAGTCCACGGGTATATAAGTTCCATCAAGTTCCCGTAGTCTATCAACCATCAACCACACACATACTTCTTCAACTTCAACTTTCTCTGAAAACACACCAAGCAACCGTCATTGATTAACTGATTCCATTGTCAAATCAATCGTCCTTATAAACCATGAAGTTCACCAACACTCTTCGGATCGCTGTTCTTGCCATCGCCGGCCTGGCTCAGGCACTTTCTGATGGCTTTTACGAAGGCACCACCTTTTCAAACGGCACTATGAGTGTCAAGCAGCTTGGAGCCACTGAAGCCAAGCGCTTCACCATCGAGCCGCCCTCCGGCTGGGAAGGAACTCTCCAGGAGCGCGACCTTGTCGAAGGTGAAGCCGCCTCGCGCCTCGGGAAGCGTTTCGTCGACTGCTGGGGAAATGCCCTCGACCACTCCGGTACCGACTCCGCCGTGCAGGACTGGAAGAATCACGTCGGCGCGAACGGCCAACACTATCTCGAGTCCGGAAACAGCCCAAACTGGGTGGGCTACATTCGAGAAGCAGTCCTCGTATACTACTGTATCAACGCACCCCACAGCAGCGGCAGCCTCGACCTTGTTGACATCAACTACGCCCTTAGCCAGATGGATGCGGTGTGTGTCCGGTACACGGCAAGCTACTTCCGCTGGGATGGCTCTGTGGAGATCTTTGGCAAGGTCCAGCAGGGTGTGCCTATCTGTCTTGGTTGAGGTGTCATTTTGAGCATAGAAATAGGTCAGGAGAACACACGTAAGAAGTGAGGAGAGTTAGGGGCTTCCATTCTTGTCATTCGTTCATACGCTCATGTGTTTGATTACTTTTCTTCAATGACGGATATGTATGTGATGTGTTCTCGCCGTGAGAGCGGAAGTTGTTGGAAAATCTACGCCTCTCGGTCGAACGTCGGTGTCTTGACTTTCCCTGGGAGGCTGGCCAGACCTTGGGCATTGTTCTTACAACTGCAAGTCCTGTCCCTATCACTTCTTTTATTTAGACCCCAAAACATTCGCTTTCTGTGATAGTTGGACTGGCATCTCCCTTCGTGATTCCGTCGGCAAAAATTCGTAGAAGGCGTGACTTTGAAGCTTTGAAGTGCAAATGGACTCGTCACTGGGATTCAGTCTCGGTCGAAAAACTTGCGATTCACGAGTAATAGTACACGGTCAAGACCCAGAACTAATCTTTGGTGTGAAATCAACTGCTCTGCTGTCTCTACTCAAAACTCTAGAAACGCTATCTGTATCGCCAGCACCGGGACAACCTCTAAAGACGCATACCTGCAATCCCGGTCCCGAGCTGTTCAATTTCACGCGCATGTCGAACACCTTCTGCAGATTGATGATTTTGTCCACCGACAGGAGCCCCGCATTCGGGACACCGAGCTGCTTGCATCGCCATGCCGCATTCTCCGATGGTGAAAGGATGGCCGTTGCGACAAGTGTACCAGTGCCCAGTACCCAAGAATTCGCGAGACATGGCTTGGTAGACGGCTCGCATCTCGTCCTGGGAGACCTCGCTGTAGAAAACCCCATCGTGGAGCATCCGCCAGGCGGTGTCGCATTCGCCCTTGAGCACGGCTGTCGACTCGTGCTTTCCCATGAGTTCCTTCGCGATCTCCAGGTGCTCCAATCCGAGCTTTTTCATCTCCTCGTGTTGCGTCTGCTTATTCGGAGTTGTCGGCTTGTCTTCCGCAGTATCTGTAGCGGGCTTCTCGGTCTCAATGGGCTTCGGCTCGCTGGAAGGCGTCACGAAGGAACAGAACATGCCGATGAAAATATGTCCCTCGACTTCTTGGCGGACGTAGTTTCTTGTTCGCGCGGTCTGGATGAGTTTCTCGCAGTCATTGAGATATGTCCTCACATCAACCTTGGCAGACTTGACAACTCCGTCCGTCGGGCTGCGGCAGAGGCTGAGGTAGTCAGAGATGACGAGAAGTTCGCAACGAAGAAGGAGCGCCATGGCCTGAAGGTAACTGCCCATCTGGATAGCAGACTCGTCGAAAGAGAATCCACCGGCTTCCTTGTGCCGTCGCTTGTTAACATGCCAGACAAGATGGGCCACGCGTTGATACGGCTGCTCTTCCCGCTTGACCTTCCCAAGGAAGTTCTCGATCTGCCTCAAGACCTTCGCCATGTTCTTGTGCCGACTAGCTCCCGTGACCTTGAAAAGGTGATTTAGCTGTTCGTGACGCGCACCTTGTAGATCATAGGTCCCGGGTGGCTGGACCGGGAACACGAATGTTTCTTTGTCCAGCTCCTGTAGCGCTTTCTGACCGTTGAAGAAGATCTCGGAGAGTTTCTGCCACTCGGTGTTCGACCAGCTGATGAACTTTTTGGTCGACTCGTCGAGAAGGCCGCGACGAACTATCCTTCCGTATCGAGAGATGTTTCTTAGAGGGCCTCGGCAGTTAGGACAGACACTGATTTTCTCTGACAGGTCAAAGGGTCGCGAGTCACCCCTGACGGCAGTAGGAAATCCTTCTGGGGAGATCTCGTAGAAATCCTGCAATCTCATCTGTCCGTCCATTGTCGAGTAGGTCAGAAAGTGGCCGCAGTCTGGGAAGATGCAGGGCTCCTCGTTGAGGTCGATTGAGCCGTAGTCGCTCATCATGATGAGATCGACGACTGTACTCTTGATCTCATCTGTCGCACACTGCTGACAGTACCGATCATCTGGGCACAGTTCCCCACATACCGACGGACCTGAAGACAGTTAACAAAGTGACATGAGTTGAGGGTTAGGCAGGGACTCACACTGATGGCTGCATCCCAAGAGCTTGGTGCATCGCTTCGTGCAAGGAACCCAGTCGCAGGGCGCTGCACACCTGTGATCGCATTGTCAGCTCAGTAATGGAAATCAGGAGACATCAGCAACTTACGGCATACTGCATTTGGAATGCGGACAGCACGAAGAACACGTTTCTTCCGCACAAGGAGGACAGGGCTCGTGGCACTTCTTGCTGCACTTGGAGTGCATGCACTTGTTCTGACATGGGGAAGCGCATGGCGGGCAGTCCTTTCCTTCATGACAGGTCTCCCGACAACGATGACTGCAAGTGGTGTAGTTCCTGTCGCATATCTGTCGACAAACGCCATGATCCTCCTTGCTCACCTTCCCATCCGTTCGAGTCCGGCAGTCCCAACATCGTTTCTTGCATGCGTGACCACAGGGCCTGAGAAACCCGCAATCCGCCTTGCACAAGTAAGTGGCTGCAGCGACATCAACGTGACAAGATACCCTGACTGTATGCTTGCAGCCTGGAACCACTTGGTCGACCTGCACGGCACATTTGATGGCGGCGGGATCTTTCAGCTTCCAACACTCCACGGTGTTGATGACGTGCCCGCATGGAAGCCTGAGTCCTGCGTCGTGCACCACCTCCATGCAGAGCCTGTCGCAGGCATCGCCACATCGCTTGCGGCATGGGTGATCGCAGTGCTCCTTGGGCCTTGCGCAGTCCTCCAAACACTTGACGGCATTGTGAAGGAAGTTCGAGTGGCAGGGGCCGGTGCAGGCATGTCCACAGTTCAGTCTGCGGTCGCAACGAAGATGGCATCCTCCGTCTGGAGCAAACTGAACGAAGTGCTCTGGATGCGACACCATACTCCTATTGTCTGAATGTCGTGGGCACTGAAGCTCAAGTTCTGTGCCGAAGTTGTTGTCCCTTTGCAAGATGTCGATGGCCTGTGCCCACATCGGAACATGGCTGGACGTGTGCGAGTTGCCGATGATGTACATTCCATGCCGCGCACGAGATAGCAAAACGTTGATGCGGTTGGAAGTGCTGAGGAAGCCGCATCGTTTCTCGTTGTTGCTCCGAACAAGGGACACGATAACTACGTTGGCTTCTTCACCCTGGAAGTTGTCCACCGTCGCAGCGCGAACACCCTGCAAGGCGGAAGATTTTGCCGCTTCTTTCTTTGGGTTGCCTTGGGAAGGAGTGTCAGCTGACTCTAGGTCAGCTAGATCATCCATGTCCCGATCGTTGATAACAATCTGCATGGTAGACCCGAGCTTCGATCGTAGCTTATTCAGCTGTCCCAAGTACGGGGTCAAGACAGCGATTTCTCCCGCCTTGTAGACGCCCTGTCTCAAAAGATGCGAAACCAATGCCGCAACCATGTCGACCTCGAAGTCATTTGAGTAGGATGTTTCGATGGAATCCTGGTCAGATTTCCGTCCCGACTCGGGGCTTTCATGATGAAGCCAGAAGAGACGCTTGGTAATGCCACAGACAGCCGGATAGTCCTGCACAGTATCGGAATCTGCCAAGGAAGGGTACAACGCGGAGCGTATGAGCTCTGAGATAGAGGGGTGCATGCGCCGTTGTGTGTCCAGAATACTGAAAGGAAGAGTTGGCGTGTTGGGAATGGTCGGATGAACAAGTCGTTCGAAAAGAGATACATCGAGCGAGTACTTGACTCCTGCTGGATTCGCGCGCTGAAGTCTCCAGTCTTGAATCTGTGGGCGGAGCTGTAGATGGTCCCCAATCAAGATGGCATGCTCTATGGTCGGAAGAAGGGCCGTCAATAGGTGCGCTTCGAGGACCTCGCCCGCTTCTTCACACAGAAGAACCTTGCCGTTGACACGTCGGAGAAGGTCAAGATTGGTCGCCAGACCAGTGGTTGTCACGCCGATGATGTTCGCCTGCTGTAGACACCGAAGATCGATAGAGCTCCTGATACGATTGTTGCGTTCACGTGTCTTCTCGTACGTTTCGTGAGCCGCAGACAGTCTCTCCAATTCTGGTGCTAGGGCCTGACGTAACCAGTCTTGGTGCAGAATGGTTCGCTCTTTGTGAGTCATGTCGGATAATCTCGTGTAATAGAGTTGATCAAGAGGGCGACTGGGTGTGTTGTTGGTCGTACCACCTCGCAACCAAGTCTCCATGGCCCTTCTTCGTCCATGCCGGACGGTCTCCCAGCCATCGTCTTGTTGTTCGGAACCAAACAGCTCATCATGCAGAGATTTGTACTGCGCGGAAAGAAGAGCTCGGATCTTCTCGTTCGTGTTGAGATACTTGTAGGTGGAAAGCCTCTGGCCGACGTAAGAGCTTTCAGACTCAAGAGCCTCAATTGAGTCGTACATGGCCTTTCCCTCGGTCTTCGTGCGGGTCATTCCCTCGGCGACCTTTCTGAGATTCACGGGCTCAAGTCTCTCCGATTTGGATCGAGAACCAATGCGCACAATGTTCTGGACATCCGCATCGATGAGATGCTCCAGAAGTTGATCCAAGGCGTGGTTGGTATAGCACACGCACATGACTGGACCAAGCTTGGCTTTTGACTTGTTGGCGAGAAGCACTTTGATGAGAGCCTCTCCAGTGTAGCTCTTGCCTGTGCCTGGTGGACCTTGAATGAGGGCAAATGATCGACTGAGGGAGTTGAGAATGGCCTCGGACTGAGTCAAGTCCAATGTGGTATGCCTGCTTAGCCCGGCTGGGTCGATGGGATTGCCGGGCGTGTACGACAGGTTCGATCCGTCATTGGATAAACTGCTGAGGTCGAACGAGAACCCCGGACGCTTAGAATAAAGCGGAGGGTCGATCACTGGCGGCCGATCCGTGCCGTGAAGAGTAAGGAGATGTCGAAACGGCAAATCAAGCTTCTCGGACATGGACTGCAAGGCTTTGAGTGGAGGAGCGAATGCAGGAAGAAGGATGGACGGAAACTCGAAAAGCTGCCGATGCTGTCTCGATCCCATATTCTTGAACCAGAGAAGTGACCTTCTGACCTCGGCAATACTCGCATCGACAAGCTTGAGGTATACGAAAGCATGGCGTTTGTCATCGGACAAGCTGTATCGAGGGCCGTCTCGCTCTCCTGATGTCTGATCACGCTGGTTCGAATCGTCGAGCGTCCGAACAGTGGACCTAGATACTTGGAAGAAGAAGATGTCGCCCATGTCGTCCACAATGCAGACAAGTGTTCCATCGGTGAGCCTCTTTGTCTGAACCCACCACGCCGCACGTTCTAGCTTGTCCAAAGCCCTTGCTGCCTTCGGCTGGTCAATCTTGACGATGAACTCGAGACCAGAGCGTTTATCGAAGGTGACCTCCACAGCAGTGGCATAGTCGTATACCACTATCTTGGTTCTGACTTCGCGGACTCTGTCGGTCGACTCGACTCGCGTTCGAATGGCGTTGCGCAGATCGTGCAAGGTATCTTCGCGAAGAAGTCGAAAGTGACGATCCAGTAGGCCGGGTAGCCCCTTCAAATGATGCTGCGATGGGTTGATTGTCGGCAAGTACTCGTCGCGAAAAGACATGATTTCGTTGAGAGTGGGCATGAGCTTGATGTCAGCAATTTGAGCATGATCGTTGTCGTGACGTCTTCCTCTCCGGGACAGAGTGCCAGGGAGGTCCTGGCTGAGCACAAACTCAGCAACGGGGGCCGATTGAGTGGAGATTGAGGCGTCGGGGAGAGAATGGCCGATGCCCAGTCGGCGACGGACATATTCGAGGTATTTCGAGGCTTGCACGGAATAGAAGGCCGCTTCTTGGTCGCCAAAGACGTCGAGACGGAGCTGGATTTTCTCGACAATGGACACGAAGTGTGCGTTGACAATATTGGCGGAACTCGTGTCAATGACCTTTGCCAGAACTCCACATCCGAGCGACAAGGCTTCGATGGCAGAAGCATCCGCGGATTGGAAAGGAAGCTCCGTCCAATGATCAACGATGTGAAATACAAAGTTGTAGAGTCGCTTGAGGCGAGCTGTGTCGACGCCCAGAAGAGATCGATAAATCGTGGCCAGTTCCAGTTCCAGAACGACGGAATCCACAATGACAGGATGGAGAATAATCTGAAAGAACGAAGAGATGCGCGACTCCCAAAGGTGGGCCGCCAGTGACGGTGTTACTGTCAACGAAAGTCCCTCGAGAACGTCTTTGATCAGAGACAACCGGCGCTCTGTAGCCAAGTCTCTGATGACTTCTTGCGCGAGACTGACATCCTCTTCGACAAGATCAAGGGCCAAGCGGAAGAATCTGGCTGTCTCGGCGTCTTGAGCGAAGGCTGGCATAGGCCGAAGACGTCTCCAGGAGTAGACTTTCTCGCGGTCGGGACCAGGAGCTTGGCTTGAGCTGCCAGATCCGCCGGGATGTCCATTCTGAGGCCGGCCGCCTCGGGCACCTCGGTCGTGGGAGAACTTGCAATTGGACCCGTATCTACATCTTCCATGCATCCACTGGTGACATGGCGCAGACGACGAGAATCCGGGGTTGCCGCGGGATCTGGTCACATAACTATTAGCCTGGCTGAATACTGAACAGTGATTGACACTGATGCTGTTGCATATCTCACACTCGTCCTGGAGCCATCGCGAATGGTCAAAACTGTAGGTTTCTGAAAAGCGTGAATGCCGGCGTGAACGCGTAGGGATGATTGAGAAAACAGAAGATATGCTCCGAGAGAATTGGGAAGAGGAAAAGAGGCGCTTTTGAGCAGCTTGGACTTGTGGACAATGTCTGATCTTACATATTTCTCATAGCCGTAGATTCATATGCAACGACAGCGGCTACAGTCTGCCTGCAGCTGGTTCGAGAAGCATCTCGGCAGACCCAACCAACACCACTCACCGAGCATGTTGGAGTAGCAGCGGGCAAAGCATGCCAAGGTAAAAGAAAAGAAACTCCACCCAAAAAGCACTGGATCCTGCATTGCCCTCAGGGATCAAAGAAAAGTGTAAGAATCTAGGGGCATTCCAAGTCTCGTTTGACCAATGAACGATGCTGTACGTCAAGCCGGAGGCCGACTGAAACTCCAAGCACTATCGTGGGAGGTGGCTGCAGCGAACCATCCACGACGAATGATGACGACCGGAGCAGCGAGATTGCATGGCAGAAGGATGCAGACTCTGAGTTATGCCTTGCAGTCAGGCAATTGGTTTTCAGGACACTGCCTGCATGGCCACAAAGTGGCCGGAGGGCGCTGATGAAATCTTAGTGGAGTTGTGGCCAACAAACGGGCCGTGTTTGGCCAGCGACATGGCTGAGTTCTTATTGTTGGCTGAGGCAGCGTAAGTCTCTCCATGGATCAAGCTCCTTGCTGTTGCATTCTGAATGGTATGCGAGCATTGAAGGCGAAGCTTTGTCGACTGACCGATCTGGCGACGGGAAGGTGAAGTTGAACAACCTGACGGACGTACCAGGGACGAGGACGGAGGAAAGATTCCGGGGTTGGACTGGTTTTATTAGTCATCCAAGAAGAAGCTGTGGTACGTAAGCAAAGCTCAGCAACAAGGTCAACAAACCGTTCCAGCTGTGACCAGATGGCGCTTCTCTGGGAGCTCTCAGGTGGAGCCAATGCCGAGCGGGCCGTATCCCGAATTCACCGGAACCGGACCCGGCCGATCCTCCGTCTACCGGGTGCGGGCGTGATGCCATCCAATTCGAAGACGGAAATGATGCACGTCACCACCGGCTATTGAAAGCTGCGGAGCAGCCGTTCATCACCTTAATCAGCGCTCTGGCGCACACAGTTTTGGCAAAGATTGCCGACCCCGAAAATTACAGTCGGTAAAATAACTCGCAGCGTCATTCTGCGTCGCATCGCTGCGGTGACCCACTCCGAACCCCAGGTCGTTTATCTCAAAAAGGAGACAATCTATCCCGGCCGAAACCAACTTCGCCGATGGCCGGTGCAAAAACGTTGAAATGCCATGACTCAGGCGACCCTCAAATAATCACCATGTCGCGTTCGTTCCTCCCCAGTACCATGCAGTCTATCGCAACGTTGATCAAACACTTTCCAGCAGTTCTGTTCATCGAAACTACCGAGTATGATGATGACCTGCTGACGATTACACGTATCCTTTCCATTTAGTCGCGAACGAAGCATGATGCCATCAAGTCTTGTCTAACCACAAAACACCCGGCGACGCTTTGGGTTGGGCTTTTCTCCGCTAGCTGGTTATGGCCCCTTCCTCACCCCCTCTATCGCACCTCAATCGCGATGCCGAAAAACAGACTCCGGGGATGATGCACAATTTCGGCCACAAAGCACCCGATGCAGATGAGAAAGCAGCAGATACCGAGAAATATGGAAAGGCAGAGACTCCTTCTCTATTTGTGCCATTACCGGAAGAGAGCGATGAGCCCGACTCGTTGCCCGGCGCCACAGACCTAAATGCCGATCCGGACGGAGGCGAGGCGGACCGGGCCATGAGCCGGATAACGACACAATCAAGCATCGGCCCTGGACCGCCTCCCGATGGAGGACTGCAGGCGTGGCTGGCAAGTAAGTTTCGACCGACATCACCGTCTGCAGAACTGAGTTGACTCGACATAGTCTTCGCAACTCATCTGGTCATCATGAATACCTGGTAAACATTTCGCCCCCTTTCACACCCGTAGCATAGTGATCTAAAACGGGCATGTAGGGGCATCGTCAATTCTTACGGCGTCTTCCAGCCTTACTACACAACCACTCTTTCACGCCCGCCATCCGACATCGCATGGATCGGTTCATTCGAGGTCTTCCTGTTATTTTTCATCGGTGCATTCGCCGGTCGGCTCACTGATGCGGGCTACTTCCGCCCCCTGTTCATATCTGGTTTCCTCCTTGTGGTCCTAGGCATGGTCGCCACGTCTTTTTGCACTCAGTACTGGCAGTTTTTCTTGGCGCAGGGCATCTGCATGGGCCTTGGAAATGGTTTTCTTTTCTGCCCGAGCCTATCTACTGCGTCGACCTACTTCGACAAGAAAAAAGCCCTGGCCCTCGGCTTTGTGTCCATCGGAAGTTCGACGGGAGGGATGATCTATCCTAGTATGGTACGGCAGTTGCTTCCCAAGATCGGTTTCGGGTGGACCATTAGGGCTATCGCACTTGTACAGATGGTGACGTTACTCGTCACCTCCCTGGTTCTCAAGCCCCGGATCAAGCCGAGAAAAGCTGGAAGCTTGGTTGAGTGGGCTGCTTTCAAGGAGTTGGAATACACCTTTTACGCCGTGGGTTCATGGCTGGTAAGACTTCTCTCTCTCTCTTTCTTTCTCATGCCGGATAGAGTAAGCTGGTAACTAACATTGTGATCTCTCGTCAAGAACTACCTTGGGGTATTCTTCGCTTCATATTACATAGCGGCGTACTCTCGCGACATCATTGGGCTGAGCTACACTTCCTCACTCAACCTCCTTCTATTGTTGAACGGCACAGGGGTTCCCGGGAGAGTGATACCGGCCTACTTTGCTTCATACTACATCGGCACCATCAACATGTTCATACCCATGTCCTTCATTTCCGGCATCATGATGCTATGCTGGCCTGCTGTGTCATCTGTCACCGGTCTTTACATCTGGACCACATTTTACGGGTTTTTCACGGGGGCCATACAGAGTCTTATGCCATCGGGCATCGGCACTCTGACAGTAGATCCGAGGAAGCAAGGTACGAGAATGGGAATGACTTTTACCATCATCAGCTTCGCGGTCTTGATCGGCCAACCCATCGCTGGTGCAATCATCTCTGCAATGGGCGGAAGCTATGTGGGCGCGCAGGTATATGCAGGGGCATGTATGCTTGCCGGCATGTGCTTTCTCGTCGCCGCGCGGATGGCGAGGGCAAGGAAGTCAGGAAAATGGTTATGGATCAAAGTCTGAGGAACGGGCTCGTACTTTCTTTCATCAGTAAGTAGAAAGCGAGTCTTTATTTGTACTGATTCCTTGACTTGAGCTCAAGTAGAGCTGGGTTTGTTAATAATCTTCATGTCTATTGTTCACTTCTGGCCCAGAACTTCAATCGCCAGGACAACGACAGAGTGCCTGGCACAAGTGCTTTGGCATCTTTGGATGAATTCAGATAGACTTCTTGGTTGACACGGATGAGTGACGACTTGGGATGATCAACATCTGGTCTTTACATAACTTCTTCCACCCATCTCTTCAGGGGCTTCCACCGTGGCGTGGCGCCTTGAGCAGATCTGAGGCTGAGGCATCCCGGCCTCACCTCATCGACTCACCAACGCTCTGCCTAAAAGGCCGTTTGTCTCTTGCCCCAAACGCGACACAGGAGGCAGGTGCCGACAAAAAGCGAAGTGGGTCCGCTGCCTTCCCGCTCCTGCCTTCAAAGTCTTCAGATCTCAGACTTCAACCGAACTGAGCCTCAGGTTAAGTACGCGCTACCGACTTCTCCCACCTCCCACCTCACATTTTGTTGTTGCCGTGTTTTTCCCCCTCCTTCTCCCACTTCGCGTCGTGTTGACCGCTGATTTTCCCTCTTCTCTTCGCACTATCCCAGTTGCACTTCCATCTCACCCAGGGTGTCCCAGAACGTCACCGGACGGGACGACAAACAAGAGCAATACCAACTCCCACCATACTACCAACTGAAAACGACCAAAGGAAAAAGACCGGCACCAGCTGCAGCGCCGCCGATCGGCAGCATCGCCGAAGATGGAGCCAGTACCCATCAACGACCTGCTGTACGACCATCTGGTGCTGCCCGCCCAACTTCCTCAGGGACGGGAACATGATCGTCAGCTGCGGCTTGTGGAGGAAGCCCTCACCAAGCGACTTATCGACGCGGCCAAGGTCATGCAAGGTATCCCCGGCAACATTTCAGGGCATCTTTGGAAGTCACTTCACCAAACAATCGTAGCCTCCGGCGCCCTCAACCGCAATGGCAGAATCGACAAGTCCGCATTTCTTCTTGAACTCCAACGCCTTGGCCCATCTGGCTGTCTGATTCTCCACATCGAGAGCCAAAATGCTGGTCTCCTCATCCGGAGGCAACAAGAGTAAGCCTTTGCCAATATGATCACGTGCAACTTACAGGAGTCGCGACAGCTAACATCTTCCCACAGCCCTATCTTCAATGATTGCGTCGTTTTCGAAGCATTTGAGGCTTCTCCGAGAAACGAGGACGTGCTTGCCACCAAAGGTGCCCTGCAGTGGGACTTTCCCGGCATCGCCGTGGCAGTCCCTTTCGCCACGACTTTTAGTGACGACGACTTCCTACTCAATGTGGCGACTTTCATTGAGCAGGCGTCGCTGGAAAACACCAAGTCGTTTGCTGCCCATACCTTCAAGGCCGGCGCCGTCGTCTACGAATACCGAAATACCGGCGACCCGTCCATCATTACCTCTTTGTTCATGGCAATCCTCGAAGAGAATGGAAGAAGGGTGGCACCGACGCTGTTGAGGAAGCGAGTCAGGGACGATGTTTGCTGGAACCGGGCTGAGAAGCCTTGGCGGCGACTGCCCTACTGGCTGGTCCTACGTGTCGGCATCCAGCGCTATCTATCACTTGCCTCGGACCTCAACGCAGAGGGTGGTCGTTTTGAGTACAAGTTTTTCATCGCCGTTGTTCTCTCGACCTTCCTCGACGATGCACCAAGCCAGTCGATCAGTGTCGAACGTGTCCACTTCCTGAGGAAGAAGCTTTGCAGACGTCTCGTCAAGCTCGATCTCGACAAGCAACGTTGCACTGGCGACATAGCGTCGTCCCGCTGTGACTTCCTTTTCGACTACCTGGGGCCAAAGTTCAACAAGACCATCGAGTACTGTACCAACGTTCTGAACCGCGCCTTGGCCACTCAAAGGGCTGCCGTCATAAAGCAGATTCCCCTACTGCCACCCCGGGCTGCGGATGCAGATGTCCGTCTGAATCTCCGGCTGAGTCACCCATACCTCAAGAGCGCCCTCCAAGGCTTCCGGTTCCCTCGGAAGGCGAAGCGATTTAGAGCAATGCCGGACGCAGCCCTGACTGAGGCAGCCAAGGATCACTTGAGCCAGTACGCTCAATCCTATCACAAGCTGATCGACAAAGAGCTTCAACTTGCCAGGTTGCCAGGAGAGAGTTGTTTCGAAATATCTCGACAGATCTTGGACTATGTCAATATGGCCAAGCCACTGTATGCGGGAAATCCAGAGCAGAACAGTCAGATGTTGCTGACCGTGATGGAGATGTGGCAAAAGATGGATGCCATTGCTTGTCGCTCCTTCCCATTGCTCTCTGAGTTTCATCCAGTTTTCCAGCCGCAGATGCTCGACGTCCTTCTTCTTCCTCAATTTTCGGACATGGTACGGCTCAACGCTCTTCAGCTGCTCCTATCTGATCGCGTGAGACGCGCGAACAGCGACCGCCGAAACATCTTCGAGGACCCTTCGATCGGCTGCTTTGGAGAAAGATACTATTCTGAGTCGTCGGATGCGGCTGCTCTCAAGCAGCTGCATGAGTCGATCGTTGAGATGGCAGACGACACGCGCGAACGGAAACTGGAAGAGTGGAAAACGAAAACCCAGAAATACGACAATCTGATCCGCCGTATCGACACCAGTGCCTGCACCTACTTCCCAGATGATATCGACCCGTTGGGTCGTGGACGTCACGACCCGGATTGCCTCAGATGCGGCTTGATGTGGAACGCGCAGAAAATGCGGATCGCCATCTTCGAGGATCCCTTACCGACAGATCCCATTGCCACGCGGGCTGTCATTTTCGAACTTGCCTGCCCAAGGGAATTCACCATTTATCGCGATACCACTTGGTGGATTCTCCGACAACTGGCAACTCCCTTTGACGACGAGGGTGTCAAGCCTAGATGCTTGCTCAAAGATTATGTCCAACTGAAGCCCTTCTTCGAGGTAGGCTCAAGCAAAGTCGGCTTGGCATCGACTACGAAACCTTGTGAGTAATTTACGTTCAGTCTTTTCTCCTCTATCGGTCGTCCTCTCGTCACTCTTCCACACTTTCTGGTTCCCCTTCGTCCTCACAATCGCCTCTTGTTCCAGGCTGTTCTTGTTCTTGCTTCTCCCACAAGTTACGACAGTCTGCTAACAGTTCTTAGTTGCAACAACCCATTATATATCTGTCCCATTCCCAGTCGAATGGGAGGGAGGCAGAGATGGCGTTTGTCGGCCTAACGGAATGAAATTGGCAATGTTTGACGAACAGACTTCGACATGGCCCGGAAGGCTCAAGTTTCGCCCGACGTTCTCTCATCATACAGCGCTTGTTCTGCCCAGGTCATCTCCCTTCGCCAGGATTTTCGATAACAGGACATTCGCCGTGGATGGGCCTGGACCCTCATCCTACGAAATTATGGCCAGTCAGTCCGGTTGTCCCGCCGGTGCCAATTTGCACGAGTATCTGGCGATGCAGACACTGATGTGTGGCAAATCGCAACGATGGATTGCTTTGCTGACTGAACTTGGATCCACCAACTTGAACTTTTCCAGCGAAGTTACTATGCTCGTTGTGTCTCACCTCGCAACCCTCAGCGGACCGATGGACGATGACAACAGCAGCAGTACGAACAACGATACAGGTGTTCGGGGCGAAAACCTTTGCCGGGCGGCATATGCCGGGGGCAGGAACAACAAGGATGTCCTACGGAAGGTTCACAAGATATTCCGCGATCAATGCTTCTGCGACAAATTGGTGGAGCAGCTATCCACGCGGTTGAACAGCATGGAAGCTAACTGGCGCGAGACGTACTTAATGGATGTGGTCATCACCATCCTGCTGCGCACCCATACTCTCACGGCAACAAACCCAAATGCCTCACTCAAAGCATTGGAGGCATTGATTCGAGCCCGTGAGGTTTGCTTACGTTGGGTGGAGATGCTTCGGGCGGAGACATACAAGTCCAGCGATACTGAAGTGGCAAAGAGGTGTCAGCAGTACGCACTCTGGGCTGCAATCCTTTGCAAGCGAACTTATGTCATCCACCGAAACCAGTCCACGATTCTGGATGCCAGACCCCTTCAAACTTATATCGAGTGTTGCATTACAGTCCAGGACAATTTAGTTGTGGAGGTTGGCGCATTGCCCCAAGTTCTCCAGCACGCCGTTGTCTCCGACCTGAAGCTTTCCCATCGCCTGGCCCCCCTGGTGGGCAACTCAATCGTCAACAGTCCCGATGTCTTCCGAACTGCTATTCGAGCCGTTTGGCCGGAACCCGAAGACCGTCCCCGCCAGCTTTACCACTTGAGATCAGATCTGTCACAAGCGGGATGGGTTCTTTGTGAGATCCAAGAGAACGATCATGAGCAACTCGTACAGGTCCACTACAACTATGTACAGGGACTCCTTCTCGTCGATAACAAGCCTCTGGGAAAGCTTCCAAAGGCACCTGAGCACATTGAGGCCCTCAATGAGCTTTTTGGAGACCAAGCTCTTTTGGCCTTGCCCTCCGCCTCCGGCATGGATTACACTTTGTGCATCCGGCCTAACAACTACCGCATTGATATTGGATTTGAAGCCGGAAACATGATTGTTCGAGCTATGAAAGGATCTCAATTCCTCCAGCTTGTGGACCGGAAAGTGTTTTATTCAGAGAACTCGTCCGATCTCCCGGGGCCCCTTCTCGAAGGCTGTTTTCACTGGCTGTAAGTTTTCTGGGCACATCCCCTTCCTATGAACGACCCGAGTTACATTCATGCATCAGCCGTTTCCAGAGAGAAAGGTTCTAACTTTTTCGTAGAGATCTTCATACCGGTACACTGTTCATCACCCAGGCACCAGAAATCTGGAACATCAGCAGATACAACTGGACTCTCAATGTCCATCACCAAACTTGTTCCCGAAAGCGATTGAATGGTGTTGAAAGAGTTGTTGACCCAGGCAGCCCTTTGTTCAACAGAGTGAGCAGAATTTTCAGCGGCTTTGAGGACAGGCAGAAAATCATGGTCTATCAACCCGAGGGAAGAAACTTACAAGTGGAGATCAAACGGTTGCAACTTCTCTTCTACGTGAACGCTCGTCAGGTGCTTCAGTCGCCACAACTCGGATCCGAAATCGATGTGGACCAGGATGCCGGTACCTGGTACGGGCTCAGCAGCAAGCTTGTCTTTCGCAACCCGCGCGATCCTCTGCAGAGAACAATTCTGGTTCCGCTTGGACAGATCGAGGCCAAGAAAGACGGAGACAACATGCTCGTACGCACGCTTCCCGACCCGGACTACGGCAGATTCATCATCAACAAATCCCTCGGGCGTTTGGATTGCGCAGCAGAACCGGCGCTTCTTTACACCAAGGCCCTACTGCACGCGTATACTTCCTCGGTTTTCCCAGACCCTTTGACCGGGAGAACCGGGACTGAAGAAGCTTTGCAGTGGCTTTCTTCCGGGGTCTGCCAGCCATGGCAGGTGTTGGGCAACGGTCCATGTCATAAACTTCTGAAGATCGCCGAGCTGAGCCCCCGGCACGACTACTACCCCGATGACTTGAAAGTCATGAAGACGGACAACTGGAATGATCAAGCGACCGAGAGCATTCAGCATGAAGATTTCAGGCCACTAGTTGAGAAGATTCTATCGACCTCCGACGAGCTTCAAACATTTTCGCTGCTCGACGCCCATCCAGGTTTGGCGCTGTTACCTCCACCCGGGAACGAGCATCTTCGTGACAGGGCGAAGTCCCGCCGACAAGTCTTTGAGCGATCATTTGACGACAAGATAAACATCGGCCCGGTAAAGGATGAGGAATATGGCCCTCGCGACAGTCCTATGCCTTCCAACCCTCGCCACCGCCAAACGCTTGAAGTTGTTCATCTCATCCGAACTTGGCCTGAGAAAATGGAAACCACACAGTCTCTAGCTCAACAACTCTCCATGGGCAGTACTGTTGGTGGGTTTAGAGACGTTTTCGACAAGGTCTCACTGAGTGATCGCCTGAGTGTTGATGCCGTGGCTCACTGGGGGTCCCTGGTGAAGGCTTGCATAGTGCAGGAAAGCCCTTTTGCCTTGATGTTTACCCTGGCACCAATCGCATTCAGTTTCAAAGTGGACTTGGGGCTGGTCAAGACTCTTGCAGCGTTTGGCATATTTGAAGAGTTGAAAGCCGTTGATCTTCCCATCTGGGAAGAGTACGAGCGATTCAAGCCCAATCAATCGCCTCAACTCGAGTCCCTCACGAAACTCATCTTGCCCTTCCGCACCCCGCCACCCAGAGATGACAGCGATGAATTGCGGCAATTTGCCAGTGCCAAACTTCTCCGAAAAATGAGGGACCAGAAAGATACCTGGGAAAGACGATCTGAACAGGACTGCAAAATCTTGGCAAATTTTCTCCTCGCTCAATGGCCCTGTGTGGAGCCTAATGTTGCAGGGCTCTCAAACTCTTTACTTGTCGACGTCGGGGCTGCTTTGGATATTGTCAGAGAAGAGTGGAAGAGACTTTACCAGAACATGGATTTGTCGATTCATCTCGATGCCGTTCAGAATGTTCTCAACCGACGACGCGGTGACGAGGACTCGGCCTACGAATGCCCGCTCTTCATACCCTCCGAAGAAATACTCCAGGAACGTCTTCGCGGGGGTGAGATACCACGTCTGAGGGCCGACCTACTCAGAAAGGCTTTCCCTGTAGCCAACGGCTCGCACAGTACCAAGGCTCCGAATGGGACCAAGACCCCGAACGGCACTGAGCACAACATAAAGAGAAACGTCAAGCCTCCCAGTGCTCCAGCCATGCCTCGCCACCCGGCTCACATCCGTGGACCTATTGCCCTGCCGACTACTTCCAACTCGCGAAGCACAGGCACAAATGTCTTGGCGCCCAGTTGGATGTCATCGAAAACGGCATTGATACCGTCAAGCGATTCGACAGCGGAGCTGAAACAGATTGTCACTGGGTTCTCGATGTCTCAATCCATGGTACGACAGAAGTACGCAGAAGACTTGCAAAAAAGCCTGGATGCCTTTGTGACGCGGAAGCAGCCAAGAGACTGCGCTAAGCAAACGCCACTGACCCTTGTCGCTCGAGAAGTTTCAATGTCTCTCCTGTCTATTCAACGTCGATTCGACAATATTCAAAGGGCTTTGGAGACGCCTGACGATAGCATCTCTGCCCAACGTGTGTTGTGGCTCAAATCCGGCCAGCTCTGGCCTGCTGTGACCTATGTGACTCTTTTAGAGCAGCTGCGGACAACAGCATCGCCTGCTGCTTTTGGTAAATACGCCAAGGAGACGTTGATTGGCTTTGGCCTTGCAATCACAAATACGCAACGAGATCTCCGGATCAACGACTTCGTTCTTAGAGGCGATGCAGGAAGATACAAGGATGAGATGGAAAATCAAGGCCATTCGAATTGGCAGCCAGCCGAGCATCCTGACTGGTTGCTTCTTGAGATCGAAGCCAACTTGCTTATCCGGCCTGATCAAGTTGATGTGGCTTTGGCTACCATTTCTCCGGCGTCTGGTGCCAATTCTGTTTTGCAGATGAACATGGGACAAGGTTAGTAACGCTGCTGCCCCCCCCCCCCCCTCCTTTGTGGAAAAGTTCTCCATTTTCCCAACTTCCTTCCCGTTATCTCGTACACAACAGATGTACTAACTAGTCGAAGGCAAAACATCCTGCATCATTCCGATGGTTGCCGCAGCCCTGGCAGATGGCCAACACCTTGTGAGAGTTGTTGTGCCAAAAGCCTTGCTACTGCAGACGTCGCAGCTACTCCAGGGCCGGCTGGGCGGGTTGCTGGATCGTCAAGTCCGCCATATCCCGTTCTCCCGCCGGACACCTACAGACGAAACCATCATTCGCGCTTATCACAGAGTCCACCGAACAATTTTGAAGCAGGCAGGAGTCATGGTCTGTCAGCCTGAGCACAGTTTGTCTTTCATGCTGAGTGGCCTACAACGTCTCCTTGACAACCGAGTGCCAGAAGCAGGACCGATGATCAACGTCCAGACCTGGCTGCGAACTCGCTGTCGCGATATTCTTGACGAGTCCGACCACACACTGGCTGTTCGAACGCAGCTTATCTATCCATCTGGTTCTCAGATGACGGTTGATGGCCATCCCCATCGGTGGCAGGTAGCCCAGGCAGTCTTACGTCTGGTAGACCGCCACTCGTACAGCTTAGCGCATGCTTTCCCTAACTCGGTCGAAGTTGTTCGACGCCCCTGTGGAGGGTTCCCTATCCTCTACTTCCTCCGGCCTGACGCAGAGGATGGATTGATTCGCGGACTTACGACGGATATCGTGCGAGGTATTGACGGAATACTCCCAAACTTGGATCCAGATGACCGTCGTGCGGTTCGAAACTTCCTGACAGCAAAGCCGCATGAGACCGTCATACAACATGTCAAACAGCTTTGCCCAGATAGACCTTCGGTTCGTCAGACTGTGTACCTGCTGCGAGGAATCTTGGTCAACCGCATCCTCATGATGACTCTCAAGAAGAGATGGAACGTCCAGTACGGATTGCATCCCCTTCGGGACCCCATTGCAGTCCCTTATCACGCCAAAGGAGTGCCAAGCGAACAGTCGGAGTGGGGACATCCAGACGTCGCAATTCTGTTCACCTGCCTCGCTTTTTACTATGACGGTATCAGCATCGCTCAGCTCACCCAGTCTCTTGAGCATCTACTAAAGTCGGACGACCCATCAGCCGAGTATGAAAAATGGACACAAGCTGCAGATGCGTTTCCGGAGTCTCTCAAAGCCTGGAACTCCATCAACGTGGACGACGACATGCAGCTCGCAGAGATTTGGAAGGCCGTGCGACACAACATCCCAACCATCGATTATTTCATGAACAATTTCGTATTCCCGCAGCATGCGAAGCAATTCAAGGTCAAACTCCAATCGAATGGCTGGGATATTCCCCTGTTCTCGGTCACCAACACCTCGCTTTCTTGCAATAGCGGAACGGAAGGGCGGCCTCCAGCCCTCACCACTGGTTTCAGCGGCACCAACGACAATCGGACTATGCTGCCTCTCACAATCAAGCAAGAGGATCTTCCAGGTCTATCCCACACCAACGCCGAGGTTCTGACCTATCTACTTCACCCCCGGTCTCGCGAATGCCACAGGATTGTTGGTCGCTACGGCGCAAGAGCCTCGGAGTCAGATTTACTGGAAGAGCTCAAAAGGCGCGACATCAATATTCTCATCGATGCTGGAGCTCAGATTCTTGAGATGAACAACGTAAGCCTTGCGATGAAGTGGCTCGAGATCGACGGACGAGCTCTCGCTGCCCTGTACTTTGACGAACAAAACAAGCCGTGGGTTGTTCAGAGGGGAGGAAGAACGACCCCCTTTTTGGCCTCGCCGTACGCAGACGACTTGAGTAAGTGCCTCGTGTACTTGGATGAGGCTCACACAAGAGGCACTGATCTCAAGTTCCCACCGACCGCTCGGGGTGCGTTAACCCTCGGCCTGGGACAAAGCAAGGATCACACAGTTCAGGCTGCTATGCGTTTGCGACAGCTAGGGACGACCCAGTCTGTGACCTTTTTTGCTCCGCCAGAGGTTCATCAGAGCATCCTCGACCTTCAGTCGAAGTCAAGTGGTGCGCAGCTCGACTCACACGACGTCATATGCTGGCTGCTAGACAATACATGTGACGGGATTGAACAGTTGCAGCCTCTTTACTATGCTCAAGGCATCGATTATTGCCGGCGCATGCAAGCAGCAGTCGAAAATCCCGACTTCCTTCGAGATTCGCAACAGCGCGAGGATTATCTTGCCATCATCAAGCAGAATGAACAGCACACCCTTCAACAACTTTACGAGCCAAAACGCAAGATCAAGGGCACTGGGGAGTTCCGCGCAGGATCAGATATGAAGATTAGGTCATTCGTCAAGGAGCTCAATACGAGGCGGAAGGCATTTCAAGACAATGGCCGAGCAGTTCACGCGTCTGCTTTGCAAGAGGTCGAGCAAGAACGAGAAATGGCGTTCGAGGTGCAAACGGTTCGGCAGGTCAAGAGGCCTCAATCGTATCCTGCATTGTCATTTCCAGGCTTGCATCAAGACATCGAGTCCTTTGCAAAGACAGGAAGGATGCCCGCCGGCGCGCAGGCGCTTGTTCCGGTCTTCAAGTCTTTGGCCAAGACTGGTAACGGAAAGAAGTACAAGATATCCGACCGGCTCTTCCCAGCAAGACTATTCGTGTCGACAGAGTTTGAGCGGACTATCAAACTCACCTTTGACTTGACCAATGACAACTTTCTTGTAAGTCCAAAATCTTCTTTCCTAGACTTTGCTAATTGCTCTATAGCGGAATGTCAACTGGATTCTATGGAGCCAGTCAAGCGAGATTGCAGTAATTATCATTCCTGAGGAAGCTGAGATGCTTCTGCCCTTGATGCGAAGCAAGGCTTTCAGGCCCGCCACCCATCTCCTCACCTATTCCGCGCCTGTCACCCGCAAAATGTTACACTTCGGCGAATTGAATTTCTACAGCATTCCCCTCCTCCCAGAGGATTGGAAAGCACCAATGTGGTTGAAGATCGAGCTTGGATTATATGCCGGACGACTGTACTTCGAGTGGGACGAATACGCTCATATTTGCAATCTTCTGGGCATTGATGAGGATTCGTCTCTCGAGTGTTTGGACGAATGCTCCGATGAAGGACCCACTGAGGATCAAACTGACGGACCGAATCAAACTGCCAACCGGGCTGCTGCTTCATCCAGCACTGGTTTGACCTCCCGGCCTCTGACTTTCTTGCAAGAGTGGTTGGCTGCACGGCGTCGCGGCCAGGACTTTGTGTCAACTCCCATGGGCTTTGTCGCTCAGGGCAAGCCTCTTCAAGCCAGTCACCCTTTCTTCCGGAAAGCCGAGGAGAACGCCAAATGTGAGAGACTGTTTGTTCCAGTCAATCGAAAACATGTGCAACAAGACGCCGAAGACCACCCTGTGGATTATTACGATATGGATTTTATGGGCAACCATGGGGAGCCGGAGAGTGACGCTGAGTACGCAGAGATTGAGTACAACGACTCGGAAATGGAGAGTGGAAGCGAAGAATTGGAGTCAGAAGACTGATCGGGCAGTTCTTGCCAAGAATGTTGCTTTACATCTCCGGTGGATGAGAAATTGCTTTTCAGATTGTTTGAGTTTTGAGAGATTCTGTGGGTTTACTTGTTGTTCATCGGCTCAGATAGACACCTAATGTTCTTGGTACCATACAATGCTTCTCTGACGTACTTTTGAGTGAAACCAACCAATCCTTCCGGGTGCCACCCGAAACAGTTGCTGTCCTTGGGCTGTCTCGTTATGTCGTTTTAACTGAGATAATGTCTGTATTCCCGAACCCTATTCCGCCTAAAGCTATTTTATTTACATAGAACGCGATCCCTTGGTGGTTGTGTGAGGTGCTACTGACTGGAAGGTGCGTGCCTGTCATCTTGTCCTCATCGAGATTCGATGTCCACGGTGCTACCCACTGACCAGCTAGGGCTTGGTGAGCCAAGACTTCAGAGGAGTAATCCTCTCAACTGCATCCGACTTCGAGATTGCGACGACGGTGTCGTCCTCGAATCGGCCGTAGTAATACCGCATGTGCCGTCCACGGTCCGTGAATCCCTCGACGATGCCCCTTAGACCGGAGGACTTGATCGCCTCGCAAACCGCGTCCAGATGCTCGCCGATCTCGGCGTGGGACAGTGAATCGGAGAGATAGATCATCCAGGTCTTCTCGTAGATCGCTCCTCCGATAACAGCCATCTTGCCACCGGCCTCGCGTCGGACGCGTTCGAGGTTCATCGGCTCCTCGGCGGAGCTTTTCAGGGGGAGGAAGCTCTTACAGCCACCTCCGATGTGGCTTGCATACCGATCACCGACGATGACCATGTAGGGAAGAGGGTCGGGCTGCGAGGGCTTGGCGGAGGGGAGCGTGGTGGTTGGCCACCAGGTGTCGGTTTTGGGCCACCAGGCGTTTGTCTTTGGCCACCAACGGTTGGTTTTGATGACTTCGTCCTTGATGGATGCAGCGAAGACTCCCAGAACGAGTAAGAATGCAAGGGTGGCGAAGAAACGAAGAACAACGATGAAGCGGTGGGAGATCATTTCGTATGGTGCTTTTTGTGAAGGCTGTGTATAAACGGAAGAGTTTTCGATGGGTAGGGACTGCGATAGATCGTCGGTAATGGTGATAATGATGATGGCAATGGTCAAGATCTGTGTATTGCAAAAGATGGATGAAGTGGGATATTCTGACTTCTAATTGCTTCGAATTCAGTGGGAGTGGGATACGTTTATATGTCTGATCTTTTGCGATACCATGGCCCAGCCTCAGTCTCCCACAGTCACTCATGGTCGGGCAAGGCTACTATGTTGGTAAGGATGGCCTCTGACACTGGATGGAAGTTCTTCGTCGTTATATTCTCATCACGGATCGATCAATTATTTTAACTCCAGTGCTTTCCCGATATCTGATATCGATATAGGTTGGCTGGGCTCTGCGAAGCAAACTGAGCCGGGGGGAGCCGGCTGTGTGGGGCCGACCGGGCCGTGCCCGACGGAAACGACGGCGTCTCCGGGATTCTTCAAGAGATCTGATACTCAAGATGCGGGACAAAGAACATTTTTGCTATTGGTGAGTGGCAACAGGATATGTCACAATCTGATAATCACAAGTGCGGATGCAAATCTGGACCAGAATTCGGTCCTCTTTGATTTATTACACATGTCTCATCTGCATCAGGTAGGATATGCGGGCCATGTCCCCTCCCACTGCTCAAAGGTGAGATTGAAACCTCTTAATCAGAACGATGTTTTATGCATTTTGGTCGGCTTTGGAATGAACTTGGATGAAACATGTGGCGGCCTGTCGACTTTTTGAATAATCAAACCAAATACAGGGGGTCCAAAGACGCCCTCAGCAAGATAATCCCCTCCCCAGCTCGTCAATGGCTCGGCCGGCCCTGGTAGTGCCTGTTCCCCCTCGGTGTCTTTCCGCAGACCAGTTTGACGCATAATGTCACCAAAATATCAATAAAATGACTCGCATACGGATTCTGATCGATTTCCTTGCGTCTCTCCCGGGTGCTTCGAATTAGAATGCGGCAGCGTGGGACTCTTCCATTAACCAGTCGAAGCCTTCCACAGGACGTCGAAGAGAACATAACGCATAGCCGTAATCATCAAAATGTGGAATGCGAAGAACAAGGTCCAGAGAGTCCAACCTGCGGTCTTCATTCCGATTGTTTCTCTTTCCTGTTCTGGCGCCTCGGGGTCTTTGTTAAATCTTCCCATTCCCTCCATGAAAGTCTCATACTCTCTGCAGGACGTGGCCCGTAGTCTTTGAAGCTCTTCGTGGAATGGAGGCAGTTTCTTTTGGCCAAAGACCCTCGTATTCGTGGGTAGATACTTCCCGCAAATACTCAGGCTCGTGATATTGATAAACGTCTCGGCCGATGGTAGAGTTGGAGGCCAAGCCGGAGGATTTGTTTGGAAAGATGTGAATCGAGGCTTGAGACTTGTGTTTTTGGTAAACTACAGGCTGAAATGATAGCTACTGGTATGGCTTCGTTAAAAGATGTGGACGATATGATATGCCTTGATGTGGAATTCGGCAAAGTTTTCGCAGTCAGGCCCAGAAATCCATCCAGGTTGGCATGATTGAATGCAGCTAGCTCTTGTTTACGTTGGGCTATCGGCGCCATGAAAACATCCTCCGGGCCTATGGTGATGATACTGCCGTTGGGTTTCACGGATTCAGGTTGCAACCAACCAAGTACAAGGCCGACATCTTGAGACAATTTGCATGCCATGATCAACTGCCGCGCTTTACTGATCATTGCCTACTATTTTCTTTGGTCTATGATAGACGGTGCACTCTTCAGCTTATCCTAACGCACCGTTGAAGCAACTGACATTCAGGCGCAGAAGAAAGAAGTATGAAGCTGTTCTTGTTTCGCCGCCTTCGGTATTCTACCTGTGAGTTGGCATAAATACGTATTCATGTAAGAAGCCTGGAAGTCCGCTCCAAATCATCGAAGGCCAAAAGGGTATGAACGTAATTTGCTACCATTTGGGCTCCGACCACACGGGTTCACATGCTCTCTCATTCCATGGGTATAAGAACCTCGCAGATCTATTGTTGTTAAGTCACACACGCTCCCCGTTTCCATTCTCCCATCACACACACACGTTTCCCAACGCGGACGTTCATATCGAATACTCCTCACTTTCATCCAAAATTTATCACCGACCATGGCTTTACTCATCCGGGCTTTGGCTTTCGTCTTCTTCGCCTCACTATTGGCTTCTGTCCATGCCTTTCCCACCAACGCCACCAAGGCAGCCATGCGTCCACTAGAAGTGCCAATCACGGAGCTCCGTTGCTTCGGTAAAAGTCCTCTGGTCGATCTAAACGGCCCCTACCTAGGAGGAAACATAACACATATTACAAACGGCAAATATCCTCCCGATCTCTTCATTACAATGGATCGCCGCATCGTCAAGAACTCTTACACCATCCACCTTGATTTTGGACAGGAGGCGAAGGCGAGCGACTCTGATTACCGTCGACACTTCACACAGATATGCGATCTTCTTGCGAAACACAACTACCCAAACATGCAGGGCCAGATCAGCGGCGGTCGAAAAACCGGACGAACCCAATTTCAATACGATGCAAAGGTGGACAACTTCATGATTTCGCGGATTTCCAGCCTCTCGTCAGTCAAAATGATCATGCCACAGACCGAGAAAGTTTGACTTCGGCTTCAAAGCATCATTCGTCACCGAATGCTTAAGAACAGAATGTTTTGCAACCTTCACCCCATCGAGTGTGTGGAGGGTGGCCAGGGCTTCGGAAAGGCAATGATTTCGATTTGAGAAACATTTGAATGTGAGAAAAAGTACTGTCAGCTAGGGTCGTTTAGTCTGCTAAGGATCTTATTTCCATGTATCATGAGTGAACAAATGAATCAGGTCTTGGTTATATGCGACTATTCATAATCATGGTGTGCTTGCTCGGTGATTCCACAAAGAATGGATTCGGTCCCGCAGTAAGTCGAGACAAGAACAATAATCCAACTTGGGATGAATTCTTATTCATGATTTAACACATCGCTCATGAGTCATTCTGCAAGCCGGGATGTGGCTGAGTGAAAAGCCCTGAAGCTATCAACTTTGCTTATTTGGGTATCCTAAGACCGAACGCTAACATGAAAACATGGGAAAGCCCTAGAGTCCATGTCGGCTCTATTTACTTCTCAATATCCAACGTCTTAAAGTCGATTCGCCGTTGTCCAACGAGCAGCCGGGGCTGTGAGATAACTCTCGACCTCGACGACTGGCATGGCGCCAAGTGTGGAAGAGCTGGCCTGAGAGTCGAAAGAGCGGCGGTTGTTACTGCGCTCAGCCATCACGCGCTTCGACGCCTTAACTGCGGGGGAAAAGGAGAAAGAGAAACGTTTGTTGGAGCTTTGTCTTGGTGTTAGTTTCTATGTGCTGAGAATTTGGAAATAGACATACTTGGGTGCCATGTTGGTTTCGTGTTGGGGGGTTTGATGATGAAGTTTTGAAGGTGATTGTACTATTTTGGTGTAGTGTTTGATCGTGCTTGTTTGCTGTTGAAGTCTCCAACTCTTCCTCTCATTGAAAGAGCATCCCGGGGTTTATATAACATGTTTCCATGAGGGTTGACTGTAGGATTCCATACAAATTCTCAAATGCGATACGCGTCATTTACAGCCATCGCCGTGGGAAGCTCATGAACATCATTCCGTAATTGAAGCCTTTCAAGACGGTTCCGAGACCCAGCTGACTGAAGATCCAGTATACAAGCAGCCTTGGCCACCACTTCAAGCACCGCCTCGCAACCAACCGCGCCCTTTTCAGTGGCTACAATTGTCATGCGCCACCGCCGATGACGTTTTGAAGTGATGTGCTCGTTCGAAGTTGGTGGGCTCATAATAAACGCCGACTTCAACCTGCGCGGCACAGTCCAATCGCAGCGGCGGCGATCCTCCGGATCGACAGCCCCGGAGCTGTCCAGGACCCTTCTTGCATCACCATGCAGAGCGAACCGCCCTCTGAATTTTTCAATGCTGAGGCTACGCTCTCCAGTTTATTATTGCGAAGATTTACATGGAACCTTCACGAATCAGGGGTCGGTGTCTTCATCGATTGTACGCCCCGCCATCCAATCTAAGCAGGCGATCTGAGGAATGACTACCCTTTTTACATCGAGATTCAGCGAATGAGTAATATCTTTTTAATTGCCCGCATGATATTGTGCTGCTCTGCGTACACTTTGGATGCCTCAAATCACCACTGATGATGTAAGTCATAGCGATGGCCGATTTCAATTGTGAGAGAACAATAGGCGTGACCATAACAGTCGGCCGAGGAAGTGAATCTCACGCTTGCTTCACTGCCAACATAGCAAGTCACTTCGCATAATGACCTAGCTCCAAAACTGGGAGAGGTCAAGTTCTTCCCCGTACCAGTCTTGTAAACAAGGAAAGCCTGAGCTGCAGAAGCCAATTTGCCTTGAGCGGCGGTGCGTTATTCCAATAAGGAGAGACCTGATGCGTAGGTGAAGCTCAGCTCCTTTTGTAAACTAATTAAACACTCGTCATGTCTTAAGTTGGTGGCTTCCCAAATGCGCAAGTAACTAGGCAGTGAACCGGCGCTCGCCGAGTGGGGCCGGACCGAAGACCGGCTGGAGAACCGCGCCTTCCGCGTCGCCCGTGATTACGTGGTTTTCGAGACCTCTTGGAATTTCCGCCTTTCTCGATTCAATGTTTTCTCAGTGAGCTTCGGAGCGTTGTTATGCTGCTCACCTACTCTGGCAAACTTTTCGATCACATGAGCCACTGGTCCCATGCTTAGGTTCTGCTTTTCTTTCTTTCTTTCTTTTATTGATTTGGGTACTTCTGTGTATCGTTTCGAGTCGAACCTGGTGATCTTTTGTTCGAGTGGTAGATACACTTTCGTCTTTCACACGACATCTACTACTCATACGATGTATATATTGAGTCAACGTTTGGCGTAGAAACCTTGACAACCTGCTGTGACTGAGTTTCGTTTCGCAAGAACTCATCATACTATCGAAAGACCACGGGAATCAGTTTCTTCCAGTAAATATTCACGGCGTTCTGTCCGTTAATTGTGGTGTTGTGACCGGCGGGGCACCGGTTTTAACTTCTTGGCCCGAGCCGTTCGGACTGCGAACCACCAACCAGATTCTCGTCATGAGCCAGATGCAGTAATTCAAGCCCCATTTAGAATCTTAGGGTGCTCTGTTGAACAGGCCTAATCCAAGCTCAACATTTGCTTCCATCAACATGGAGAGAAGATTTATAATCGATAGACCAACCATGACGAAGTCAAGCTCTGCCAAGCAGCGCCGAGGCCACGCAAGACTCGCGATTTAAAAATATTGGAAATTGTTCGTAACGAGACCCCAGCGTTTTCATCTCAACATTCGGCAGAGCGTTTGACGTGCATGGACTTCACGTGAGGAAGTCCATCAAACACCATTTCAGAGTTTTCTCCCAATACGTCGGATCAAGCTGCTTTTTTTGGTGTCATGGGAGACGACACAAAAACGTCATTTTCACATTGAAGAAGATGGCCACGTGAGATGGTGGTTGCGAGAACGAGACAGTAGTTGTTGGGAGTTGACAAGCCGTTCAGAAAAGGTCGGGAAATTTCGAAACGACCAGCTCACGTCACAGCCGTTAAACTCCGCAAGACTCCGCGCCTTGGTGCTTGAGAGACCGACTCTTCTCGGCCTTGTATCCCGGAACGGGATAGCAACGCCGACAATCTTGCCCATAATAAGTCAAGCTCGCTTAGTCGGTGAGGACTTCATTGGATGATTTCTCCACGTTGCCCCCCTCCATTCTGGTCCCACTATCCTGCTTGCGAAAGGCACTTGGAATGCTTGAATTGTCAGGTCTGTCTCCCCAAAACGCCAGACTCCCGCAGCGTGGTGCAGCTTGCGCCCGGAATTTACGGATCTCGTCCGGGACTTGAGGCAAATTGTTGCCAAGATGGCGGGGCGCGCCGGTGAAAACTTCAGTCCTATCCTGCATCAGAAAGATTTCCCCAGTCGTGCGAGGTTTTTCAAACAAGAGGATTTGCGGGATCCCCTCGGGGTCATGGAATCTGGAGTCTGGGAAACTGGGGATGTCAGCGTGAGAAAGAATTTCCACTCGGGCCCTCCAAGGACTCCATGTGACCGCAAAACCCGGCTTTTGGGGAATGGAGCAAATGGGGCAAATGGAGCTGTTCATCCCCTCGCTCGTTTCCCCCCGGGACGCAAGGTGACGTTCCCCGCGGACTCGAATGCGAAGCGGCGAGCCATCTCAGTGGTTTCTCAACCAATTCATTGTCTCCCCGTCCAACCCATCCCCCTTTCCCCGTGGATAGGCTTATCCCCACGTCATTCCGATGCGGCCGAGGAAGCTCCATTGCAGCTGCATCGTCAAAGTTGCTGGTAGGCCAGTGTAATCCAGGGGCACAAGAGCGAATCCCGGCCGCCTCCCAAAGTCTTACACCACAGTCCATAACACGCGCCGCGCGATTACACGATGGGGACCTGGGTTCAGCAGCTTTAACCCCACATTAAAATGCTGTTTGGAGGGGTGGTTATATGTTACCCCGGGACTTGACCGAGACCGGGCATTTCTTTATAAACTATTAGCCTCCCGTCTCGTGGCAGCCTTTTTGGGACCTCATCTCGACTCAATCCAGACGTCCTCTCACCCGGCCAACTCCATCTCATCACCGACCTCTTTCGACTGCTTGTTGTGAAGAGCGAAGTCCGAGATCCGGCAATATCGACAAGATGGATGACAAGATCGACCACGCGGACACCAACAAGGGCGTCTACGCCGACAATGTCGAAAACCAGCCTCAGGCGCATGATCCTAATGCGCCGCGTGTCATGGACCCGGCTCATCGCGCCGCCGTTGAGAAGAGCATGAAGCGCAAGCTCGATCTCCGTTGCTCTCTCTTCGTGCTCATCTACATTCTCAGTAGGGCTCTACCAGCTGCACCGCCACTCAACTTTGAGCTAATACGATGAACACCAGACTACCTCGACAGAAACAATATTGCTGCTGCCCGCCTCAAGGGTCTGCAAGATGATCTCCAGCTCAACAACACCGAATACGCCACCTGCTTGAGTATTCTCTACGTCGGCTACATTCTGATGCAGGTTCCATCCAACATGATTGTTAATAAGATCTCTCGCCCTTCGCTGTACATTGCTGCCGCTATGTTGGTCTGGGGTCTTATTTCTACTCTGTCTGGTGTCACCACGAGCTTCGGCGGCATGGTTGCGACCCGTTTCTTCTTGGGTTTCATCGAGGCCGCGTTCCTCCCTGTGAGTAGTTTATATCCAAGAGTCGAGAGGAAGCCGGTACTAACTCTGTATCTACCCAGGGTGCCCTCCTGATTCTTTCAAAGTGGTACACGCGTCGTGAACTCACTACTCGCAACGCCATCTTGTTCTGCGGAAACCTCATCTCTAACGCATTTTCGGCTCTCGTCGGTGCTGGTGTTCTTTCGAACATGCAGGGCGTTCTTGGACACTCAGCCTGGCGATGGCTTTTCTGGGTACGCAGAACTTTCCTTGGATGATGTTGTGTAATACAGCTAACGCGAGTCCAGATCGAGGGAGCCGTCACCATGGCCGTTGCCATTTCCGCCGCCTTCATCTTGCCCGACCTCCCCACCAACTCCAAGGGCTTCACTGAGGAGGAGCTCTACGTTGCTCAGCTGCGTATGACTGAGGATGTTGGTGAGGCCGATGCCGACTCTGCTGAAATGGGCCCCATGGACGGTCTCATCATGGCTGTGAAGGATGTCAAGATCTACGTTATGATGCTCACCTTCACTGCTTACGTTGTCGGTCTCTCCTTCAACGCCTTCTTCCCTACTCTCACTGGCACTCTCGGTTTCGCATACGTCCCGACCTTGCTCATGAGCGCTCCCCCTTGGGCTTTCTCCTGCATTATCTCCCTCATCAACGCTTGGCACGCTGATCGCTGCCAAGAGAGATTCTGGCACATTGTTGGCCCCATTTGCGTCGGCATGGTTGGTTTCATCATCTCCATGTCGACGTTGAACGTCGCTGCTCGCTACATCGCTCTCTTCCTCCAGGCCAGTGCCTATGCTGGGTAAGTCGAACCATCACGCCCCACCTTCAAAGGGAACATTCACTCATTCATCGTGCCACAGATTCATCGTTTTTTACTCCTGGATCTCGTCCTCGTTCCCTCGTCCTCCCGCTAAGCGCGCTGTCGCCATCGCCATGATCAACGCCTTCTCCCAGCTCGGAAACGTCGCTGGCTCCTATGTTTGGGATCTCAAGGAGAATGGTTACCGCAAGAGTTACGGTATTGTCACTGCCATGTTCGGTGTCACCATCGTCGGCTGCTACATTTTCAAGGTCATCCTTGACAACCTCAACAAGCAGTTGGAGGCTGGCGAGCGTGAATGGGAGGTTCACGGTGACGTCGCGCAGCAGACGGCTGACGTCACCAAGACTGATGAGATTGAGGCCGCTCGCATGATGGGCAAGGGCTTCAGGTACCTCGTCTAAACAGATGACCCCAAGAAACGGGGAATGAGGGACAATAATGGTCATTTGATACCCATGATAAAGAGCGAATTCTGTATGTAAATTAGTAAGGCTAGGTCGCAACACGACTACGTCGCATCACCTACGACCTGGAAATGAATCCATAACGACTTGTGCCTTAGATATTTGACAGTCCAGTTCGTAGAGTGAATGGTTACAAGCCGCTACTGTGTGCAGAGCTCACCACCCCTGTTAGGCCAAAAAATCTTTACATTGGGGAATCGACGAGGGTCCAGGAATTGGAGAAATTTCCCCAACGTAAGAACAAGCTGCTGTGGAGTCCGATTGTGGGCTGGAAAATATTCGAAGTGATGCAAATTGCCAAGTTTTGTGCAGCCCAGAAGTTCACATTCAACGATGCGTAGTCGCACATGAACTCACGAAAAACAACCGGAACCTGCTGTACGCAGGACTCAACATCCCCGCGTTTTCATATCCCGCAATTCCACATAAGCGTCTCTGGGGAGCACCCCGAGGAGCTCTGGAGTAGCTTCCTCCACCTTTTGTCCCGCGTCTCCCCTCACAACTGGGCTTCTAGCGTCCACGACGACGGACTCTGACCGAGCACGAAAAAGAGCGCCAAATCCCGTGCGGCGCTTTGCCAGGGATTAGCCGCAAATCCACTCCTCCTCTACCTCCAATATTTCTTCCCAGATCCACTTCATCTGTAACCGTTCGGGCCAGATCCTTGGTCAGCCGCTACAACCTTGCTTTTGCGTTACGTAGCGTGGAGAAGTTGCTCGGGTACGCAGTAGTCGTCGGGAACTTCACGACATGACGCGACGACGCGAGCCGACCGCACACCGAAGTCTGCATGCCTCGAGAACGTGAACTTAGCCCAGGCTTCGGAACATTTGTCCTCCGGTCGTCGACTGAGCGGATTGGGATCAAGAGTTGATGTTCAGCCTCAAGCAACTACGAACATGTGCTCGACTTTAATCTGCAACCGCCAAGGTCAACGAGTACACCTCTTAAAACAACGCGCGGGATGTTCTTGACAATAGTTTGGAGTCTAATTGTATTGACAGGCCTGGCCAATAGGCGTGAAGACCGATGGTTGTTCCACCGGCTCACGACCCGCTTAACAACCAATTACTGGAAATATTGCCGAATGTGGTGATGACAGTAGGTAAGGCCTTCACGAATGAAGGGTCTCTCATCTTGAGAATGAAGATAGATTGCCCGTGGAATCCAATCTCTTTCAAGATTCCGGGGCTAGGAGTGTTTGCCAGCTGCCTCACGGTGTGATATCTGAACTATGTCGTTGGGTGACCCGATGATCTGGACTATGAGATGACTTCAGAGAAGCTGTTGCATACCCGCTCCAACTTGACCCTGGCTGCTTTGCCGTCAAGTACTTGCCGGGACATCCCGCGCTTGCATTGCAGCATATGCCGAGCTGCTGCAGCTGGCCCTGCTCATGGTTCATATTTACATGGCTTGGAACCCAGTCTGCCACATGGCGCGGATACAACCATCAGCTTCCTTCGAGTGGTTTACCTACCCCTCATCAGACATGGTTTGTTCACTCTGTGTCAAAGACGACTGCTTCAGTCCTAGGGTATACTCCGAGTTGACCAACGAACTTGAGATGATCAACTCATAGCATTCTGTGTCATGACCGAATAGATTTAGTCATGTCTGTACTCACGATTCTGATTGCCTTCAATCGAGAATGCTCAATACGTCGTTCCATTTTCGTCTGATGCGGTCTGGCTCACACCCCTGAAGCCCCTGCAGTCGATCAGCCTTGAACCGGTTCACCGGAACTTTCGATGCCCAATGCCCCATACACATCTACACTCTTCTTACAAAGATCCTAGCTCATACATGTGTACACTACCACTCACATATTGTAAGCATCTGTCAATGCCCCCCACACTCCGATGACATTGACCCGCCGGGACGGTTCCGGTGGGATCGCCGTAGTCATAAGTTCCGACCTATGGAACGGAACGGAGCTCCACTCGGCCGTTCTCTACCCAATGATTTCCAACAAGTTGGCGCATTCATTATTCATATCACCAGACGTTACTGTCTGGAAAAGACGCTAGCAGAGCCTAAGGCTTTCGTCATTAACGGTTCCCAGGAGTTAGTATGACACTTTAAGGGACTAAACATAATGGTAGAGCGGAGGGTCGGACGGAGAAAAGAGTTACTAGATCTATGATGTACACGACCGGAGTGTTTAATTATAGTACAACGGCGGGTTTCAAACCCCTCTTTCAACATTTAAGCTTCAGTTGGCGCCAAGCCAAGCTGGTGGAACCGAGAGAAAGACTCATGATTCTTCCTTGGAAACTTTTGCTCGATCGATTTCCTCTGATTTCTTCATCATGCTCCTCGACGGCGCTGACTCGGGGGCGGAATGTTTTGCTCGAAGAAAGAGAGGAGGGAAGGCGAAGAATACCTGCACAACTGCAAGAACAGTTACCGCGATCCATTGGAGACGGTACACATCGTTGTAAGTTCGACGGACCATTGAAGCTATCTCCTTATCCATCCTAGGCAGAACTGTAGTTGGCGAGCTGAGAATTGCCTCCACGGCATTCTCAGGCAGTGACTTAAGTCGCTCTGGCATCTCGCTGTGCAAAATCGCAGAGCACACAGAGAGGGATATGCAACCCCCCATTGTTCGGATTGTGTTGAAAGCACCCATCATCACAGCTATCAAAAATATGTCAGCTATACCTCAAACTTCGAGGTTTGAGCGAATAGGTAAGCGCCTACCATTGTCTCTGTCTTCCACTTCCACCCTTCCAAGAATCATCAGTACCGGCATCGCTATACCAAGACCAATGCCAATGACAACTTCATAGCCGTAAGTCCTGGCAAGAACGTCATCATCGAACGGGAGCTCGATGAGCAAGCCAACGCCGATTAGCGATATGCAAGACCCAACAGCGATGGTCTGCCAACCAAATCGAGTTGTCTTGGACAGCATGATTCCTGCAATCATGGAGAAGAAAGAGGACACCAAAAGAAGCGGCATCAGCCGGATTCCAGCCATCGTGGCCGAGTTATGGTGTACGATTTGGTTAAGTTGCGGAATGTTGATCACAACAGGATAGAAAACGCTTCCTTGGAAGAATGCGGTACTGTTACTGTGTCGTCAGCGCTCAGCTCCAGCTCTGATCCGAATTTGGTCTTACAGCAACAGGCAAGTGACCCGTGGGTTCTTGAAAAGACGGAGTGGTAGCACTGGCTCAATCACAGCTTCTGCGTTACGCTGGATGAACCACTCGTAAATGACGAAGATGACGATGCTCACACCACCAGCTACGATCGTTCCCACGATCCTACCGTCGCTCCATGGGTGTTCAGCGCCGCCGGTCTGAAGGCCGTAAAGCAGCATGACGGCAGAGCCGATAGATAGAAGCGATCCGATGAAGTCGATTCTTCGAAAGATGGATTTGCCGAAATCTGTGTCATCCTGAGGAAAGTAGAAGAGGAGAATAGATCCAGCGATGGCGGCACCTGGAACACTGCATGGGTCATTAGCATATACGCTCAATTTCATTGAATGGAGGTGTAACTAACTTCAGGAGGAAGATCCATTTCCAATCTCCAGTATCGCTAATTACTCCCCCAACGATGGGGCCCAAGATCGAAGCTAATGCAAATATCGAGCTGACTGCTGCCGAATAAGGACCTATCCAACGAGCAGGACAGATGTCAATCACTGAGACAAAGACCGTTGAGAAGATGCCAGAAGCACCAACTCCTTGAAGTGCTCGGAAGACGATTCTGTTGTCGCGTTAGACAGACTTTCACTTGAAACGCTAATTAGTACGTGACTTACAGATGCGTCAGGGTCATCGATTGAGATGCAGCGCAAAGACCTGAGAAAAGAGCGAACCAAGCTAAGGCGAAAAGAAGTACATTTCGCTGGCCGAAGATGTCGGTCAGTTTTGAGTAAGTTAAGATGAAGCCTGGACGAAAAGATTAGGCACACTCTATTACACGATGCAACTATTTTGGGTGAATAGGTGCTTCTTACCACTGTTGGTCACCAGATACGCAGTCACCACCCATCCAATCTTGTTGTAGTCATTGAAATGTGCGCCAATGGTGGTCAGGGTTGTGGCAACGATGGTTGTCTCGAGGGCGGAAAGCAATAAAGCGAGTGACAGGCTGCGGGCACAATGTTGGTCGTCGTCATCACTTTTGGTATGCACAGGGCGGAGACGAATACTTACCCGAGCATACAGATATGAAGCCTCCAACCATAGATCGCACGGGCAGGATCTTGAAGCTTGTGTCCAACGGTGGTTGTATTCATGTTGTTGCCTGCATCGGACAAGGGTGACGGGTCTGGCCTTTTTTCTTCCATCTTGGATCGGTGGGGACTACACGGCGGAGGTGATCTAGGTATCGGCTTGCGTCTGGAGAGGTAGACAATTGGAAAAAGTAGAATGGAAAGTAAAAGGTTTCAAATCTGCAATGCGCGACTATTCAAGGAACATTTGTATCGGATCCCGAAATGCGGATTGGAGTGTGTCGCCGAGTCGGCGTGTTTATTACAAAAACCCGCCGAGTGGTGCGATCTCGCGAGAGACGTTTCCGCGGTGGATGGCCATACTACGCTGGCCGAATTTCCACGTCCACTAAAAGGGTTAAAAGCACCGATAAGCACGTCTTAAAACCAGGCTGCAGTCCTCGACAGTTCTGGAGGTCAATGTCAGCAATCGTGTCCGGTGACTGGGCTCGCGTTCCACTGATTCGTCGGCTGTAGTTCAATGCATGCACCATAAGCAGCCTTCCAAACTTTTCATGCATCTGTGTGGTATTGAAAAGAAGAGGAGTAGACAGCGGATTCTTCCTGTCTTACATTCCCAGAATGGTGACGGGAGCTACAATCGCTCACCCCGTTGATGACAAGGATGGCCTTCCCCGTCGCAAGAGTTAGCATCGGCTTGCTGTGCTGATGGTGGCCCGAAAAACGGCGCCGGTGTACGGGGCCGGAGTGGGGCTACTTCGGCAGCTGGAAGCTCCCGCATCCGCTTGCTCTTCCCGGCATCGGAACTGGCAGCACGTGGATCTGGAAAAGAAAAACGGTACGAAAACCAGTGACGATGGCCCGGAACAACCAATCAGTTGGGAAGTTTACCGAGTTCATGTGGCGCTCAGGAATTTCTGTCTCTCGACGACTACGATTAAGTGGCTGTGACAGAGATTCGGTTTGGACTTTCGTCTTGCATGCCCGGACTGTTCCGCCTATCCAACGGCTTTCAAGTGTAGCTGCTGACATAGAAGTAAGCGATGCATTCAGTGGCGCATCGAAATGTCATGCTGGTGGGTGAGAATTGGCGTAATCTTTTCAGATTGGCATGGCTGATGGACCCATTTCGTGCCGCTAAAGATACAGTTTAACTATAACATGAGATCGTGCATCCTTATGGAATGATCGGTATGCTACTTGATCTACTCGATCTGCTTTCCCGTCTCCAGCAATCCGGCGTTTCTAGCCGGTCAGACGGTTCCGACCCTCGCCTCATGTCGGGTGATGGGATAGCTTGCATGTAAAAGTCAGGCTGCCGTGCGTAACCTGAGCCAGTCACGCGTGTGTCGTGACCTCGTTGGTAATCCTTCAAAAGGGCGTAGAAGAATGCGGTGTTTGCGACTATGCAAGCACAGAGGATCTCGATGGATGCCCACTGGAGAGCTGTTAGTCAAGCTTTCTAAACCCGATGTGTGAATTTTAGCAGCCTTACCATGGAGCGGGACCGCTGTGATACTGCCTGGTTCAGTATCATGGGCAGTCGCATGATGGTAATTACAACAATAAGGCCGGCGATGCTGAATAGTAGGATGAGCTGCGCCTTTCTGCCGGGATATTAGTGACTTTTTCTGCATCTTCGGGCGACAGAGAACGCACACTTTGCCGTCAAGCTTGACATGACGCAATATTGGGAACGGAAAAATGATGAGCGCGATATCAGTAATGATGTTAAATACAGCCATGGTGACGAGGTTGCCGACAGCTCGATGGCAGAAATTTTGGTTGTTGGGATCGGGTAACCACATGCTTGATCAATCAGCTTAGGTCAACATCGAGATATGCATCTTGATATCGAACTTACAGAGATAGTGGTCGACATTCGGCGAGAGTGGGTATCAATACAATAAAGAAAGTGATGACGATGAACCACCAAAGTGCAGTGGTGGCGACCTTGCCCCAATGAAAAACATCAACGAAGCGGGAGTAAAAGTTGAGTAAGCACAACTTAAGCGACCATAAACTATTGAAAGAAGAGTGAGTCAGACGTGCATCGCTTTTGCGCATCATCTCACCGCCATACTGCCGCGCAGGGCTGGATCGACGTGTCAGCGAGAGCATACGTACAACATGGCATAGAATATCCGTGACGGGATTAGCAGTTTGTGTGAGATTATGTAGTTCTCCTCAACCTGCTCGACGGTGAGACCCTGCGCGGCGGCATCTGCTGATGTTGGCAGCCCGAAGGTATGTGTCGGGTTGAGAACGAAGGAGAGGGCGATGCAGGTGGTGCGGCCGATGAGAGGCACTATGGCAAAAGCCATGTATGCGTCGTCGGCGTGCCATGTCCGGTGGCAGGAATCGTGTATTCTGCAGCGCGAGAAGAGACGATAGCCGCAGCGGACGAGAATAAGAGTCGCGCAGATGCTGGCCGTCACAATGTCGAAAGTCACGTCCACTGACATGTTCATGATCTCGTTGTTGTCCCGGTCGACGTTGGCGCGGTTGTCGGCGAGGAAAGTGATGTTCGCTTCTGCTCGGTGGCGGCAAAGGCGACCATGGCATGTTATGCGGCGGCTGACATGGTGATTTGTACTCTGAACGATTCTCAGGTACTCGGTCGCTTCGTTCGATGGTCCGAAGAAGAATAGATGTTGGTTGTCTTTGAACGTCGCGCTGCTTTTGACGAAAACGGCGAACTCCAAGCTCGAGACTGTCACTGGAAGTCAATCGTTCCGATGCTTCGACGTTGGACCGCGTTGACGTCGGGGTGTGGGGAATAAGGGAGACACGGATGGGACGAACTGGACAGGCATGGACTGGATTCTTAAGAGAAAGAGAAGCCGAGTCGGCAGAATAGCACTGGGGTTACGCAAAGAGAATGGGCGTAGGAAAGGGAAAGGATCAAAGGGAAGACAGGATGTCTGAGTCAGCTACTGTGTGCCATCCAACACACCCCCAGCCATTCGCCAAGACTAGTTCATCGTCTCCTTTTGAGCTTTCGAGCCCGTCGGACGCGGGGTGGGAGAGAGAGGCGGGAAAGGCAGGGAGGGAAATAAGAAGGATGAATGGCCAAGCTTTCTTTTTACGCTGTTGGACCACCGCGCCGGAAAGACACAAATCAACCGGCGGATTGCAGCATGACAAAGATCCGGTGATGGTTGCCAAGGCGTATGCAGCTAAACTTTGAAAAAGGTCATTGATGATCCAGGATTGCGGTCGCGGCAAGGTTTGATTCGCGCGCAGGCCCGGGGAAATGGGAAGGCCTGCCGCCTCCAAGTCGTTGGTATGTTGGCAGCGAGCTCTTCTCGGGTTGACGGGGCCTTTCGCAGGTCGATGATCCAATTTCCCCGCATGGAAATGCATGGGAACACCCTTGACGCCAAGAATCAACCAGAGTGATCTCTCGTACCGGAGCGGCGGATGTGATGATGAAGATTTTGCGTCTCCGGTCCCCGCCGCCGTGTTGAAGGCTTAGATCTATGCGCTTATGAGCTGCAACTAGCATAGTGATGCGATCATATGTTGAGCTGGCTCAGCCCGAGAGATTGTTGATTGAGACATTCGATGATGGGACGGAGTCGAGAAAGACAAGAATACGCTGCCCAACGGTTCACAACGGCTTCTCGGCACCGGACATGGGAGAATTGCGTAGGCTCTCCGCGCCTCGCTCGCTTTCTAGGCTTGGTCTCCTCTTTGAGTTCGGTCTAAAATCGAGCCTGGGAGGTTGGCTGGCGCACTTGTCACATTCGTCCCAACCCTATTTCCTGATGCCGTCCTTTCATAATCCCGCCGCACCATCGGATGACAGATTCGAGAATGGTCCAGGCACAATGTTTAGTCGAGGCCTTACGATCTTAGCAGGGTTATTGATGACAGATTCGGGGCGGTTCATCAACGGTGTTTGCTTTGAGACTCCGCCCGTCTCCGCATGCCGCCAGTTCCCCGAAAGAGCGCAGACCCTACCTAAACCTCGCATCCTTGTAGAGTTCAATCAATCAGGGCCGAGGTAGCATCGCTTGCCAAATAGCTGGATGTGCGCTGCACATCCGACCCTGCAGGTCGATTGGATGTTGGACTTCTTATGACGATGATCTGCAGGCAAAATTACGTGCCTCATTAGGCGGACTGCCCCAATGCCTTCCTAGGAAGTCGTTGGCATACTTTGTGTCCCGCTTGATGTCGCTCATTATTTGATCAAGTGAGTCGGCCAACACCTCGTTGCGCCACCGCTGAGGAGTTACATTGTGTGACTGACTGCCAGGATTTGCGGCAATAAAACCAAAAGACATTTGACATCGCATCCGTCAGCTTTGAACGCCCTGCAGCCTGCCGGTGATACGGTAAACCGAAGCTGTCTGAAAGCAGCTGGGGGCCAGACGCCGTGTCTAAGCCGTCGGAGCCACCCGATCCTAGGTAGTTTGCTTTCTCAGCCACACATTCAAATAGGTGACTTTCGACTATTTGGGACACAATTGTTGGAATCTTAAATTGCGGCTCACCTCTTCTCGGACTCAAGGATGTAAATAAACAACACCAGACCGTATGAGTTCGCCATCTGGATTTTGTCTCGGCGGCCACGAAGCGAGAAGCGTCCTTGGAAAAGTCGGAATTGTAACATGAAGAAACGCGTCTGTCTCTTATTAGACGGCATGTTCCATGCAATTTCGGATAGCAATTTGCAGGTCTTCGCGCTTCTCTTCTGCTTTGTGAATGAAGAAAACTACATCTGTCGTTTTAATCGAACATCTAACGAAAAGCAAGCATTTGAAGGCAACGCATAAGTTGCACGAAACGACGCGACTGCCAAATACTGAAATAGGTGCCCGAAAGATGCGAAAGGTCCACGAACACAAGCTTCAAACTATGCGGTTAATGGTTTGGGTTAATGGCTGTGCTATTACTAAAGACAACCCATGTTTGTCATGTAACCATCTTTCTTGGTAAGGATGATATAAGCTTAATTGATCGTTGATGGTGGTCACCAACCTTCATGTTTCAGGGAAACAGCTAAACATGTTCTGCGTTGGGAAATCCGGCCAGGTATCAAAAAGGTAGTTCGTAATGTCAAGCGCGATTATGGAAATTCCGGAGCTTATGAAACAGCTTGGTCCTCACTTCACACGCCGTGACTTTTTCTTGCAATACAATATCGTGAGGAAACACTTCCATCGGTGCGCTTGACTCTGTAGTTTGGTAGTTGCTCAAGTTCAACCGTTTTGATACCGGCATCGTGTCTGCCGAGTTGGAAGAGTATCTGTCTGCGCATCATGTACGTAAGTGAGCTCACGCCGGAATTTCCGATATCGTTCTAGATATCCCAGTACGCCCAAAGCCGATAAACTTTGCGAAATCCCACCGGCCTCTCGTCTCGCAAAGACATTGTTTCTCCATACAGTCCAATCAGTCGCTGGATCAAACCACAAGCTTAGATGATTCTGAAACATTCGGCAAATCGTACTTCATAGAACCTCACACGTATTCACAATGAACGCAGGTCATAGCTAGGAAAGGGGACACCCATAGGTGTGAAGTCGACGAGTGTGGCTCGGAATAGCCGTCTTGCGCGCTTGAGTTCAACCCCAGACTTGTTGAAGTCATTTCGATAAAACCAGGTCAGGATGCATGGCAGCAAATTATTGACACGTTGGTTTCTCATTGCATCTCTGATAAACTCCGTGAATTTGTATTACTGGATCATGAACTCTTCTCCCAGCCGGCGGCGCCTCATGGCGGGAATCGCGCAAGTCGCGATCCTTTATATTGGCCTAACCTCCTTCATCGTCAATGCGCAGCAGCCTGTCCAAGTTCAACTTGATGATGGCATGTATTCCGGATTTGCAGAGGCTGGAGTCAACAAATTCCTAGGACTTCGTTATGCGGCGCCTCCTGAGCGATTCGGCCCCCCTGTGGCAGCTAGTACGACACCACACGCCGGCGTACAGAATGCCACGACATTTGGTGCGTCCTGCATGCAGGCAATTCCGGGTGAGTTATCCTGCAGCCTGATATCTTGACAGTCCACTGATCAACTTGTCACAAAAGCCGCCATTGCTGCAGCTATGGGTTCCATGGGCCCCCAAAGCGAAGATTGCTTGTTCGTCAACGTCTTTGCGCCATCTTCTCCCCCTCCCACGGAGGGTCGGACCGTAATGGTCTGGTACTATGGCGGCGGTTTTCAGTTTGGGAGTGCGAATGTCCCTGCTTTTGATGGCTCTAGTTTCGCGCGGAACCAAGATGTGATCATCGTCACGCCAAACTACCGAACAAGCGGTCAGTGCTTACACTTTGTGCTTTCACTTCACTATATCTGACTTTTGAATCATCATACAGTTTTCGGATTCCCCGGAAACGTGGACGGAATTCCTCCGACTATGCGCAATGTTGGACTGATGGATCAAAAGCTGGCATTGCAATGGGTCCAGCGTAACATTAAGGCCTTCGGCGGCGATCCAAACAAAGTCACGATCTTCGGAGAATCTGCGGGGGGCGCATCGGTCGATATTCTCCTTCTTACGAGCGGCCTAAGTCCCCCGTTCCGCGCAGCTATTACTGAGTCTGGGAGCGCCTATCTAGTCAGCGCACCACAAGCTGGCGGTAACATCGTTGGGCTCATGGCTGGCCCTATTCCTGGAGCGACCAATACGCCCAGCTCGATCCAGACCCTGGCAAGTGCTCTTAATTGCGGAAGTCAACGAGCTCTCGACTGTGTCAAGGCAGCGCCTGTGGATGTCGTCGTATCGATTTTGGCGAATGGGCTTTTCAATTTCCCCCCAGTTGCCGACGGAGATACCAACATGCCGTCCTTACCCGATGCCAGTCGTGCTGCGGGCCGAGTTCCTCGCATACCACTCATGCTTGGGACGAACATGAGAGAAGCCGACATCTTCACCATGGGCATGCCTCCCACAACAACCCTGAACGCCTTTCTGGAAATCACGTTTCCTGGGAACTCCGCTTTGCAAAAGTCTGTTGCGGCGGCATACCCCGTAGGACCCGGCGCTCGATTCCCAACGGACAAAGACGCCATTACGCAGATGGCCACAGACTTGGACTGGACTTGCGGCATATCGCATGAGGCACGCATTTCAGCCGCGTCCGGGGTGCCAACATGGAGGTACCTGTTTAATTCGAGCTCTTTCCCGCCCACCCCTGGGGGCGTGTTGTCCCGTCCTGTCCATGGTTCTGAGATTGGCTTCGTGTACGGCAATCTACCACCGCCGCCAGCGTCACCAGACGCAGCTCTCGGACTAAGCAAGTTCATGCAAACAGCTTGGGCCAATTTTGCGAAAAGCCCCGCCAACGGTCCCGGAGTACCAGCGTGGACTCCGTATACCGGGAAACAAGGAGCAGCGGACTTGGGCAATTTGGGAGGCGTTGTTGCGGATGGAGTGGTGATGGTGGACCCAAATATTATTGACAGCCGATGCAATCTTTTTGATGATCTGTATGGTAAATCTATGACCCCTTGATCACTGAAATCTTTACCTCAGTTCTCAAATGGGTTGGAGACCAATGCGAAATCACCAGCCCCCCAAGAACAGACGCAAGGTTCTGAGCTATATACAGCCTAGTCGTATTTAAAGAATGAGGAACTTCAGTCATTAAAACAGAACCACTACGCGATACTAGGGGTAGCAAGGAATCTCTCTCACGAAACAAACCTACAGCAAGGCACATGCAAAAAGTCACTAGAGCGACACGACCACAACAGTGAAAGTGCATGTTTGATGGGAACTTTGCCCACTAAAGACGGCAAAGAAGTCTGGACTAACGAAGACACCAAAAGGCGTCATTCTGTTGCTTCGTAGTTCTTGAACCCACGTACACCGGCTGGGGTACCCGTGGTGCCGTATCTGACTAAATCAACCGGTGATCAGGCGGAGAGAAGGTCGAATCCCGGTTCTGAGGGTAACTTCAAGAGACGTACTACCAGAAGGGCATGCTGCAAGATACAATGTGGTTCAAGATTTCCGAGAGAAAATGTTACCGAAGCCGATTCATCGGGCGTGTGGGTCTGAGTTGGGTATCGTTTTCCGTTCGGAGTCGGAAACTTCCCCGGACCATGACCGTTCACGCGGGGAAGACCCCATAATACCAACTGGAGTCAACGCCGCCGAAGTCCGGTGGCGTCTCAGGTGGCTTTGTGTCAAAGGCGTTGAGATGAATCGGCTCGGTAACTCTGGGCTAATGGACTCCGAAGAAACGAGCCGGTTACAGATACATATTAAACAGGTCGCATGACTGAGTACGATGCGATGCCTGCTGTTGAATGAGCTCCATCAATCTGCGACTCATCTTTGCAATCTAACACAACCTGACATTTCCCACCATGCCATCAGTAAAACGAGCAATCCGAATCGCCGGGTCTTCCGGTGGGTTCTCTGATCGGCAGCGCGCCATCGGCGACCTTGCGAAGAATTGCGAGATCGACTGCATCATCGGCGACTGGCTATCCGAATGCACAATGACCCTTCATGGAGCGCAAAAGACAGAAAACCAGAGATTACGTCAAGCCGGACAGCTTCAAGGAGCTACTGTCGGCCTTTTCGATCCCACCTTCATGGAGAATCTCTCGCCTGCGCTGCCTTACATGCAGAGCAAGAGTATCAAAATGGCCGTCAACGCTGGTGCAAGCGACACGGAACTATTGGCGGGTCTGGTAGAGGATGAAATCAAGAAGCAGGGGCTTGATCTGAAGGTTGGTTGGGTGAGCGGTGATGAGGTCACGGAAACCGTAAAGAAGCTTCGTGACCAGGGCGAGGTCTTTACCAGCCTGATGAACGGGCAACCGTTGAAAGACTGGGGATTTGATGATATACTTGCCGCGCAGTAAGCCAGAAATTTCAGCTGAAAAGATGCCGTTATGGTGCTGACTGAATGTGTATAGATGCTACCTTGGTGGAGCAGGCATCGCTGAAGCATTTCGCCAGGGGTGCGACATAGTCATCGCTGGTCGCGTTGCCGATGCAGCCCCGACTATTGGAGCCTCAATGTGGTGGCATGGGTGGGATCGCGAAACGGATCTTGACCAAATCGCCGGCTCCCTCGTCTGTGGACACTTGATCGAATGCTCCGCCTACGTCTGTGGAGGTTATTACTCCGGCTTCAAAGCTCTGATGGACAAGTGCGAGAACATTGGGTTCCCAATCGCGGAGGTAGAGGCCGACGGCACCTGTGTTATCACCAAGGAATCTGGCACCGGAGGTGAGGTTTCTGTTGGCACGGTGAGCTCTCAGCTGCTTTACGAGATCCAAGGCCCGTTGTATTACGGCTCCGATGTCACTGCCAACCTCGAAGGCGTCGTCATGACTCAGGTAGGCCCAGACCGAGTGCAAGTCACTGGCGTCAAGGGCCTGCCAGCTCCTTCAACAACAAAGGTCGGCTTGACAGCTTTCGGCGGTTACCAGGCCGAGTTTCACTACTACATCGTCGGACTCGATCTTGAAGCCAAGGCCGAGTGGACGGAAAGACAGATTCGGCACTCTATCGGCGACGCAATCAAGGACCTCTCGTGCCTCAAGTTCACTCTTAATGGCTACTGCCCAGAAAACCCTCGAAACCAAGAAGTCGCGACCGTCGATTTCCGCATCTTCGTGCAGACGAAGCGCAAAGCGCTCGTCGACAAGTTCACGCTGGACGTTCCTGGTTTCAACCGGTGGTGCATGGAGAACTTCCTCCAGAGTTGCCCCGGAGCGACCTTGGGCAACGACCAGCGACAATCCGAGGGCAAGCCATTCTACGAGTACTACGTCACATTGCTCCCGCAGTCCGAGGTCAAACACCGCGTTGAGATGCCATGGGCCGGCAAGTCAATTGACATCCCCGTGCAGAACAACGTGCGGTCGGACTACCCTCGCGACCAGAAGAGTTACGAGACCGACAGTCCAGTCGAGCTCGACAGGTTTGGGCCAACGACAAGAGGACCCCTCGGATGGATTGTTGGCGGGCGGTCGGGCGACAAAGCGAGTGATGCGAATGTCGGGTTTTACGTGCGTCATGCTGACGAGTGGGATTGGCTGCGAAGCGTCCTCACGATTGAGAAGGTGAAGCAATTGCTGGACGGAAGCGATAAGGGTAAAAAGGTCGAGAGGTTCGAGATTCCAGGGATTCGCGCAGTTCATTTTCTGCTGAGGGACCACTTGGACCGTGGATTTAACTCGACGAGTGAGTATGATACGCTGGGTAAGAATGTCTGCGAATACTTGAGGGCAAAGCATGTGGACATTCCTAACAAGTTTCTTCGGCGGGGTATCTTTTAGCGTGTTAGAAAATCTGTTGTTGGGCATAAGCTTGGTCAATGAAATTGCTTGAACTACTTGATTTGCGCCTACTAGAAAGACGGAATGGACTCCGGAGGAAATAGTGGATCATCGTCGCCGATGCGGTCCCCGAGGAGCCCGATACTAAGCTTCCGGCTCGGGCACAGTGGAGACCAGCAGCCGGCTCAGAGCGCCGAGAACGCATCCGTATGCCCTCAGAAAAACGTGCGAAAACACATGACTTTTGTAGGGTAAGTCACACCTTCACCTCGCACGGCGCGTCATCTTTCTTATCTGTGGTGTCGCATGTCCGACCTGCGTGCCCTGGCAATCTGACGCCGCAGCCGGGGCATAATCCGCCGATCCCCCAACCTTGCGTTCGTTCCCCCTCCCACGTGGGGTGTTTCTCTTGCACATTATTGGTGTATAACCCAAAGAACAGAAGCACCACCAGGAGGAACGTTTCATCGGGAATGGTCTCAATTTCTTTCGCCTCACCGAACATCCAATGAGACACTGCACATATCGACATTCAAAAGAGCACAATCGACCCTGAATGAATCTGAGTTTTTTCCCTCAACTGCGGCAATTGGGGCAACATCCCACGTGTGGCTTTTCAACGAGGGATACCTTGCAGGCGCCACCCTCGTACGGAACGAGACCACGCAGTGGATGGCCAAGATTCGAGTCGCAAGGAACACGGCAAACGAGATGGCCTCAAAACACTGCGCGTTCAAGCACAATAGTGGGGTACCCATGCACAATCTGGCCCGAGGTTCGACATTGGTTGGATGTTGTACCCTTCAAACTCCCCGCTAACCGAGCTTCTTGGACCTTTCGTCTGAAGTACTCTGCCATTTCTCGTTTGATTTCGAAATCTGCATCTCTCATCTGTTTTCCCCTACGACAATGTACGAAACGTTTAGCCCGGCAGCAATGAAAGACCCCTCTGTGCAGAAGAAAGCGGCCGAGTCCGACGCGCCGGCGCCGGGTTTCGACGCGGAAGACAGCTCCATTAGCTCGGCCAAGGATATCTTGGAGAATGAGGGCGAGGATCCCGTGCTTGCCAGGAAAATGCACCTCGTCAATGACGTATGATACACAACTCCGCGGGCTCACGGGCATCACAACCCAGACAGACCCAATTGCTCCAGAAGACTCAGACAAGGTCTCAATTAACCACAGAAGAGAACTGACCTTTGCAGGCGAACGACGAAATCGGCTGGACTCCCTTCCACTGGAAGCTATTCGTGCTCAACGGCTTCGGTTATGCTGTCGACTCTCTGATTGCGCTGGTTCAGTCGGTGACTAACACCGGCGCATTCCTCGAACTCGCTTCACCTTCGTCATACGCAAACACCGGTACCATCTCGCTATACGTCGGACTGCTAATCGGAGCATTATTCTGGGGGTTCGGCGCCGACATTATTGGCAGGAGAATTGCCTTCAACGGTAAGATCGAGGAAGGTCTGCGCGGGGCCTGACGTATTTGCGACTGATCAAGTTGGGAACAGTTACACTGCTCATTACGTCCCTTGCGACCATCGTCTCCGGCGCGAGTCCCAATCTCCCCGCCTGGGGCTTTTTCATCGCCCTTTCAGCCTTTGGAGCCGGCGGAAATCTGGTCCTTGACCCGACAGTCTTTCTCGAGTTCCTTCCGAGCAACAAGCAGTGGACTGTGACAGCGCTGGCCCTTTGGTGGGGATTAGGACAGGCCGTGACGGGCTTCATTGCGTGGGGATTCTTGAGTGCGTTGAGACGTCGACAGCTGGCTTGCTGACAGAAGCTAACCTGCTTGCAGCCCAGGAACGATGGAATTGTACTGAAGGTCAGACTTGCAACTGGTCAAACAATGCCGGTTGGAGATACGTCTCGTTCACAGCAGGAGCATTCGTTTTTGTGGCTTCGATTCTCCGCGTCACCGTTATGCGCCTCCAGGAAACACCGAAATACCTTCTCAGTGTTGGTCGCGATGCCGACTTGGTCCGGAACTATCAGAAGCTTGCGCAGAAGTACAGCAGGTCTTGTTCCCTTACTCTCGAAAAGCTCGAAGCGTGCGGTCAAATTAAGTCAGCCGGGCAGAAACGCAATACCGTGGCATTTGTCGGACGCGAGCTTGTGGCTCACGTAAAGGGTCTTTTCCTTACGAAGAAGATGTCTCTGAGCACTGCAATGGTGTGGCTATCGTGGACGCTCATCGGCCTTGCGTATCCGCTATTCTACGTTTTCCTGCCGTAAGAGAACATGACTGCGAGGGAGGCGCATCGCTAACAGCATGCAGATCTTACCTTGCCACGAGAGTACCTGACTCCAAGGAAACGCCGTTCGAGACCTGGCGCAACTACACGCTGACCAACATCTCCGGTATTCCTGGACCTATCATCGCCGGATACCTCGCCAACCTCCCAGCTGTTGGTCGCAAGTACACCATGGTTATTGGAGCCCTGATATCAATGGCGCTATTCTTTGGCTACACGGCTGTCAGCACTGCTGAACAGAACGTGGGAATCAGCTGTGCGATCGGTAAGGAAGCTCCATTGGAACGTTTTACTTTGGGAGATCAGCGACTCATCAGCGACACAGCCTGCGGCATTAACATCTACTACGGAACGTTGTACGCGTACACAGTCGAGGTTTTCCCGGTGAGTTTGTCGATGTTTCTTGGCATTCTATTCATTGCCGAGCCTAATTTTCTATCCCTTTTCTAGTCCGCTCACCGAGCCACGGGAAACGGAATTGCAGTCGCTTGCAATCGCCTCATGGGAATCGTGTCCGCATTTGTAGCGTCGTCGGGTAACACGACCACAGCAGTTCCTCTTTACGTTTGCGCGGCGCTCTTCGGACTCATGGCGGGCGTATCAGCCCTGTTCCCTTTTGAGCCTTACGGTCGCCGGAGTTCGTAGGCCTTCAAAGTATATGATACCCTCCATTCAACATGGATTCACGTTTAGAGATACAATAATTCGTCGGATAGATGTGATTAGAAATTGGCTTGTCAGCTCGATGAATCTCATAGCGACCTCGAATATTTGCAACCTGGTCCCTGAGCTTAAGATGTGAGCTCGCAACAAGAATTTCTAGGTACTCAAGGCTGCACACCATCCGTGGGAAATTCCTGAACCTAGGTCGCGAACGCCACTGAAAGGAGGGGCTCCCAAGATTTCCGACGAACGTGACCATACGTTTGTCTTTCGTGTGTTCTTGAGGAGCTTTGTATGAATACTTGAAGGCTCGAATACGCTTACGCTTCTGCCTCATTTTGAGGAGAACGTCGAGGAACCAGATACATGAGATCTCAAATCCCAGCTGAAAAGCGGGTGAATCTCTTGAACCGTAAGTCTACTCGCAAAGCGCAATGTCACCCACATGTTTTCAAGCCCTCCATCTCCTCAAAGCTTGATCATTTTCACCATTCAGGCCATTGGGCAGCGTCTTGGCGGCCGAGGGTATCAGATCGAGCTTGCTTTGACCAACATCCACCCATCAACCGAATACTTTGTGTTGTCGGCATAGAGGCGACAGATGACAGCTCAAGGATAGAGTGTAGAGCCCTGGAATTTAATGAGCAGACATGATTATTCGATTTGAACAGGAGGGCATCACATGTGTGTGGTCAGAACAGTCGCTCGTGATTCATCCCAACTCGCTGGGGATCTGGCCCGCACATCACAGTTGAGGGCATCACACCTTCAGCGTAGTCGGTTGGAATTTCCGTCGCTTTCGGCGCGCGCAGTGTCACTAAAGAGGGGGTGACACACCAAACTTGTGTGATCATGACGGAAGTGACTCTCACTCGCACGGAGCAGTTCCTTCGAGAACTGCAACTGCCGGGCCTCGACTCGGGCGAGACCGAATTGCCAAGATCTTGGCTCAGATATCCGCCGCACATGCTTTCACTTTCAAAAGTTCAAAGTGAAGCCTTTTCGTCCGTCATACACGTCGTCTCAATTCGTTCGTGCCCAGCCATAGCTTGCGTGGTGTGGCCAAAAGCGTTTCCTCGTTCTGATCCGTAGAGTACAACGTTTTGGAAAGAATAGGCCAGGACCGGGTCGATATTATCGAATGAAGTGATTTGTAGACATAAACTCATGGCGAGTGAACTAGAGCCGTTTCAACATCTGTGATCATTACATCCATGATCCAGTCGACTCCATCCCGGGACCGATAACACTATCTTGGCTTCACATGAAAACTTCGGACCCCAATCACACTGAGCATTGCCCGTAATTCAGATGTTCTTCGGCGAAAGGGAACGCGAGAATGTCCGCTGCCAAATGTCCAGCCCGACCCATTCCATTCCATCCCATCAATTCTCCTCGGCAGCCCGCAACGGGTAGACTTTTTGCAATTGGAAACTTCACCCGCCAGAGAAGTTCCGAACGAGTTATCGTATGAGCACGGCTCAGGTTACTGCGCAAGATCGCGTCACGAATCGTCCTATGATCAGAGCTCTCCCGGGTCTTGCCAGAAACCCGTTCTCAATTCTCATTGACGAACTAGAAGTTTAACGACATCCTCAATCCTTCATGATCTCATCCTGTGCTGTTGGAAGCATAAGCTCTCCGCCATTTCCCCTCTCGGCGGCCTGTTTCATTTTGCTCCCGCTGATGCATGTCGACATGTGCCTCTCTCTTCGAACGGCAAAACTCAGAAGTTTAAACTCGAAGCTCGTCTGATCCACCACATTTGACAAAGAACGCCTCTATTTCAAACTGAGACTTTTCATACCAGTTCCTGCGGGGAAGTCGAGGGCAGCAAAGTTAAGGCAGGTTGACGCTGATGCAGGCGACCGACTTCTTCGAAAGATGCTTATTCGTGGGTTCTCAGCTGCTAAACTCAAGGCCGGTGGGATCAGCTAAGTTGTGTCAAGATTGCGTGCATTCTCTTATTTATACTAAAATTAGGCGATTGAAGTGTCATTCTATGTATTGCAGATTTCTTCGATAGACGATAATCATCAGCCCCAAGAACCGACGACGACACCACTTGCTTGGATCGCCCTGAAAACCATGCTCGGCTACATATCCGTGCATCCATTTCCGTAAGACGAAACGAAAGAACCGGAATCTTGAAGGAGATAATAGCCGAGGAAGTTTGACATGGTTGCCATGTCACCAACCAGCAAAAGCTTGGGAACTTGGGACGATTAGATGCCCGCCCGGTTATTCTTAGCCCACGAATCCCAAAACAGAGTTTCGTCGCATCTGAATCTTCATGTTCGTTGATCTATCCTGACCGCACAAGCTCGGAAATAGTGCGTTGAGCGGATCTCCGAGTGGTGCGCTTCGTTCTCGTGGATAGAGTCTGGTTGGAAATCGACATGCAATATGGAAACCCCTCTTCATCTTTGCTCTTGGCTCGAGAGACTTCATGTTGAAACCTCCGGAAGTAAAGTCTAAGATGCTGCAGACGCGAGACCATGGGGCTGGATTGTAGTCCTGGCCGGGCTCGGGATGGCACTAGTTCACAAGAGTGAAGACTCCGCACTCGCAAGTGTGTGTTTGGTGAGCTGAACCGGTTTGATCCGAGTTGGCCCTCAAGTATAAGTATTCAAAGTCACTTCTGCCTGTTACGGGTGGAGGGAGTATTTTTGCTTACAACACAAGAAAAGTACATCGCTGGACTTCAAGTCTTCAACATGCTTCTTCCATCTCTGAAATCCATTACCACTCTTGGCCTGGCGTTCTACGCCACAATCTCCCTCGCAGTTCCCAAGGTTCAGCTTGGCACTGAAGTGCAGAATCTTTACGAGGTACGCGTGCTCAGGAATCTGGAAGCTGGTCTATAGCAGAGGCTAATGAGATCCTGTCTCCGATAGAGAGATGAAGCTATTGTGAGTTGAGTCCTTGCTATTTACTTCAACAGGAGGCCGCGTCCAACAACTAAACTGGTATCCTGACTTGAACCACACAGGGAGATACAAATCCTGAACCTGACTTCGTACCGGTAAGTTGTTTGACCCAGGCTTGTACTCTGCTCATACTCTCTCCGTAGGCACTCGGAGAGACGTTAGAGGCCCGTGCCAAACGCCCTGGTGGCGGCGGCGGCCGTCCCCGCCGGCCTCCGAATGGCCGGCCGCCGCGAAATGGCGGTCCACTTCCGCCACCTCGGAATGGCCGTCCACCCCCGCCCCCTCGGAACGGCCGTCCACCACCACCGCCTCCAAACGGCCGTCCACCACCGCCGCCTCCGAACGGCCGTCCTCCCCCGCCGCCTCCGAACGGCCGTCCTCCTCGGCCCCCAAACGGCCGCCCTCCCCGTCCTCCCAGACGCCCACCCTAACCGAAGGCATAAGAGGCATTGAGCCTAATAACAAGAAAGGTTATGGGGGCAAGAAGGCGGCGAAAATCACAGGAAGTATTCAGGTGGTGACTATTGTGTCTTTGTTGATGAAAACGGGCCGGTTGCCGTTGTCTACACGCAAGAATGGAACTTTGACGGAGCAATTGTGTGACCGGACACGTAGGAGGACCAGAAAAGTCAGTTCGTTAATAATTAGGTTCGACCAAAATGTTGATGAAGATTTCAGAGGAAGGGTTGTATGAAATCTTAAGAAAAGAAAAAATATTGATGTTACGGAAGTTCGGGCTTGTTAATCATTAAGGGACCTCGTATGACTCTCGTGATCTCTGGATATTCTGAGGAAGCATTCATACGTGTGAGAGGACTTGAAGCTCAGAATTAGATGAAGGTGCTTGCAGTCCTCATGCCACGCAGCATCCATACTGGGAACGTTTCTTGGCTCTAGGAACAGTCCGCGGCTCACAAAGTCGTTGATTGAATATGAGTGGTTACTGATTCCGCCCACATGTATTGTCGAATTGGAGACGAGGTTGAAAATAAGACGGAAAGCAAAGTCTTGATGACGCATGCTTGCTGCCTGCTTGTAACCACCTTCCCAATTCGGTTGTTTCGTGCTCCGTTTATCATCTGACGCTGACAGGGTGGGCACTTCACCAGCCCTTGAATTCGAGATCCACGCTGAATTTCTACCGAGCTGATCTTATTGAAACATTGAGTGAGCGCACGCAAGCAACAGCATTCCGCTGAACCTTGAACCTCTACGTCCGACAAAGCAACCTCGAGCCGAGCCGCTGGCCTTTCAGTCAACTATCAGGATGCTCGACTTCAACTGGCATCTAAGCACTCCGCGCTTGCACATCTCGCAGATCAATCCTCTGAATGATGTTCACTGCGACTTTCTCATAGAATATATGGGCAACCGGGATATAATGGCCAAGTTGGAAGACATGTCAAAGTCAATGTCTAAACGAGAAGCAATCGCGAAGCTACAGATCGAGCCGAGAATGGCGAGAATGGAAGAGTTCGGCTGGGGACGTTACCTCGTTTCACTAAAGCCCCCTGCACTTGACGAAGAGGCCGTCGCCGTACCTTTCTCACAGCGTTATTACGAACCGATTGGATGTGTCACCATGCAACATGCCCGCTTTCCGGGAGGGCCAACTATTCCGGATATTGGCTTCTCGTTTCTCGACCGGTACCAGGGCAAAGGCTATGCCACGGAGGCCGCACAGCGTTTGATGGAATACTTCCGAGATGAACGAGGGCAGAAAGGGTTCTTGGGTGTCACGGACACGGATAATGAGAACGCAAAGAAATTGTTTCGCCGATTGGGGTTTGATGACCGGGGCGTAAGAGATGTCAATGGCATGGTGGAAGGCAAAGTGATCACTGTATCCATCTGGAGCATCGGTTTGGAAGGTCAACTGGAGGAGTACGGCTTCGAAAGAATCAGCACAAAAGCAGTCCACTATTGAATTAACCCGTTCGAGAAGATAGCGTCTATAAAATTTCATCAATCAGTCGATTGGCTATTATGAGACAATGTCTCATGAACTGATGTTGATAAGCTAAGTTGGCCCTTTGCTATGTCATGGCTTGACAAACTACTCCTCTGCTATCCTCATTGAAACAACACTGACCCGAACCCGGGCCTATTTGGCAAACGGTTCTGTGTCCCTGGCAGCCGTAACAGCCAAGACCAGTGTTGCACTCTCCTCTGCCAGCTGTGCAGGGCTCCCCGGTTACCCTGCCACGCTTCTGAAGACCCAGCTATGTAAGAAATGATTAGCTGAAACAAATTCTTCTCCCTTCCTAAGAATGAGAAAATGATGTTTGCGGAGGAACTTACAATGTTATCACCTGTCCAGCTGATTCCGTCTACAATTATCGAGGGCACGGGCGCCGGAGTTGCAAAAACGTGGTTCAAAGTTCCCAGAAGAACTGGAAGCATAAATGTACTGACAGCCTTCATGTTGGCGAGAGCTGGGCTCGTCGGAGGACTAGGAACTGTGTGGAAAGGGGCTGTTTTTGGGCCTTGCGTGTAATTGAGCGTAGGACGAAATGATGAGCTGAGTTAAACGTTATTAATTGAACAGGGAAATGATAGCTACCTGAGCGGGAAGATTCACAGTTGCCGTTTAAATGTCCCGTTGCGCACAAACCTCCAGCATCGTCATCTTGAGCCCCTGTGCCTCAAGTTGCATCGTCTGATAAAGGTCGACAGTTGACCGCTGTACAGCACGGGCACTTTGACAGGTTCTGAGACGGTATTCTCTTCCAGCAACGTCAGCTCAGCGCATGCATGCATTGACGTTATCAGTCCTCTCGCTTGCTGTCCGTCACTGCACGGAACTAGAGTAAAAAGGGTCGCGGTCTTTCAAGAAAGTGATATTCTGTTTCTAGTAAGGATGGGAATTTTACGGGTTAACTGGAAAAACTGAGTCAAAAGCCTATTGAAACACATGTATTCTTAAATACGGATCTTGAGGTTCATACTCGTCAAGTGTTATGCGAACTTATGCAGATTGACTGGTACATCATCTTGGCCCATCTTTCGCACGCCCAGGAGTTGATGGAAAGGTCAATCCATTGCTTCTAGCTGACTTATGACCGACCAGCATATCTCTTTTTTCTCTGCCGCCGTGTAGGCATGTAACGAGGCTCGTCCAAGAAGAGGCCAATCAATCGGCGCCAATTTAGATGTAAGGGGTTCTCCAGGAGAGGCTTCACACGTTCATATGTGAAGGGAGCTTCTTCCAGAAAGTCCAGAGGGCCGTCGTCTGGTAATGAGGGGTCCATGAACCACATGAGCGTAATGTCGTGTCTGGGTACGTGTTTGAACTGGTGAAGCGGCAAGAACCATTCCTCGTGAGGCATAGGGTAACGAGCATACTGGGGATACATCCAGATTTGAAGATCCTTCAAATGTGGAAGCTTCATCGCAACAGCCGTCCACAGGTCGGTCCATTTCATCTTGGCTGCCATAGCTTCCTCATCTTCTGGGTCCATGTACGATTCTATCGGGGCGCTCCATACAAGATGGAGAGCAGTAATCCGCAAGAGTGACTCCGTTGAGGTTGTCGCCAGGAATCGCGAAAGCGCATCCGAGCCGATGAAAGAGAATGTTATTGCATCGTATATCGAATCAATAGCCTCCTGATGCATGCGCTTGCAAGTGAGCAGTATGCTCAGAAAGGGGCTGAACTCCTTCACCATCACTCGTTGCTTCTTCTTGTCGTCATCCTTATCGCCGATCCAGCCATCCACCGGGCGTAAGACCGGAGGATGTTCTTCACATGCCCAGTGGTGGCACCAAACTGACGCATTGCGCAGTCTCCAGTCGTTGATTTCATCTCGCTGAATGGCAGCTTCTTCAGTGAGAGCTCCGGCCTGGCCCTCCGCCGGCTCTAGAGGCGGGGTAGCCAAGATGCGGGTGAGTTCGATCTCCCGGATGTCTTCGGCATTCGGGTCCGAGATACACTGGCAATGAGACAGAGGCGCCAGAAAAGAAGGGCCGGCCTTGTAGACGTGTTGCGTCGATCCGGCCGCTATCCACAGTTGCCGGTAGATGTTCTGACGTATTTCGAGTGGCAGGGCGGAGAAGAAGCCGGATTGCAGCTGAAAAAATGTAGGGATGGTTTCGGAAGAGGAGCCGCCCTCGGCGCTTTCATCCGTGTGCTTATTCGCGGCGGAGGAGATCTCTTGCGACTCTGTCACTCGCGACTCTGTCATGACGCTGAAATGAGGAGAAAGTGACCGCGACTGAGATACTGATGAAATGAGATGGAAAAGAGATGACCGCGATTGAATGCAAGTCTGTCGTGAGTGAGATGTTACGCCGTCTGCCTGGCGTTGACGACACTTCCCTGTCTCACCTCCCCAAACAAGTTTAACGCTGCTTACTACATCTCTTTGTCCAATGGTGTCGAGACATTCATGATGGCGAGCCAACACCTTCTTTTAGCTGCCTGCATGCGTACCTTTTGGCACCAACTCTCCGAACTAGCCCGTAGCTTCATGATTTCAACGGTATTGAAACTCACACGAGTCCATCAAGGTTTTCCTTCCCATCTAAAAAAGAGAGACTATTACGTATCTGCGATCCATATCAGGGACTTAACACTGGGGTTTAGCAATTCCAGCTCAATGATTGGTCAGATTGGCGGATTCCGGGGCTTTTGTTTGTCTTACCCCGGATTCAGGGAGAGGTCAGGTCCGGTCTTATCTCTTCAAGGCTACCCCCAGACCGCTTTCCAACCAAATAAAGTCTTTTCTACACAATTTACTTATCAAATTCCTTCTACCCCATCGCATTACCTCCCAATTGACCACTAGAGACTGACGTTGTTGATCTCTGAGAAGAGCGATGAGCTGCCCGTCGATCCGGCAGCTTGCCCTGCTGCGTGGGGCGCCGGCTCAACGCGCTTTAACGCGGGCTGGACACCATATCTCGATTACAGGACGTCGAGCTCCCTCGACTCTGAACACGACGATATCACAACATGCCGCGGATCCATGGAGGTCCTCGGCGTCTCTAGGCATTCAATCGCGGCGGCTGCTGAGCAGCACAACGGGTAGACGCAATGCCGCAGAAGACGAGGAAGAGACCGGCAGCTACAGCGAGGCCGATCACGAGCACGCCGTCATCTCAACATTTGACCTGTTTTCCATCGGCATAGGCCCGTCATCATCCCACACCGTCGGTCCGATGAGGGCTGGAAACATTTTCGTGGCTGATCTTGCTGAGGCGAGTCTTTTGCACAAGGTCAATAAGATTCGGGTTTCCATTTACGGCAGCTTGGCGCTCACTGGCGAAGGCCACATGACCCCATCTGCCTTGTTGCTCGGCCTCGAGAGTGCGGACGTCGAGACGGTTGACACGGCATACGTTCCGGAAAGGTTCACCGAGATCAAGAACACGAAGAAGCTTTACCTCGGTCAGGGCCTACCCGATGGCAAGGGAAAAGAAGTTGCCTTCGATTATGAGCGCGACTTCGTCTGGGAATGGGGCCGGAAGCTGCCCATGCACAGCAACGGCATGCGCTTCACAGTATTCGATAAAGAAGGTTACGTGCTCGCGACCAACGACATGTTCAGCGTCGGCGGCGGTTTTGTCGTGAACGGCGCCTTGTCCATCAACCCAGACGTTTCGTCCTCTTCATCATCTGGTCTTTCCAGGGTAGAATCCCCCGACCCGTATGCGGAGGATACTGCTGGAAGGCATCCGGTGGATCTTGCCGAGAATCTGTTTTACAAGGAGATCCGGCGATCTGACGCCGCTGGAGATCGTCGGACAGGTGCCGAAGTCAAGCCCCTCGACGAGGCAGGAAACGACGCCATGCTTCTGGGAAAGACACCAGACGATCTCTCACCGGTCGCATCGCAGAGCAACGACATCAATGCTTCAGAAACCCCCGAAAGTGAGCGCGAGACGTCGAGCCAAGGCCCTCGGTATCCGTTCCGAGATGCTTCGAGCTTGCTCTCGTTGTGCCGAAAACACAACCTTACTATCGCCCAGCTTGTCTACGAAAATGAGAAAAGCCACGGCTACACGGACGAGGAGATCTATCATAAGCTCTTCAAAATTTGGCAGGTTATGGACACCAGCATCTTGGAGAGCGTTCAAGCGCCGCTGGACACCAAGCTCCCCGGATCCTTGAAGCTCCATCGGCGCGCACCCGCACTCTATCGGAGGCTGACCCGAGGACTGTACTCCACCCCTGGTCAAACATCCAACAACCCAAACGAACAAAGAAGCGATGGAAAGGACATCAAGTTCATTGGATCTTCAGGATTGGCTGCGAACTCAACAACGCCTGCGACGCTTAGCAAGACCAAATCGACGAGCGTCGGCCTCGGTCCGGGCCGACGTCAGCCTCCCCGAGTGCTGGGCTCCCTCGACCACCCGATCACGCCATCCCCCTCGCGCCGGACGACTTTCCCGACAATGGATTATCTCACAGTCTACGCTATTGCGGTCAACGAGACCAATGCAGCAGGTGGCCGCATCGTGACGGCGCCCACGAATGGTGCGGCCGGTATCATCCCCGCTGTACTGAAGTACACCATCGAGTTCATCAGCGACGATCCCGAACGCGATATTCCGACGTTTCTCCTTACAGCTGCCGCCATCGGAATGCTCTACAAGCGCGGTGCCACGATATCTGCCGCCGAGGGAGGATGCATGGCTGAGGTCGGCGTAGCCTGTTCCATGGCCGCGGGAGCATTTGCCGCGTGCATGGGCGCCAGTCCGGAGGCGATTGAACAAGCTGCTGAGATTGGTATCGAGCACAACCTTGGCTTGACATGCGACCCCATCGGCGGTCTGGTGCAGGCGCCCTGCATTGAGCGTAATGCTCTGGGTGCCATCAAGGCTATCTCCAGTGCCAACTTGGCGCTGAGCAGCGAGACAGGCACGCAGAAGGTGAGGCTTGATGACGCCATTCGAGCGATGCGTCTGACGGCCAAGGGAATGAGGAATGAATTTAAGGAAACTAGTTTGAGCGGTTTGGCTACCAGCGTGCCTTTCAATATTCCAGTCAGTGTACCTGACTGCTGAGTTCGGCGTTTGTCTGCGAGATTTGGAAAGGGAACACATAGACTAGGGGTTTAACGGAGCTTTATCAAGACGATAAAACACAGCGATTCACGGATAGAAACTACCAAAGACATGACATTTAACAAGCGTTTTATCCTTCTTCTTCCCACTTTTGCAACTTACAACCGCCGATGAACGGAGACGGACATAATAGGTCAAAAAGCAACCCGCGAAACATTTCCTTTTACAAGCCGCAAACAAAAAGAAGAAATTGACAACTGTGAGATTCGAACTCACGCCTCTTTCGAGACCAGAATACGCCCCGTTGTGGGGAAGATGCGAAGGTGGAAACCTCTTCTCTTGAGTCTGGCGCCTTAGACCGCTCGGCCAAGTTGCCCACATGCCAGATTAGGCAGAGGGGATGCTGGTTGCTGCAGTAAGCTCCACCATGACCATAGTGTAGGCAGCGAGGAAACGCAGAATTGTGCCATCTCCATTATTGAAGCGTCTGGAAAGCAACGAGACGTCAAGCAGGCATAGGGTGATGGTGGTCATACGAGACTCCTGCAAACACATAAAGACTCATTCATCTGTTCGAGCTCCGTGATCATTCGTAATGTCGGCTAACTTAATCAACACTGGGCTCCTCTATGCAATGACCCAAGCTACTCTAGTAATCATCTTCCAGGCCGACAAGCTCCAGCGAATCCTTCCACAACCTTTTCTCTTTCTCCGCATCGTAAGCATGAGGAGCATAGAATCTGCCATCGTAGATGTCGGAGTCATCTTGTTCAGGAACAGCTTCCATGCAGTCAGTGAGGAACCTGCCTCCTCGGCTACCCCATTCCTTTCCCACAGCTGCCCAGACCGTGGTTGCAGCGCCTTGCTCTGGACTCTTCATTTGGCTTGCAACGGTTCCAGTGGTAAGTATTTCGCTCAACTGAGCTGGGTCGATGTGCTTTGAAAGCGGGGTGTCGATAACGCCGGGATGAAGGCTGGTCGCGTGAAGCCCCCGAGACCCGTAGCGCCGCTCGATCTCGTTTGCCATGTAAATGTTCGCCGTCTTTGACTGTCCGTATGCTTGAAATGCATCATAGCCGCTCTTCTCGTAGTTGTAGTCGCCCGACTCGTTGATGCCATGAAATCGGTGGCCCGCGGACGCTACGTTGACAACTCGGGAGGGAAAGTCCGATGTCGAGGCAGCAAGAAGAGCCGGCTTCAAAAGCTGGAAGAAGAGAAAATGAGACAGGTGATTGGTGCCGAATTGCAATTCATGTCCATCTTTGGTGAACTGGAGGTTCTTGACGCCCATAATTCCTGCGTTGTTGATGAGGACGTTGACGCGGTCGGTCTCAGCTAGAATAGCCTTAGCAGCAGAGCGCACCGAGCCTAGAGACTCCTGGTCCATCTCAAACAACTTCATGTGGGTTGAGTCGAAAATATTGGCCAGTGCTGCCTTGGCTTTGGCCAAGTTCCTAGCCGTAAGATACAGAGTAGCTCCAGTTACGGCGAGAGCACGAACGGTCTCGATTCCGAGCCCGGATGAAGTGCCAGTTATGACGAAGATCTTCCCCTTGAGCTTGCCCTCTAGGCCTTCGTCTTGGACGATTTGCAAAGCTGTAGGGCGAGAATCGCCGGGCCCGATAGGCTTGGCGTGGGCTTCGGTGTATCGAGACATGCTCAAAAATGGTGAGGCGGTCGTATGGGATTTGATGAATCTCTCTGAGAGTATAGCGGAAAGAAATGGTGGTTTGCGATGGGTGTTGGAGAATACTTGAAAGTTGGATATGAGGTTTTACTTATATAGTGAAAGATTTCTGTATTGATGGCTAAGTACATCAATGATCTTTCAACTTGTTCCACAGCCGGGCTGCAATATGGCCCATGTGCCCTGTTGGTGTTATGCATTGAGTGTACTGGTACAGGCAATCGTCGGTGTGTCGGGGTAACATGAGCGTAGCTTGGACACTGCCAGCCAACGTACTGTGAATGTGTCCGAGACTGCATCTTAGATACCCAGAGCCGCTTGTCACGATTGCTAACTACGTCTTTCAAACGCCAAGACGGACGTGGTGCGTTAGTTCGAGAGTTGGCTGACTGCCTTTGCCATTTCCATCATGGGCCAGTGGGTTCGGCCAAAGTTGCGTGAACTGACATGTTGATTTTCGAACAAGCATCCCAGCAAACTGGCTGACAACAATTGCCTAATTGGGGGATGCGGGCTCCACGTTATCTCCGCCCGCTTCTCCGCCCTCTCCTCCGTCCGCGCCGGCATCGATGCTGACAAACCGGCTGACCCTTCTTGCCTTTTCCATCTCGAATACTGATATCTTCAAATCCTCATCACTAGTTTCCCGATTCACCAAGTCATTTCCGGTATCTCGGGGCCAGGAAATATCTCTCCTGAAAGTCATGTCAACCCAAATCAAGACAAGCATACCCGCAGATGGTCCAACGCCGGTGGAGTTGAGGAAACTACGGAAGAGAACTCAAAATCGATTGAACCAAAGAGCTCATAGTGAGTCCGAGACTTCACATCCCAATCCAGCAATTCAGGTCAGCCAGGCTCATTATGTGTCAAGGAAGGCGCTTGGAAGCAATAAAGCCAGACTCCTCCCCAGACCGATACCCGTTTCGGGTTGACCGCTGGCGAATTGACCGTCCAGACTCTTGCGAAGGGCCGCAAACCTCAAAAGATGCCGCTTTTGCTGAGGTGATCACAAATGGGACTCGAACCGATCCTATCATCCCTCTCGACCGATCTCGATCCTCAGGCAAGAGTGAGATGGCAGCTTCTGGGAGTGCTACTTCCTCTTACTGCCCCACCAACAGCCTTTACGCTGATCTCTTGCTTCATCTCATCTACCAAAACGTCTTCAGAGCGTTTGTACTGAACGCCGATGTTCTGGATCTCATGACTGCAATAGCTCGTCCACGTCCTCTGCCTAATCCTCCTGTCATATACCGCAGCGACTTTCGATGCTCGCTGGTCGCTACCATTCACCAGGTGGACGCAGGCATACCCAACTCCCTCTCACCCACTCCGCTTCAAGCAAGCGACACTCACAGCTTCTGGATCAATGTGATACCGTTCGAGCGACTACGAGACAATCTTATCAGATGGGAGGCCTGCTTCGATCACAAGGACTTTTTGCGGGACATTCTTGGATCGCAGCTTGTGGATGGGCCGCCACCGAGTGAGAGTCGGGCGGATGAAACAAGCGCACCTCGGTTATACACCAGCGAAAATGACGCCAAAGATGAAGATAATGATGAGGTGACGAGTGGCAGACGAGGCTTTATCGTTTGGGGCGAGCCACACGACAAGCGGAATTGGGAAGCGACACCTGGCTTTCTTGCCAAGTGGGCTTGGGCTGTGGAGGGATGCGAAGAGCTGGTAGAAGTCAGCAACGATTGGAGACTTTCAAGAGGAGAGGAACCGGTATCTATATCGTCGACGGGAGATGTTTCGATGATCCGAGCGTCGGACATTCCGCTCGTCGTTGATTGAGAAAAATGAACCCATTGCTTTGAGTTCCTTATGTCTCCATGATTACGGGCATCAAAGGAAAAGAAACGACATCCAAGACGTATCGTACCACTGGTATCTTCATAAATAAGAACCTGAAATGGAGTTTGCATTGCGCACCCGTTTTTCACATTCGTATTCGGATTGCCTGGGTCACGCCACTTAATGTGGGCTGACGGTTCAAGGGCATAACATTTGGATAGTTCCGTTGGTCTTCAGCTTCAAGTCTTAGCAGCGAGGTCAGGCGACTAGTCCTTAGTTCAATTTCGGAGAATTACGGAATAATTATCCAGCGTTTCTTCAACGGTTCACTCTCGTTCGAGTGCGATTCAATCATCTCGGTGGTTGCAGGGAAGCAATTACATCGCGAGAATGGCCGGATCAACCCGTACAACAAGCATGAGAAAAACACCGAAGATGTAGGAATCGCTATAAATGTCTGACCATTTATAATATGAAGAAGCTGGAGTGATTTCAACAATGCAGCTTTCCAACAGAGGCGAGTACTTCTCAAACTTTGTTTCTATCCTCATGTCGCAAACTGTTCATCCCTTCGAACTAAGGCGAGTTGGCCACAGCTCAATCCTTATCTGCAGGAACATGGAAACGGTGAAAATCGGTGTGTTGGTTCCAGATCTTGTTCAACTTCAGGATCTCGCCTGCGTCGACATACTTGGCATGATGGGAAAGACTCATCTGAAGTCCTTGGAGCAATCCGAATATCTTATAGATTTGGCGCCGCACATCGAGATTTCATACATTTCAACGTCGCAACTTGAAACAACGGTGCGAAGCTCATCGAATGCTCAAATCTTAACAACTCGTTCTATTCACGATGCGGACGTTCAGCCAGGAAAGCTCGACATTTTGATGGTGCCCGGCTCGGTAAGCCATGGTGGCTGGAACGACGCATTGCTCAAATTCGTACGAGGCCATATCGAGCACGAATCAACCGACGTTCTCATTGTTTCGAACGGAGTTTATCTGTGCGGAGAAACAGGAGCGCTTGATGGCCGTATCATTGCTGGACCAAAGGACCTTGTAGACAGTTTGAGGTCAAGATATGAAGGGGCGAACATCGTGGGCGACAAATTCCGTTGGGTTCAAGACGGCCAGCTTTGGTCAAGCGGTAAGGTACATGCGCGAACTGACCAAATTGGTTTGTTTCAAGACTATATCTGACTTGTTGGACTGCACTAGGACGAATGATGAACGGAGGCGACATGGTAGCAGCGTATGCGCTTCAAAGCCCACATTTTGCAAAGCCGGTAGTTGAAGCGGTTATGTCTATCGCTGAACTTGGACAACGGTCACAACAGTATTGAGGATATAGTATGGCATCGATATCTTGCGGGCGGTAGTGTGATGGATGTATTATATCATACGTGAGTTACTACCAGTTTAAGAACTTAGCCACATAGGAACAGTCTCATCTCAAGACGAAGTCGTTTAGTATTCTGTGCAAAAATAATTCCAAAGGGTTGCGCTCTCCAGGTATCAAAGTGTACAAATAGTTGCCGGTCTCAATCTATGTTGGTCATTCAACGGTCCCGTCTCATACTCCAAGGTACGACCATCAAAATCAACCCGATACATTCGACCTGACTGGAGCAGGATTTTGGTCTGCCGAAGCTGGTTTTGCGGCTGTTCATGTATCCGACTGCTTTGCTTATCCGCCGGAGGGCTTCTCTGCCGACTGCCGAGGATCTTTTCCGCCCAAGGGCTTCATGGCAGCATTTGGAGAACGGTGACAGGGGTAGGAGGCATTCGCAGCACCAGCCAGATGGACCATGACCAGAACCGATTCTCATGAAGTGAACCTGGTTTTGTTTAAAAGGCTGCCTGTACATATTAGATAAGAAACGAAGGATGGCCTCCTTAAGTTGCAATATTTGAGAATTAAGAGATCGAGCGGCGGAAATCCGAGGTATCGAGAGATATCGCCGGATTCTCAGGGCTTGGCACCGGGTCCCAACCCCGCCCGTCAATATTTGCTCCGCTATGTCCACCGGGATGTGACTGAGGCCTTTGAGATTGGCTTGGCTTGGCAGCCCAACAAAGTTTGTTCTGGGATTTTGTTCATCCCGACCTTTTCAGGCTGCATTGTGATTCCCGATGAGATGTTTATATGATGTGTCCAATTGTGTGTCAACTTTGAGTAACTCCCTCGAGATCCAAATGCTCGAAGTCATCACGAATGTTCCGTAGATTTGATGCTCTTCCCCAGACCCCGCACCCCGCAATCAGGAGCTTTGCATGCATCCTGCACCTCTCCATTCCACCCAACAGACGTCATGTGCTGTCGGCCGACGGTTCTCTCGGGGAACAAGAAGCGGATATGCACCAAAAGCAGCCGCAATAGCTCCGATACAGGTGAATGAATGCCGCTCGGCCCCCTCAACCAAGTCTAGATCTTTCCATTGGGACTCCTCATTCCGGGCACCGTCCAGGTGCTTGGGTCAAGGGATCGACAAACAAGCGAGATGCCGGCTCTCTACCCCTCAGGTCCCGTTCGTGATGGCTGGGAAACTCGGCATTGCGGAGTCGGAAGCTTGGCATCGAGTTATAAAAGCTCGTGCGTGGTACTCATCTGGCCAAGACTTTAGTTCCAAGAGATCGCACTCCCAGCTCGAGGACCCGTCAACGACATGGCTTTCCCAAGACTTGCTTCCGGCTTGGCCCTATTCCAGGGCCTCGGCCTCTTCTCCGGTGTTCAGGCACAGTCTTCCGAGAGACCGTTGCCCGAGAAAGCTCAGATCATCGACCAGAAGAGTTTCCTTGTCTTGGAGAACGTTCCACCCCCGGCGGAGGCTAATGCCACCACGGTAGGTATTCAGTCTGCGAAGAAAGTTCAACTTCCGGATAACTAAGACCATTATTTCAGGTCTTCCTCTGGCCCGGTGTCACTCAGGAATCTCTCACCGAGAGACCGTTCCACGTGTATGACCCGGAATTTTACGACATCATTGGCAGTGATCCTTCGTTGACTCTGATTGCCACATCAGAGGTTGACCCAATCTTCCACGAGGCCGTGACATGGTACGTTGACCCGCAAAGCCTTGTACTCACAGGGAGCTGACCGAAGTAGGTATCCTCCCACCGAAGAAGTGTTCTTCGTTCAGAACGCTGGAGCACTTGATGCGGGCACCGGCCTGAACAAGTCCTCGATCGTCCAGAAGATCTCCCTTGTAGATGCGGAGGCCTTGAGGAACGGCTCTCTTGGCGCCGAGGAGGTCACCGTTCACACGGTGCCTTCGAACCCGCAGGTTATCAACCCGAATGGTAAGTGATCAAGTCGACAGTCAAACAACTCATTTCTTTAGTGGCTGACACAAGAAAGGCGGCACCAACTACAATGGTAACATCATCTTCGCTGGCGAGGGCCAAGGAGACCGCATTCCGTCTGCGTTGTACTTGATGAACCCGCTCGAGCCATACAACACCACACGTGAGTATTCCATTCTCATTCGCATTGCTTTTGTCCTAGTGAGAAACCAATATTGACAGTGTGTTTCAAGTGCTCGTCAACAACTTCTTTGGCAGGCAGTTCAACTCACTCAACGACGTTGCCGTGAACCCCCAGAACAAGGACATCTACTTCACCGATACCCTCTACGGATACTACCAATACTTCCGTCCTGAGCCTGCCATGCGAAACCAGGTGTACCGACTCACCCCCAGCACCGGCGCCTTGACCGTCGTTGCAGATGACTTTGTGTTGCCCAACGGTGAGTTGGTTATCCGATCTGAGTTGCCACAACACCAAAAGGGTCATCGCAGCTGATTGTACAATGTCTAGGAATCACCTTCTCCCCCGAAGGCGACTATGCGTATGTCACCGATACTGGAATCAGCCGTGCGCTATTTGGCATGAACATGACTCAACCTGCCTCCATGTGAGTTGCCCTGAAGCGTCGCGCATGTCTCTCATGCTAACGATGAACCGTAGTTACCGCTTCGACGTCAAACCCGACGGCACTTTCGAAAACCAGAAGACGTTTGCCTACGTTCACGCTCGCGTTCCCGATGGTGAGCAAGAACTCTCGGAATGCAAGCAGATACTTTGCTAACCGATGATGACACAGGAATCCACACCGATTCCAAGGGCAACGTCTATGCTGGTTGCAACGACGGCGTTCACGTCTGGAACCCTTCCGGCAAGTTGATCGGAAAGATTTATACGGGGATTGTCGCTGCCAACTTCCAGTTCGCTGGAGATGGCCGCATGATTATCATGGGACGCACGAAGTTGTTTTATGCCACTCTTGCTGCCTCGGGAGCACCGCTGTTCTACTGAACCGATACCATTCAACGTTCTGCAATGCAACTCGGCGTTTAGATGTCCCCTGAAACTAGCCGTAGCCAATGTCAGAACGGACATTACTTCGAAACCGAGTTGGTTTCTCTCGGAGAGGCACGTTCTTACAGTGGTGCGAGGCTTCGTAGTCGAGAAATTGAGATAATAATGCCCACCCAAGAAAGCTTTAATGGGAACCACATAATCAAACTCTCAGGGAAATGTCAGACGTGACCCCAATATGCAGTCAATAAGAACGGCAGCGTGCATCCCATAGCTGGGTTGCTGAATTTGCCGGTGAAGACACCGTCTTCTGTGTTAGCAAAGTCACAGCACAAGAGCAACTGTCTACAGTCTCTTGTTTGGAGTACTGCAATTGTGGCTCTAATGAATTTAGTCTCTAGGGGCTGATTTGGCTAGGCGGTCTTGAGAAAGTCATCGTATCACGATCAGCCCGCAGAGGATCATCGGCTGCCCTCAATGACAGTTCCATCGAAGGTCGTACGGCAAAACCGTGGGATTTGAAACAAAACGATTGTGAATGTTATCGTAGGCGATCGCATGGGAGAATTGCGACTCATCAACTGCTTTGGCGACTCTTGTTGACTCGTCGTGAGATTTCGAAAAGCTTCACATCGCCCGAGCTATTTTCCATTTGGCGCCATTGAACGAGAAACCGTCAATTGGCGTGGGAGTCCCTGCGAAATTAGTGGGCTGTGAGTATTTATGTCCAATCAGAAGACGACGCGTCGGATGACGTAGGTAGCCATTTGAGCACCTGAACACCAAAAGTTCGTGTCCAAGCGACCCCAACCTGGAAGTCCGACTCAAAAGCGACGACAGCCTCTTGCGACATGCATCCTACGACCTAAAATCTTTTTGAGCCTGACTGCCACTTCATCATGCCAGATTCACAGCCGTCGGCGCGGTCTTCCCGCGTCGATCTCCTCCTACGCCCTGTCGAGCGACCGGTCGGCTACTTGAAGCGCGCCGCCGTGGCGACCTCGTACCCCCTACGCGGCATTTGGTATTTCCTACGAAACAAGGAATTCTGGCCTCTTTTCCTCAGCAGATTGTTGCCTCTTTCTATCATCTCTTTCCTCGTCTATTTCATTCTCTTCACATTCGCATTTCTCCCGCAATTCGCCTTCCTGGCGATCTTCCACGGATGGGGCGCGTGGGTCAACGCCGTGGTGCTGGTCCTTGGAGAGGGTCTGGTGGTGATCCAGGGTCTTTTTGAGGGCTTCTTCGTCGATGAATGCCGGGTGGACGTGTTTGACGTGAATAATTCCCTCCCTTTACGACCTGACACATATGGGCATAGCTGACCAGATCCTACAGGCCACCCTGATCAAGGAGTCGCATACCGATCTCGTCGCCCCGCACCGAATCCTCTTTCCCGATGCCCCGACCGCCGTCAAGATGCTGGGCAAGCCTACCAGCTCGGCCATCTATACTCCGTGGAGCATGATACAGATCGTCGAGCTGGTCGTCTTTCTTCCGCTCAACTTTGTGCCCGTGGTCGGAACACCGGCGTTCATCATCATCACGGGCACACGGTTGGGCAAGTTGGCGCACTACAGATGGTTCCAGCTTCGGGGTTTGAGCAAGAAGGAGAGCAAGAGGGAGATACGGGCGAGGACGTGGGAATACGTCTGGTTCGGCACGGCGGCCATGATCCTAGAGCTGGTTCCTGTGCTGTCGTTCTTCTTTCTCCTGACCACGTCGGCTGGGTCCGCGCTCTGGGCGGCGAGGATGGAGGACGAGAAGAGGAGGCAGGCCGTGGAGAGCTTGGTGGGAGAGCCTCTGCCGCCGCCGCCTCCCTACGAAGATGACCCAGTTTAGACGAGAACATTTTCATATTCCTTCATTCGAGCAGCCAGCAAGCAAGCAATTGAGACCTCATTCACTTGGACTTCAGAATTTCGTCAATGCATACATCACAGCCATCATCCATCCTCAAGGCATGCCGTGTCCCACCACGTCCTTCCCATTCTGCTGGGACAGCGCCTGCCCCCTCCGAATCACATGGCTCTTTCCCGCCCTCCAGTTCTCTCCTTCCTCCTCTTGCCACGAGGATGCCAAGGGCAGCCACCCTCCTTCTCGCCTTCCCCGGGGAAGGTGCTCATGCTGTCTCCTTCCTGCAGCGGATTGATCTCGCAAGGTACCCAGTTTCAGAAAATTTCCTCCGTCTTCCGTCTTCCATGCCCCTCATCACTTTGGCAAGTGCCCTAAATGGAATGTGCAATGGGAAAAGAGCGAGGGTATGCCACCACCGGCCTCATTCGCCTGATGTGAAGCGTTTTCACCTGGTGACCTTTGTAAAAGAGCGAGGGAAATTTTCATCTTTGGCAACATCCGAACGGGCTGTTTCCTCACAACACAATCTTCTCCCATTGACTTCCTACCTTCCCACCTCATTCGTCTCTCCTACATGTTTGATATCACAACCACGTGTGTGACGTGATGGAACGGTCGAGCACGGGGATACCACACGTGCCCCGGGCCGAGGAAGCTGGAGCATCGCCCACCTCATTTATCTCGTCTCCATGGAATAGGTTGTGGAAGGCACCTGCACCTGCCCGTCCCAAACGATGTTATCATTGTGTTTGGATCTACCATGACGGTTGATACGGTCGAGTAGTATTCTTCTGGTCCTAGCAGTAAGTCTGTCTCTTCCAAGATTGCCCCTGAATGTGTCTTGTAGTAGATCTGATCTCCTTGAATCGACCTGTTATCCTGTGTTTCTACCTTCCTTGTCCTCAAGACTGTTGCTGTCCAGTGTCCAGGCGTGTACCCGCCATCGTCCTTGCGTTTCCTGGTGTTCCTGCCTCATGCTGGCCGGGTCCTGCCGCCCTCGTGGCGACTCCTCCTGCCTTTCTTGCCCTGTCCAACATCGAGCCTTCCTTCATCAACTGGACGAGCGACTTCCTCTTGCCTTCAATAGATGGTTCCTTCTGGAATCAACATCAACCGGAAGGAGCATGTCCTTTCCTGCCGCCAGACCGTTGACACAGTCTTCCCCCGTCTCCCCCCGTCTCCCCCCGTCCCTATTTATACCTCTCTTCTCACCCATCTCTTCTTCCACAATCTTCTCCTCTTTACACCTCAATCCATTCCTTCATCCCACTCCAACCTTCGTTCGTCTCTCCTAGACTTTCAGTCGTCACGATCTTTCAACATCACCTGCGTATCCTACGTATCCCACGTATTCACGCCCCTCAGCACTCGTTCACACAATATGCGAGCTCGATCTCTCGCCGGCCTGGCGGCCATGGGCCTCGCGGGTCTCGCTTCGGCTGACCCCGTCCCTCTTCCAATGTGAGTCTTCCAATCCATCCTCGCTCTTCTTGGTCGTCAACCAGGAGCATTGGACCGCAAGCTGACCAAACAGTCCCGGTCCTGGAGATGGCGCTCTCTACACTTGTCCTCCTGCTTCTACCCAGACCATCTTCGTCACAGTCGGCTCTGGCAGCGACCCTGTTCCCTCCGTCGCTGTCCAGACTCTCACTGCCACTGTCTGGCCTGGTGCTGAGCAGCCTACCTCTCCTGCTTATCCCACTCCTGTCTACCCCTCTCTTCCCCCGACTCTGACCGTCACGATCGACTCCTACGGCCCTCCTACTGGTGGCTCGCAGTACACTGGACCCAGACCTTGGAACTCTGGTGCCGCTCTCACTTCCACTGTCTACGTTCCTGCTGCTCCCGCCGGTTCTGTCGCAAGCGACCCTGGCAACGCTGGTGGAAACCCTCCTGCTTCCATCATTCCCAGCGATCAGGTCACTCCAGGCTCTCCTGATGGCAGTGGCCGAGGCACAACGACAGTCTACACCTTCCCTGGACAGACACCGCCTGCCTTCCCCTGGAACCCCACTCAGCCTGCTCCTGGTCCCGGCACTGATGGTGTCGTTGTCTTCAGCACCACCCTCTACAACACCAGACCTGGCTCGGGAGGCACGCCCACCGTCGACACTCTGGTGACTTGCTTCACCGTCACTTTCCCTCCTGCTACCGGCACGGCACCCCCTGTTGGCCCGCCCAACGCTGGCGTCTCTGTCGGTACTGTCGTCGTTCCCACGATGGTCCCTGGCCCTGATGGCAGTCTTTCCTACTCTCTCCACACAATGCTGTCGACCTTCACTCCTGGCGTTGGCACTGCTGCTCCTCCTGCCTCTGTCATCACAACGACCTATGTCTTCCCTGGCTCTCCCACGGACACTGCGGGTCAAGATCCTGCCACTGGAACCCCCGTCGTCGCTACCATCACCCTCACGGTGCCTGAGCCACCCGCCACAGCCGGCGTCTCGCAGCCTCCGACAGGTCCTGGTGCCCCTGGTGCCCCCGGTGCTCCTGGCAACTCTGGCATCCCATCTGGCCCAGTCACTGTCACTGTCATCCAGCCAAACCCCTCAAACCCGGCTGCGCCTGGCACTGTCTTCGTCACTGCTGGCGTCCCTCCCTCTGGCGGCGTTCCCGGTACTCCTGGCAGTGGTGGCTCGCAGACAACCGCCCAGAGCAACACCATTCCTGGCAGCTACGGAGACTCTGATCCCTCTGCTGGCCTTCCTCCCGCAGTCACAGTCACCGCTCCTGCTGGCTCTGGCAACACTCAAGCTCCTGCAGGTGGTCTTCCAGGTCCGGTCACTGTCACCGTCCCTGCCGGCTCGGGCAACACTCAAGTTCCTGCAGGCGGTTCTCCAGTCACTGTCACAGTCCCTGCAGGCTCTGTCTTCTCCCAGGATCCCAACGCTGGCTTGCCCTCCGCAGTCACCGTCACTGTCCCTGCTGGTTCCGCCAACCCTCAGGATCCCGCTGGTGGTGTTCCAGTCACTGCTTCTCCCGCTGGCGGTGCCGGTGCGAGCAGCATCCTCGGTGGCTACAGTGATCCGGCACAGGCACCCTCTGCTGCTCCCGGCACTGGCGCTGGTGCTCCCGTTAGTGGTGCTCCTGGCTCTCTTGGCTCACCCTCTGTCATCACTCTGTGGCCTACGATTGCGAACACGGTTCAAGGTCCCGTCGAGACAGCTCCGAACACCGTTCCGGGCGCTGGTGTCACTGCGGTCGACTCTGCTCTTCCTGTCACCGGCACAAAGACATCTTGCACGTCCACCCTGGTTGATTCAACATCTGTCGAGCCGGCTGTCTCGTCTGTCGTCGTCTCTTCTGTTCTTACAAGCACTCTGGTGAACGCTGTTCCTCAGTCTACGACCACGTACTTGTTCCCCTTCGAGTCGCTTGTCACCTCCGTCAGCACTGCAGTCTTCACTGGTGACGTCGCCGGAGGCAGTCCCACCACTACTCAGGCCGCCGTCAGCGACGCCGGTGGTGCCGGACAACCCTCGGTCTTGAGCTCCTTGATTCTCAGCACCTGGATTCAGAGCACGCTGGTTCCTGCCACTGCAGTCAGCACCAGCCAGGCAACCATCTCTGACGCTGGAGGCGCCGGGCAACCCACGGTCTTGAGCTCCTTGATTCTCAGCACCTGGGTTCAGAGCACATTGATCCAGAGCACGCTTGTCTCAGTGCCTACGCCCGCAGCTGTCGAGCGTCGCGGCATTCAGAAGCGCCAGGGAAACTCCACCTTGACTTCCACGGCCCCCATTTCTGTTGCCACGCCCATGTGCACTGGCACGACGGAGGTTGGCACTCTCACTCTGGACGTAAGTCAACCCACTCTGCCTTGATTTGAGTACGCCTGACTGACACTTTTCTCATAGTTCGATGACCTCGACAAGTTTGGCCCCATCTACAACCCGTACCATCGCTTCTGGTTCTCCAAGGGTTTCCTCGTCGGCCCGCCTCCCAAGATGCCGTATCTCCCGTCGTCTGGTGGCCAGCTCGTGGAGTTCGTGCCCCCCATGCTGTCCAACTCCACTGGCCAGTTCTCCAACGACACTGCGCAGATTGGCATGGGCAAGCAGGCATCTTCTCCTTGCTTCCAATTCAACTTCTACGGCGCGAGACTTGGCTGCGATGCTCGCGTGCCCGACCAGTTGTGCGAGTTCACTTTCACGGGATACAAGTGGGATGCGGCCCAGGGCAACGAGACAGAGGCTGTGAGCCAGAAGACTTGGGTTCCTTCGTGCCCCAAGATGGACGGTTGCGCTCTCACACCTTTCTCGGCCACGGGCTTCGACGGACTCAGCTCCATCCTGGTCACCCTTCGCGTCGATGGGCGCCCTCAGGTCTGGTGGGCTGATGATCTCCAAGTCGGCTGGACCAAGAACGACTGCGACTCCGCCACTTGCCGGCAGCAGCCTGTGGCTTTGGACGTTGCCTCGGACAACGATCCCCTCTGGTACTGGACCCGGGCGGGCATGAGAGTTCTCAAGCCGTCCCGTATCCACAAGCATTTCTGAGTCGGGTCTTGATGTGACGAATAATGAGTGGCATGAATGTTTAACAATCATGGTTCAATGGTAACGGATGTGATCGATCCTACGATTTCTTGGTAGACTCGCAGAGTGGTGTGGAGTTGTAATGAAAGACATGAGGATGGAGGAAATGGACCAACTGCGCCTATGTATTCTAGCATGAGTATTTCAAATGAATTGTTTTGGAGGTTCATGACGTTTTCTTTCGTGCCAGATTTGCATTTTTGACTCTGCTTTCTTGCCAGTGGACAGTGCATGCTGTCGACGATGCGACTCTCATTGCCAGCTAGTCGATGTCGTAGGCGTTGTCTACGCTGCTTCCAGTTTCGGCTTTGATGTGCGGTGCATCGTCAGTGCTGTAGTCGCTACAAGACCCCCGCCGCCCTGAGACACACATTCCCCCGCCGATGGTAAAAGCCATTCACGGGATTGATTGAGTACTTGATTGGTAGGAGTCGGGCATGTCTCTTCCTGACTACCCTCCTTAGGCTTAGCTGGACGGCTTCTTCGACGGGGTCAAGTGCCATTTATCATCAACGAACTTGACCGTTTTTAAGTTGGCATGGATTTGGCGCCGTGGATGGAACGATCTGGCTATGCAAATGAGCGTAAGCGACCTGCAACCATCCGACGCAGGCCAATCAAGGGGAGAGCCGAAAGACAGAATCAAGCATTTCAAGGTGGTGCCAAGAAACATCATTGGAAGGAATTCGGTGCTCTCTATTCATCCGGGACGCGCGGGGAAAACCACATATCACCCGCCATGAGACCATCTTCAGCCGATGAAACCTGCATTTCTATAGCTTCGGCCGGATATTCCAGTGAATTTGACGCGAAGCATTACGATGGCTGATGCACAAGAGCAACCCGCAGCTCCTGCGACAACTGACGCGCCTGCGACGACTACTGAGGCGACCACGGCTCCAGTAATATTGACCCATTTCTCATCGCGTGATGTATTCGTACGACGGTTGTGGCTGATGGCGAACAGATCCCTCCAGCTGATGATAACGACAATGAAACCTCTGATGGCTCGGTCTATGAGGATTCCGTGAGTTCCAGACAATCATGTGTGTGGATGCTTGGATTCACAGTTAATTGATTACTTCAGTCGGCGACTTCGCTGTCGTCTCTGCGATCGAGCATCTTGGAATACCGGAGGGAAAATGGACGCACTTATCACAGCATGAGTGACGGGAGTGAGCGAATGGCCCTAGTCATGGAGAGAGAGATTCACCTGCTGATCACTATCCTCGGAAAATAGAGTATCATCTTCCCAACGACGAGGTACTGTATCAAGCCAAATCTGATGCATTCTATGTTGACATTATCTCCTAGATAGAACAGGACCGGTTGGGTAAGACAATGAATCAATCAAAGCTGGCGTGCTGTACAGAAAGACGTCGGCTAACAAGGCGTGACAGATCTGACGCACCATCTGTGGCTCGTTACTTGGGATGGGGAGTTGTGCAACTCGCCCAAGAAAGACGGTGCCAAGCGCGTTCTTGACGTCGGCACTGGGACGGGGATTTGGGCGTTGGAATACGGTGAGATCTTGCAAGAGTTTCTGAACCTCAGAGACACCGCTGACAGTTGGCGCAGCCGATCTTCATCCCGAGGCAGACGTATGCAACATTCACAATTTCAAAGCTGTTCCAAGCTAAAGATTTATGAATAGGTCATCGGCGTTGACCTTAGTCCGATTCAGCCGTCCTAGTAAGCCTCTGCTTCACAACATACGGAAGATAATGATTTTGATGAAATGGGTGGCAGCGTACCTTCGAACTGTCATTTCGAGGTTGACGATGTCGAGAAAGAATGGACTTGGAAACGACCCTTCGACTTCATCTTCGTCCGAGCCATGATCTCCAGTTTCTCGGACTGGCCTGCGATGGTCAAGAAAGCATACGAGTGAGCGAATAAACACTAAAAGCCCTGATCCAGCCCTTGCTACTGAAACTCCAACTGACACTCTCAACAGCAATCTCGAACCAGGAGGCTACCTCGAAATGCACGACGACGTCTTCCCCCACCGCTGCGACGACGGCACCATGACCGAGGACTCGCTCATCTACAAGTGGGGAAACTACCTCGTCGAGGCCACGGACAAGATCGGGAGGCCGATCACGGTGGCGCCCAAGTTCAAGCAGATGCTCGAGGAGGCGGGCTTCGTCGACGTCGTCGAGAAGCAGGAGAAATGGCCCGTCAACACGTGGCTGGAGCGAGACGACAAGGCGCAGCAGCTGGCGCCGTGGTCGCACGCGGCGACTCTCCAGGGGCTCGAGCCCGCCTCGCTCGCCCTCTTCACCCGCGTGCTTGATTGGACCAAGGAGGAGACTCTTGTCTTCTGTGCTCACGTGCGGAATGAGGTGCGCAGCAAGGACATCCACGCGTACTTTGGGGTGTAAGTATCCAGATGCGTGATCGGGATCTAGTGGTTGCTAAGATGTGAAATAGGTACGGCGTTTATGGTCGCAAGCCCGAGGAGGCGGCGGAGGCTGCGGAAGCGGCGGGAGCTCCGGAGGACCCCTAGGTCGAATGCTCCCGTTGACCATATTCCATGCAATCTAGCACTCTTTCAACAACAAGGTTGATGCGTTTTTAGCAAAGCTTTCAGACGATACAACAGTGTGTAAGTGACCGGTAAATAAACGATCTGTGATTTTGATTCTATTCGTCCATAACGTGAATAATGGCGGGGCTTCTCATCGAAACGTCTCCATATTAGTGCCTCCATTAAACGACTGAAGTAAAGTCGACGGAAATCTAAAATCCTTCCCAGAGCTAATAAATCCGAGCAACGATACCTGCCATACCTGTCATAGCCCCTTCACTGAACTGATTTGATGTTCTATGTGTCCTTCCTTTCGACAAATTGACTTTCCAACTCCAGCCATTGATCAAAGTTCAACAATTGAGGATGCTGTCTCCTGACTGAAGGGATGTCCACGCCAAAACCATCAGTACGAAACCACTTGTAGGTTGCTCCGAAATCCGCAATAAGCCAATGCATAAACCTAACAAGAAACTGGAACGTCTCGGGAATCTCGGTGCCAACCTTCCGCTTGAAGATAACGTTCGCTTGGTCAAGGGTCAGTTCATCCCCTGCGATGGGAACCTGCTTGCCAGAGTACTCCTGCGGTTGGAGAAACGCCTGTGCCGCAAACCATCCAATGTCTTTGATTGCCGTGAGTTGTAGCGGCCTTTCTCTGACAGCAACTCTCCAAGAGGTCGCCATGATCTTGACCTCCATTCCCGGGATCATGTTGTCCATGAAGGCGGCCGGGCGGAGAATGGTCCAGTTCATCTTGTCCTTTGCCTTCTCGACGAGGTGATGCTCGATTCGGTACTTGCTCTGTAAGTGTTGAACTTCGGGCACGAAGTTGTCGAAGGATGCGTCGCCGCCGCGATCGATGGATGAGTAGACGAAGAATTTGACGTTGTTTGCGATAGACTCATCAACCAGAGCCTTTCCTTGTCTTTCTTCTGACTCTGCCGACGCGCCTTTGCCTATAGCAGTCTGAGGAGATTCCATTAGCATTCTGAGCCCTTGAAGATGCTGTTGATGTTGTTCGTCTACACACCTGGACGCTGTAGACACCCCAGATCTCCGACGCAGCTTCGCCCAGTGACGCCTTTGCAGCTGAAAAAATGGCAGGGACATCGTTGAGATCACCCTGAACTATCTTGATACCTCGATTTTGTAGCGACTTGGCTGCTGCAGCGGAGGGGTTGCGAGTGACGGCCAGGATGTTGTGCGTTTTCCCAGCACCGGCTTCAAGAAGAGCTGCAATGACGGCGCCTCCCTGTTTGCCTGTTGCGCCGGTCACGAGGATCGTCTTTCGGTTTTGCAATATTTGGGACATGTTTCTAAGCAAAGACTGGAACTCGGGTTACTGAGATGATGCTGAAAGATGGAATCTTGAATCCTAAGTTGTTGTGTGAAATTGTCTGTGATCGTGCGAGTTGATCCAGATAGCTACGGCATGGGCGAAGCTATTAAATATATACGCCATGACAACAGGCGCTCGGCTTCTCGCCTCTCGCGAAAACGTTCGGAAAAGAGAGTTGCTTTCAAAACACCCATCACCATGTTCACCGACCACTCGGCCGTTGATAGCATATTCCAACGGATGGCGAGATTAGCGACGGCTTACTTCACAGGTAGACTAGACTCAATATGGAAGCTTTCCTCGAGCTTCTGCACGGATTCAGACAGCCGATAGCGCCGAATTTAGGGCGCCCAATGATGTACAGCTGTGCTTAGCAATCCTCGGACTTTTACCATTTGGTGATTGGATGGTCAGTATGAGTGCTCCATGGTATGCAATCCTGTTCTGACAAGGAAATGCTTCAGTTGGATACAGTACGTCTGGCGCGCAAAAGTTGTGGCCGTCGAAGTAGCCTAATTCGCCATGCATCACGAGTGGCTACTGAAGTGTGCCCGTGAACTACAACACGAGTTGACACGACCCAAACCCTATTTCCATGAGCGCGATACTAGTTGCATGCAAGATACCCTTTGTTAATAGGCTAGAGATTTCTCATGAATTATCTATAATTACAATAATCAAGCTACTTCTTCTACGCGCAAGTCCTTGTACTGTGACACCACCGAACATACCCTTCTCAACCGCAAAGTTCTGCTGTTGATCAATTTGGATATCAACTGATCCATATCACACAAAATCCTCAGCACTGAGCAACCTGTGATCCAGAACGCGTCCAATGTGAGTCTTGTCGATGGATTCGCAGTTCCTTCGGATCTTGGTCATCAAAACACGGACGAAATGGATGACCTCTGTGTCACCCATGCCAGCAACCGCCACTGGAGAAGCGCCAGAGGACAGTTCGCTGGAAACAACATCTTCGGCCGGGATAAGCCCCAGAAACCTGCGAACTTCGCCGTACTCGTCCAGAGACTTGAAGTACAATTGACCCGAAAACAAGTTCAACTCGGTTGTGAGCGGAAGAGATAGAGAACGAGGGACCTGCTGATGAGGAACCGTGTAGAGGTCAAGAGCGTCGAGAGGCCTATACCCCAGGTTGGGACGAGGAGCATATAAATGCAGCGACACCATTTTCGATTGTGTGATGTCCGGGAGAAGCTCCTGAGCTTCATAGGGACTAATCATGATCGCAATCTCAACAACTCCAGCTCCAGAAACTTTCGTGAGGATCCATTGCACCGACCTCTGGAAAAGATCAGATACATAGCCTTGCTCAGACCTTTCGACAGTCCGAACAAAGTCTGCAGTCACAAGAAGTCTTTCTCGAAACTGAGTAACGTCGAAATCCTGCGCAGCTGTTGTTTCTGAAAGTGCCATGAACGCAGGCATGTAAGCAGGGGAATTCTTGACCAGCATGCCGTAGGATACGAAGGTTTGAATGTCTGTGTGCAGAGCATGAGCTGCCGGCTTCGCAGGCGGTGGTCTTTGAATCTCGCGCTCTTGTTCGACCTCGGGCGATAGCTCTCGCTCTTGCTCTTCCCGGAACGTAGCTGTGCCAGGTTTCATATCTCCGAACTCGAGGACTCGGGCGGTAATTGCATCAACATCAACATTCATCCTTTCTGGTGGACATAAGGATCCGCCAACTCTTTGAACCGTAGGACGATACCTCTTATTCAAGGTTTGGGCCTCTTCCTCGAGAAACTTCAGAGCGTGTTCTCGGGTCAAGTTGGTGGAAACACCGGCTGATGCTCCCGACCACAGCATTTTGTGGTGTTCAAAGCGTCTACCTTGGTTTGCCCAGAGACAAATGCCTCGTCGTAAGTCAACCATGGTTTCGGAAATAGCCCATTCGAGAATGTCCAATACACTAATCGCGGAAATTTGGCTACCGGTCCGGATCGTTGACTGCGAGAAGATCTTCTGTTGTATCTCGTCCGGGACGCAGAAAACCACTGATTGTCCCTTTCCCAATTTTCGCATTCGCATACACGCTAAAACTCAAGTCAGCACGGAATCGTGAAGTAAACGATGTTCATCAGCTTACCCTGAACCAATCTGTCCTTGGTCAAACTTGCTCCCAGAGTCACAGCAGCTCGGTAGTTTCCAGGGAGCTTTAGATCCGTCCCTCTGGTGTGCGCTTCGTCTAAAAAGACCAGGCAAACATCACTCTGGCTCGCAAATGGCGACGTGTGAAAGGTCTCTACACGGCCTTGTCGGTCCACCACGCAGATCTGATCATCTTCATCACAAAACACAACGGCTTGAGTCCTTTCGTCATGTCGTGTGATTTCGAGCCATCGTTGTGCGACACCAATGTTGTCGAGCTCAAGAATCTGTGCACCGACATCGAGAATGACACGGACGGGTGGATGCAAGTTGGTAACCAGCTGCAACAACGCCTCAGCGTCGGATTGGACCGTACTCGTTCTCTTCGGCATTAAAGCCACGGAGTTCTCATCTCGAAGAAGATATTCCAGAACCAGAGCGTTCGTATGCTGCTGACTGGGATCTTCCAGTTGCGAAACCGCTAGAGGCAGAAATGCCTTCGAGTCGTTGGTGCCGCTGAAGCCAGTCGTTGTTTTCGACTTTTCCTCGCCAATGTCCCATCCAGAAGCTGACAACTTGAAAGGGAATTCTTTCAGTTCTTTGGGAAAGACAATATGGGCGAGGAAATAGTCCACAACACCCTTGGCGTATCGAAGGCTCGGAAATACTTTCTTGACACACTGAGCTCCATCTTCCAGGTTGACACCCGAGAGCTGATGGAATGCTAAAGGCAGATCATCGCTGTCCATCACCCACACACGGTACTCCATGTCGGCTTGGTCGGACCGCACAATGTGACGGAAACTGAGAAACAGCTCTTCATCTGTCAAGCCACCATAGTAATAACTGAGCGAAGTAAGAGCGATTATCACTTCGGGGTGGCTGAATTCCGACCTGGCGGCTGGGCTGTCTTTGGCTCGATACGGCACCGCAAGTCTTGTTTTGGGATGTCTATTGACATCTAGACCGTAGTCTACGCGCCAACGCTTTTGACAAAAGACAAAACTGAGAACTCCTAGGCCCAGAAGCCCACGCAGAAGAAGTAAGGTTTCCTTTGTCGGTGAAGCCCACAGCCCTGAACGTTCAACTGCATCGATCTCAAGTTGACTGAGGTTCGATTTGGAGATGTAGCTAAAGACTGCCTTTTGAACACTGCTTGACTGAGTTGCCATAGGCAGGCCCGTGGAACCAGCTTGACTCAGATGACGGGCCACGTTATTGAGTAGCATATTTTTGGTGCTTTCCTTCAGGATACGCAGTCGGGGAAAGCCACCACGGCATTGCGAGGAGACTTCAATCCCTGTGGTGTCGTCTCGCTGTATAGCTGGCAGCAGCTTTCTTAGGACGTCTAACACGTCGTGTACGCAAACCCATCGGTCAGGGCTGTGCTCAATTGATCGTTGTGTTCCCATCGTATAAACCAACTCAAACTTGACGCTGAAGTTCTCGTCGCTTTCATCGACGATGTCGCGCGAGTATTTGTCCAGAAAGTCCTTGGTCTTGAGCAGAGAACGGCTTACATCCATCTTGCCGGCAATGGCACATTCTATGGCCATCAGTCGTAAAGACAAAATGTGTGCTGGCTGGACCAGCAGAACGCCCCCTGATTCCATGCATTCGCGGCAGATAGAATTGATGATCTCGGCCTCCTCGGGTCCAACTTTCACGGAGCGGGTGAAAGGCAGGTGAAAGACGCGGCGATTCAGAAGTCCGCCAAACTTTGAGACCAGCATCTGCAGCATTTGCTTTGATTGGGGCTTAGCAACGATGCCTCGGACGATCCTAGTCCCGTCTGCGAGGTATGAAGCAGTCATTGGCACGATGACGGAAGACTTCCCTTCTCCCATATTTAGCTGCATGACGGCATTTCTACCCATTGGAGGATCTCTCATCCGGGATGCGATCTCTTCCTGAACCTCTCTGACCATGATGCCACTTTCGATCTCCAAAAGCAGAGTATCGGGATAGTCCAGAGGGTCCCAGTTTGTATGGCCTGGATTTTGGAGCTCATTAAATAAGGCGGCAGTGTCGTCCCAGCACGCCAACATTCGCTGCGCTCGTTGAAGCTGCGTCATAGACACACCGTACGCAGTAATACACTTGGTCCATTCAGTATGAGTGCTCCTGCGGTTGTCCTTCCCCAGCCTTGTGAGAAATGAAGCTGTAGAAATACGGGGTCGTTGATAGTAGTTGAACAACCGAGAAGGCAAGTCGTTTTCTTCTGCCACGAGACCCAAGATGGCATGTCTCATGGTTTCATGGCGGAGCTTCACCTCCTTGCGAAGTTGCTGGTAATTTTTCACGAGTCTTTCTCTCGTGATGACTGTGGTATTCCGCCCATGGCCAATCGAGTCTCCGCTGTGCATTGCGTGTAGACTTGCACGCAGATCATCCACGTAGCGTTGCTCGTACACCCCTTGCGCCGCATCTTGCAGCCGCTGCAGCAATGCTGGAAGACGGCAATCCTGCTGATTTGACCGGGGAATATTTCCTAAGCATAGCGCGGGGCTGCCCATTATCGGGACAGACGGTGGAGGTTGTGAGAAGATATCATCCTCGTTTATGAAGGTGGCCTTCCTGCAATACACCCACGGGTTTGTGCTTAACTTCAGTGTGGGCATGTCCAGCGTAGTAGTGAAAGATGGAAGTCCTTGAGAAATCTCCTCCAGATAGCTTTTGAATTGCAAATTGTCGTACCATCCCAGGAAATGGTCACTGATTGCCGGACCAATGTTTTCCAATTTGAGATATGTGTTCCACTGCGAGCTGCTTCTGTGATCAGATGGTATATCCGGGACCATGCAAGGCCATTGGGAAATCAGGCAAGCTGCAAGACTACGAACAGCCTCATCCGCTTTTGAATGATGTAAGGACAATGTTCGGTCTTCAAATGCGAAAGCTGACTCGTACGGTTCTTGGCTTATAGACGCCTCGGGGCAGAGATAGAAAGGCTTGAGATGACAACGGAGACTGCGGCTCAGAACATCTCGGTCCACACAGGCGCCGAGGGCCAGGTCGAAATGACCCTGTCCAGTCTGGCAAACGGGAGGTAATATTTCGTCCAACGGCGTAGCCGTCCGGAACGATGCCAATGTCTGAATGATGTCCATGTCGGCCTCATCCACGAAAGCAAGCGTAGCCAGCCAAATCATCAACTTAAATTTGTTGACTGCGGGGATGATATCTTTGTGTAGTGTGATCCATTGCTCCGTAATGAAATCAGATGATGCCAATAGAAAGTCGGCATCATAATGGATCTCATTTTCTACCGCTGGCTTGTGGCAGTCCTGACAGCGAACACTGGAGGTTTTCTTGTTGGAAGACTTATCCCGGGGAATCTTGTCCGCTAGAAAGCTCCAGAGATGCTCTGACAGGCTAGAGACCTGAGGTTCGGAAAGATTTTGCCGACCACTGAGCACAAAATGCGCCATCGAAAAGGATCTACAGCTTTTGTGGTTTTGATCTCGATCTCTAGACGTATAATCCTTATCGCCGAGTACCGTGTGGGCCTCGGCACCGAAGCCAGAGACACGAAATGTGGATGCGCGGTTGTGATCCCTTTCGTACAGATCGTTTCCAACATGATCCAGCTTTGGGGGCTCGATGTATAACTGCGGGTGGAAGAATCGTGTTGTTCGTGCAACATCCAAGATCGAGCGTACCCGATCGTAGAAAAGACCGTGTTGGGAGAGAAAGCTGAGATGCGGCAACCAGTCTACAGTTTGCATCACGCGCTCGTGTTCAGGGTAGTAACTTCGTCCGGGTGTCAGACTTGCGATGGTGCAGAGCATGTCGACGCTGTTTTGCGGTAAAGTTTCGAACGACTTCATGGCAGCAGAGTCAAGAATTCCCAATGCCTCTTCTGAACCAGTTCTCCCAGTCAATGGATCCGGTATGCAGAACGATGTCAGAGCATGGAGATAGCAGAGGAAGAGCTTGCTCTGATAAGACCCGTTGCTGGCTATTTTTCCAAGGCCGTCGTCAACGTCATACGCATGAACCTTCTGACCAAAGTCCTTTTTGATGGTCACTTCGATATGGTCTGAAGTACCAATGTACTTTACGTCCCCTTCTAGGACCAAGACCTTCCGATCTGCAGAAAGCGCCGGGTCTGGAAGGCTGTCGACTTTCAAAACCAACTTGTCCTTCAGGCCAATCAAAGTTCCAATGGCCTGGCTTGTGTCAACTGACATGCCACGATATTCTCTTGAGGAGATGAGCGAGTCTCCTGGCGTCAAGCTAAACTGCAGGCCCGGCCGATGAAGATCGATTAGGATTGATGGTCTCGAGTTTCGGTAAGTGGCATGGATCCAGAACCGATTCTCGAGAGGAGCCAGAATGCTTCCAATGAGTTTCGCAGATTTGCTGTTGACATTAAGAAGCGACGAATCGTTTCTTGAAAGAACCCAGAAGCCTGGTCTTTGTTCTCTGTGTCTCCTTAACTTCCAGTTCGATTCTCCTCGTGACCAAGGAGCAAGGCCATCACAGAATTCGATTGTGTCGTCATCGTGGTTGTACCAGTGAATGTAGTTCTCGACGAAAGCCGTAGGTAATTTACCCGCCAGATAATGAGACGGTATTAAATCGAATGCTCGCTGGTCTTGCGTTGCATGCACAAGAAGATCGGTATGACTGGCCGCGTCGGGGATGCTGAGTAGCAAGTGGACATCGTGTCCGGCATACGCCGACTTAGAGGAAAATTTCATGCCGGGGACTGAGGTTGGCATGATTTCCAATGACAATCGTCCGAAGAGCCTTCGATAATCCAGATGGCTCAAATATTCCCCAGGCAAATGGTCCAAAGGCACACCATCCACAAGGAGCTCGCCAGTCAGCAAGCCGTAATGGATATGTTGCTCTGATTCCGTAAGACTGCACAGCCAATGGTCGTGTTCGTTGGAGTAAACTGTCCATTGACCGGTTGGCGCGTAGGCTGCCCACGAGGCCTGGATTGCGCGATCCAGAGCGTTGCTCCCGTGCATCACAGTTCTATCTGCTAAGTATCCGTAGCATGATAGCGCCACCCGTTTCCATCGACTGTAGAGGTTTTGGACGGGCTTTTCAAGTGAAGCTGAGAGAGATTGACTATGCTCCTGAATGGCGATAGAACACTGAAAAAAGATCGTTGCGTTATCGTCGTCAGCGAAAATGGACTGCTGGAAGGCTTGATCGGTGTTGAAAGTATCCGAACAAACCAAGAACACCTCCATCGCCCTTCGTTGCAACTTCGTCTTTTCGTCATCGTCATCAAAGGTTTCCCGAGCCTTTTCCCGCAACTGATTCGCCCAGCCAAATGTGACTGCTCTGGCCCTGCACAGGTAGGCAAGAAGCTGCTTGCTGATTTGGGGTACTTTGTTGAGCGTGAGGAGACGACAGACCACAGAGATAAACGTTGCTAATGCGGTAGAAGACTGCCAGTTCTCTTCAAAATGACCGGTACACTCTTCGATTCCAGCTAGCATCTTTGGGGCGAAGTTGGCGTCCTCCGCGACTGCATGGGCGCTCCTCAGCACGGTTCCATTGTCTGGGCCGGCCTGGTAGATACATTGTAGAACGAAAAGTCCTACTTCTCCCTTTTTAAAATCAATGGTCGGGGAGAAGAGCTGCAGCAGGATATTCTGCCACTGAATCCTGTGCCCGAGCGGAATTGATGCAAGAGCCTTGTACTCATCCACAGACATCCCATCTGGGCAATCGCATTGAGTGGCAATGACTGTATTCGGCGAGGGGCCATTGGGTTGCCAGTAAGGTCTAAAAAAAAACATTTGGAGCGCAGACGAAGCTCGAGGAAGCTCGTAAGTACATGCCTTTGGCACTGTTTCCTGCAGTTCAAAAGAGTCCACAAAACAGGACCTGTCGCAGTCGAAGTATGCGTAGCGCAGCCCATTGTTCAAGCATACCATCGATTGAGTCGCTGTGCTGATGGGAATCGATTTGCGGTGCGTCACCTTGTTTGGCTTCGTCTCGGAAACAAGGCCGATCCGCGTTTGATCTACTCGTGTGTCAAAGAATCGCCGCAGGTCTTGGTTCGTTGCCAAGGAGTACTGCGATTGAGGTCGTCGCGGAGAGGCGTGCTCCATTCCAAGGACGTCGAGAAGGAAAAAGGCACTAGCTGCTCTCCAATGACCAAAGGCCTCCGGGAGAGCGAGTTCGAAGACTACTGACTTCTTTTCAAGCTTCTTTTGTGGCAGAGGCCACTCAAATATCGAGATATCCATCTGGCGAGCCTTGTTTTGTGTGATGCACCTTTTGCACTTGTTCGCGTGACCCGAGTAATGACGTTGCCGTTGCGGATCATACCGCCGCTCATAGGTACACTCCATGTTCTCGTACTTTTGCTTGAGTTGATTGTACTGCATTTTCTTGGAATCGAGTTCCTGAATCTTCAAGTCGTGGGCTTCTTGTGCTTCGATCTCAATCTTTCTTAACAGTTGTTGATGTGCCGCCGATAGGTCGAAGCTTCGCACAGAAAAGCAGTTCGTGGTTCCGTAAGCGCTGTAAATGTTGGTGGTGGGAGTGTCTGGCCCACAGGCTTTAGATCGGTCAGTCAAATACAACTCTGCGCAAAAGAGTCGTTCCATGGCTCTTCTGGGAGGCAGTAGCAAACTCTGGAATAGCCTCAGAGGAACTCCAGGATCGTATTCTTCAAGCAATGGATGCAGCTTCAGAGCGATCTTGTCGCAAGCAATCCAAAGCTCAAGGATGGTAAGCAACATGACCGAAGTCAATTCTGGGTCTCCATCGTAAAGGCTTCTAGCAGCTCCATGGTAGGCCTTGATAAGCCCTCGTAATTGGCCGCAAGCAGCCGAGCAGTTGTTCTCAAGTTGCAGCTGAACCCATTTCGAGAGATGGTCCGCGACCCAACCTTCGAAGGACAGAAGGTTGAGGAAGAGATGCTCATTATCAGCAGCCGAAAATCCGGGCAAGTCGTCGGATTGGTACTTTTGCAAGACCCACGACGGGCAGAACTGGCCCACGCTTGACAATTTGACACGATTGGCGAGGGAGGCAATGAAAGAATCGAGTTCCGGGAGCTGCGTCATCGTGTCTCCTGTGAAGTCCAAAGTCTTCAGACGGAAAAGCTCTTCGCTGAGATCAGGCGAGTCCTTTTGTTGTATGTCGATCCATCTTCTTCGTAAGGTTTCGTTGGCGCAACACATACGCTGGCGAACATCGTCAAGGGCAGGATCAGTTATCTCTGAGCCCAGTTTGACCATGCGTCTGGATAGTTTGGCGGTCATTGTGAAAAAAATGTCAGATCGAAGACCGACATCGATTGCGTGTTGAAGAATGTTTCCCATGAGAAACGCCATGAACCTCTTGTAGATGTCACGATGGGCGATGGAGTGTTGCGAAGATCGAAAGAAAACCAGATGGAGAACGACGCGTATGAGAATCCAGAGAGGCGATCGGCGCCACGGTAGGTAGCAATTCTTCCAGAGCACTTCGTCCCGGGTATTCTTCCAGATTCTTGTGCCCTCAAGCGGCTGTCCAATAGCCAGTAAGAATGCGGTCAGAAGCTCAGTGACCATCTTTGGATGAGTGGTATCTCGATTCTCGTCTTGTAAATTTCCGGCCTTCTTGACGCGAGGTCGAGTTTCGGGAGCTGGCTGGGTACTCATCTTGGCGATTGTTGCTGCTAGAGTGTCAAAAAAGCCCGGCTCACGAGCTTTGTCAAGACTAAGAGTAACCGCGGTTCCCGGAAAGCTCCTGCGCAGTCGCCCGATCGTGGTGGTGACAGCTTCATTGGTGGGCGATAGCTCGAAGCTTTCAATATGAAGTGCAAAGTCAGTCTTGGTGATGAGAACTCCAGCGTTCTGCTCTTTCACATAGGCTGCGATTGAGCCTGTAGTATGTTAGTGCATGGGAACGGACTTTTGTGATCGGTGAAGATGCTCACCAGATTCTGGTAGCCCCCGCAGAGCGCGAACCAGCTCGCCCTCATCGACAACCACGCCCATTTTTGATGTCTTATGAATCTTTAACATGGCATCGATGACACCAGTCGCCTTTTGGACGGGGAAAGACAGCTCGGTTCCAACATGTTCGTTGAATTTGACAAGACATTGGAACGCGAATTGCATCAGCAACGCCTCGTTGTCAGGGCCACCATCTTCACTCTGGGGAAGTTTAGATGGAAGAAAAATATGATGAAAGAGATAGAGAACGGCCTCCTCAGAGAGCTGATTTTCAGAAGACGTCATGGTCAAAATACTTGATTGAATACGAAAGTGATAAATACTCTTGCTTGGTGTGTGTATTTTAGAAAAGAATACTCGGTAGGTCAGATTTGGAGCCTGAGAAACGGCAAACCCACCCCTTCATGTGTTCTTCCTTTTTCCTTCTGGCAGAGGTGGGTGTTCAAAAATAACGTAGGTTTTAATTTTGGGGCGAGAATCAAATCTAAACCTTGAAAGTCTCGATGACCTTGTGAGCCAAGACCTAATGCACCCTTCTTGCTGCGGGAGGCCCTCGTCCGTATTGAGGTAATACCTTGGGCGGCAGTCTCTCATATCTACTGTCAAACGATAATTGGCTAGCTGAGCTGGTACTGACTTCAAAATTTCTCGATAGCAGTATTTTATGTGAGTGTCCGAGGATGACTGTCGCGATCACATGCAGAATTATACACACTTTTTGATGTTGATAGGTGTTTTACGTCTCTCGGAATGCCATCAGTCTTTCCGAGTCCGCCATATCTGCTCTGCCATTGAGCTCGAAAGGCTGATACAACAGGCAACCAAATTACAGGTCCGAGAGTTTTTCAAGCCTATCGGTGTCAGTTATTCTTAAATTTGGCACATGCGGACCTTGCTGCCAACGTAAGAAACTGTCGAAATACCCCCCCCCCCCCCCCCAACATGTCAAAAAAGATGGGAATTATAAGGTATCTCTTCAAAATGAGGAATAAGAATTTAAAATGTAGTTCGAATGCATTGATTAGATGGCCAAACTCCGAAGGAACAGAAAATATGTGTCCGTGTATTTTTAGTCAAACATGATGGACATAAATGAGCATTGTCAATCACATTCGTGATTTATACTTGACTTGTAGTCACATGAAGAGTCTGGTTTCTTGTTCGCACCAATCCCAAAACCTCGTTGATAGGGGTTTGCGGCTGCTTGGAACTGCCTTGAATCCTTCTGCGATGTCTTCTGGGATGCATCCAAATCTGCCCCAAGGAATGATGTATGATCCATTTCTTGCTGTGGTGACATCGGGAGAACAACTGGCGAACAGCTCACTGTAAGCACCATATTTTGGGCCTTTGAAGACCAGGCCCTGTCAAGGTTGTCAATGAATGTGACCTTGAGATCCCGATGTAAGATCAGACGTACCATTACCGCACTCATCGCTGCTGGGGCATGTCTCTGCAGCTCTGTCTTGACCAGCCCAGGGTTGACACTCTGCGTATGTTTAGTGAATCATCCGTCTATTCTGATACAGGGGCATAAAAAACTTACAACGGAAATGACTTGACTATTGTCTGGTCTTTTGGAAAATTGCTCTGCCAAGAAGACGCAGCCAACTTTGCTTTGCATGTAATCGGCCATGGAATCACCCAGCTCTTTGGATGCTTCCCTCTCGTTGTCCCAGACAACGCCGCCCTTGGGAGCTCCTAGCGAGATCATACTTGCGACCCAAACCACTCTCACGCTGCCCTTCGGTACGCCTTCTAGACCAGCGGTCATACGGAGTCTCTCTTCCAGGCATCTCGTTAAGAGGAAAGGTCCTAGTGCGTTGGTGCCCATTTGCAGTTCATGCCCTTGGGCACTCCTGCGGTCTTGCGGGGGCATCATCACGCCGGCATTATGCACCAAGACGTCTAACCTCGGCTCCTTGGCAAGGAATACCTCTACCGCAGGCTTGATAGTTGTTAGATCGGACAGGTCGAGGACCAATGATTCGAGACGCCCTTTGCTGGACGGGTGTAAAGACTTGAGCTGCGCGATTGCGGCTATGATTTTCGAGGCCGATCGCGTGGCGATGTAGATGGTTGCATTTGCGCCGTACAGAATTTTGCAGAGCTCAAGTCCAATGCCAGAGACCCCACCTGTGACGAAGTAGACCTTGAAAAGTCAGCTTTTGAGAAGTAAGTTTGGGCTGGATGGAAACCAACTCTGCCTGTCTGGTCCGGTAACTCATGTTCAGTAAATGTAGGCTTGGGAGGGAAGAGTTGATTGAAGTTGCGGCCAGCCATAGCTTTTGGTGATGGACTGCAAATCGCGATGATCAGGTTTAGAAAAATGTCTCTTGCGTAAATGCGCTCAAAGTCAAGTGGTGAGCTCATGGAACTCAGGTGGCAGCTCACGGATACCGTATATAAATTTCCTATGATCTTGCTCCGACTACCCAAGGGATCGAACGTGGCCGCGCCTGCGAAATGGTTCTGACACAGTGCTTACAACTCCATGCTGCGCCCGTGTTGTCGAACTTCCGCGCGAGCAGACGATACCGCGTCGGTGGCCGGGCGGGACGGGCTCCACATTGACCGATCCTACCGGACCGGATTGTCAAAGTCTTGGCTTTCACCCGAAGGTTCGGACGGAAATATGCTGTTCGCCAAGTCGCCGCGGCGCAAAGCCGATTCAAATCGGGTTTACGTCCGATCGATGGCCCAGTAAACCCGAAGGTCGAATCCTTTGGCGCCAAAGCCTCAATTTCCGGTGGGCCGGAGAGTCAGTGGGCACCAGGAGTTGTGAGTCGTGAGAGTCTGCCTAGAGCGGAGCTTCTGCGAACTCGGCGGCGCGCAGGTCATCAGGTACATAACAATAGCAGAATATCATGATGGAATGAACAGACAAATTTGGCATATGGTTGTATGTACAGGGAATCATTTGTATGTCCAATCATTTTACTAAAATCCTCCATCACGACACCCCAGAAAGGATCAATTCCTTGACCTTCTATCGCTAGCATTTAGCAGGTCGACTGGCCATTGCCGGTAAAGCTGCCGGCCTGGTAAGCTCCGCTGCCGTCATCAAGACATTCAGCTGTGGTAGTTGTCAGTATATTTCAATGAGGAAGCGAAATGCGTATGACTTACCAACAGTCACGAGCTTGAGGTTGTTCTGCTTGGCCCAGTTGATCAACCACGGCGTCAGGGTCTGCACCGTGCTGGCGTAGGTCTCGTGCATGAGGGGAATGTGTCCGTTGCCGCCGGCTCCAGCCTGCGTGAACTTTTGCTCACTCTGCGCAGCAGTCTGGCCGTTCCAGTCACCGGAGTCGACGTCGTCGGTGATGACCTTGTATCCCAGGGTCTTCATCGTCGACAGGACGGAGCCGCCGGTAGCAAGGTACGGGGGCCGCATGTAAGCGGGCTTCTTGCCGATGATGTTGACCATCGCCTGTGTGTACGTAAGTTTTGGCACTTAAATGCATATTCATCAAAGTTGCTTACCTGCTCAAGCTTCTGCATCTGCGAAGTAAGGTCGGCCTGGCTGAGACTGCCGAAGTTGGAAGGGTGCGTCCAGGTGTGCGAAGCAATCTGGTGGCCGGAATCGAACGCCTTCTTGACGGCAGTCTTCTGGTTGTAAATGCAACCGTACAGCGTGCCCGTCATGAAGAAAGTAGCCTTGGCACCACCATTGTTGAGAATATCGACCAGCTGCGAGGTGTACTGGTAAGGACCATCATCGTAGGCCAGGGCGAGAACGCCGGGCTTGGAGCACTTCTGGATCACGACGCCTGGGCTGGGGGCGCGTTTCATCAATTCGATGGGCGACTCAATGGGGACTGCCACGGCACTGGCGGCCAGCAGCAGGGCGGCGACGACGGTGTCCACGAAGTGCATTTTGGGAAGATTCGAATGGCAGTGTTGAGAATGGGCTGAAGCGAAAGATCGAGACACCAGGCCTTGAGGAACAGGAGAGAGAGGCAGGAATGACCCGGCTTCGACGTTGTCTATATATGCTTGTTCGGATTGAATCTTTAACTGACGATTTTGTGTCCACTAGGACCACTTCAATCTCGTCGATCCGGACAACTAGAAAAGACGGGAGAAACTCCTTGGTGGGTGTTTGGCGACGACGAGCATGGGGAAATCGGCCGGCGGGATCCCATTCGGCATTTCGCCTCACGAACCTTGCTTCTTCCAGGGGCACAAGTGCGGCAGCAAGCCGGCAGTGGAAGGTCTGAAGGGATACGAGATGGTCGGTTGGACTCGCATCGGGTTAAGTGCCATCAAGTTGCAATCTAAGTGAGCCAGGAAAGGAGAGCCAGGACGGCATTGATTGAACAGACTCATTTAGGCTCTTTTCCAGGCCACCGGTGCTCAATCTGGAACGGAGGGATACGGTCAAAAGGAGATTTTGGCGGGGATTGAGCAGGTCATGAGCACGGGGATCGCTTGCGCCGACTGGGGTTCGTCAGGGGCTTAAGGGCGGCTGTTTGCTGCGACATGACGGCTCTGCCGATGGTCATTGAAAGACTGTTTTCTCCGCGCGAAAAACACTTTCGACTGCCCGATGATGAGGCTAGGTTGATGCCATCTGGGGCGGCTGAATCGGCAAGCCGGCATGGGCTGGGCCACGGAGATCATCCAGAACCTGGGGAAAGCCAAGTCCGGCCCAGGGAAGGCCGTCATCGTCGTACTGCGTCTTCTGGCTAAATACCAAGCTCCGAGTGACGTGACGTCCTGACGATGAACTGCGCGGATAGATGTTATTGAGCAACAACAGGCGACAAGACAATGCCGGCGTGGACATGTTCGCTGGAGGTAAGGAGCTTTTCAGCTTCCAGAGGGAAGAATTCAGCTGCGGTGGCTGACTCATCACACTCGCTGCCGCTTGTCATTCACTCGCTGCTCATCTCACTCGTTCTAGCTCACTTGCTTTCCATCTCACTCATTTGGTGTCTTCAACTTTAGTCCCATGCCCATAGAGACTTCATTGTGTGTGAGTTTCACTTGATACCGGAGGCGTTTGGCGTCTCGATCTCCGCTAGACTGAAATGTTGAGTTCAAATTTCTCCAACCGACTTGTCGCTCAGACGTCAGAGCTGAACCAACCCAGTAACCCAGTAGCAATCCCGATAGGCGCGCCCTTCAGGTGTCAAAGCTGAGCCAAAGGGCGAATCACTTCTGATCCACCGCATATTCTCATCAAAGTACTCTCGACTTCATCCAACTCGTATCCCATTTATCTTCATTTCCAAGTCTTCCTCATAATTTACATATGAACGTCCAGTCAACATGAATGTCGAGTGCCAGTGCTCAACTGTCAACTTCAAGACGCCGGCACCCGAGCCCATCGACATTTACTGCTGCCACTGCTCACAATGCCGCAGACAATCGGCCTCAGCATTCGGCACATCCGCCATCTTCCCAGCCGATGGTCTCTTCCCCCTATCAGAAGACCTCAAAGCCAAGCTGCAAGTTTGGACGCGACCGACCAAAGGCGGCGGGCAGATGGACTGCTACTTCTGCCGAACGTGCGGAACCCGTGTCTTTCATCGCGTTCGTGGTCATGACGGGACTTGGAAATCGACCGTCAGTATCAAAGGAGGAACAATCGTTGGGCTGAAGCTCAACAAAGGGAAACATATTTGGACGAATAGCGCAGTGGTTCTGATACCCGAGGATGCTGAGAAATGGCCCGGGTCACCGCCCGTTACACCGACTGAGCATGAGATTATCGAGGGATGACAGTCCGGCTTTTGTGGTGTTGCACAAGCGGTCCTCGAAAGCAGGAGGCAGATTGGATAAAGTACCAAAACCAGTACGCTTTTCAGCACACTTTCTTGTGTGCACCAAAAAGGCCGAATGGGTGTTTCTGACAGGACCTCTGGTCGTCATTCGTTTAGTTAAAAAGTCTATGTACACGGTGTTCAACATGGCACAAGAGAAGTAGAAAGAAGTTGTACATCGCATCGTTCCACGTATTGCGAATCGCAATACAACTGATATGATGATTTGCGTATCGGCACTTGCAGTTACCCCTATCCGCCTTAGACAGAAGACCTGCTGCGAGACTGGGAACGCTGTCCGATGCTGCGCTTAGCGTTCATCATCTTGACGCTCTCATCGTAGTCGCTCGTTCCGTTGTTAGGGTCGGCGTCCTTCGCGTTGCTCGCGCCGCACTTGGATCCAGCGTTGTACTTTCCATCAGGTCCGTCAACACCGGCGAAGTCGCGCTTGCTGTTGGCCTTGAGCATGTTGGTCGCGGCCTCGGGAAGCCATCCGTTGATGAAGTCGCCGTGGGAGCAGAAGGAGTTGCCGCACGCGAGCTCGAAGGGCGGGGCTCCATTCCAGCCGTCGGGGAGGACCTTGCGGAGGTCGTAGCGGATGGAAAAACGCAGCTGGGGCATGCGCTTCATGCCGGAGGGGCATCTGTTGGCGGGCTTGAAACCATCCTTCCAGTTCTGGGTGCCAGAGTAGGCCGACTCCAGTGTGTCCTCGTTGACGCAGTCGTGGAAGAGCAGCAGGGTCTGGAGGTGCGTAGAGCAGGTCTTGGTTGGCCAGGCGGCGGCATCCTTGCTCTCGCCCTCGTCGCCCTCGCAAAACCACTGGATACCAGCAAGCTCCTCGACATCAGCCTGCGACTTGCCGGCGGCGTTTCCAGCGACAGTCTTGTAGTTCTGGGGAATAGCGACCTCGGCGTTTTCGATGGAAACGTAGTAAGCGGAGAATCGGGAGAAAGGAACCGGAGTCATGCCCGCGTCATCCTTAACATAGAGAGTTGGGACCCCTGAGTTGTTATTAGTACCGATGCTGAAGGACGGAGAATTTCGGGATGTTTTATCTCATATTATCAACTCACAGTAAGATGAATAGTCGTTGGGGTTCTCGGCAGTGGAGCAACCGGCCTGAAGCTCCTTGGAAGAGTTCGTGTTGAGAGTGACGGCATCAGAACCGAAGAAAGTGTGCATGTGGCTCTTGTACTGGCCGGGAATGACGACAGGATCGATGTTCTTGCGCATGAAAGGCTCTGCCACGGCAATGGTGTACGCGTTGGCGATGCCAGCACCGGCAAGCAGAAGAGAGGCAGCGGAAAGCATGATGAAGCGTTGTTTGGAAGGGGAATGAACGAATGGACAACTCAAAGAGCCACAGCGAAAGAAGAAGAGAAAGACTGAGAACGATGGACTGGCTCCAAAACGGCAACTAGAAGGCGACCAAGATCAAATCGAAGGTCATGAGCCTTCTTTAATATGTTAAGTCGTTCACCACTCAACCTCTGTTCGTCCCATAATCGACTACATCTCAAAGACCCGCCTGTATCTCATCGATCCCGGTAGGATACGCAAGGATTAGGGCGCCATGGTGTGGACTCGGGCAGCTGAAACGCCATGTCAACTTGGCGGGTTGCCATTTGAGCGAATGGATGGCAGTTCTTGTGCGGCTTCGTCCCCAGGACTGGATTGGCGTAGGCGCCGCAAGGTACGGACTTTAATTTCAATTGAAACGTCTTCGACAGGGAGGTCGATTTACTACGTGAGGTTATGGGCTCCTACAGCCAACACTAGCGGACTCATCCGTCTTCGCTACTATGTGGTTTGCATCAACGGCCAAAGTAGCCCGGGCTGTCGGATATTTGCACCGCATGGGACAATGGCTAGAGCATAGGGCCCAAGGCCTACTCTGTACCTCTCCTCCGTGAAAATCTCGTCCTTGTGGAAGTCTCCGTCTCCAATCGGGCAATTTATTGCTGACGACGACAGCTGTTAGTTTTCTGGGTCTACCCCACGATTCAGAATTTGCGATGATGAGCGTCTTTGATCACTCGCCAGTATGCGCGAGGAGCAGCTTCAATTCCAACGAGCCAGTGCTCCCTGCTGTTATCAGATACATCTTGGTCTAATGAGTGAGATATTCAAGTCATATTTGTACGGGTATTGTAGCTATTGGGACGACAGATCGGTTTAATCCTCGATCGCAGGCGATCGCAGATCTATCCGTAGTGTATGTCTCCAGAAGTGTAGTGAACGGTCAGTGCAGCACCCCTTTTACGAGACCCAGGGTTCGACCCCTGGAACGCGAAAGCGAACTGCTGTTGGGGCTTGCCCACACCAACAGAAGTTTGCAGGTTGTCTTGCCCACAACCTCAGCAATATTCTTCTATTGCTATGATCTAAGCCAACTCGGTATGGCAAGGGGTAAGCCATCGGTCACAGGTTGATAGATTGCCGGTCCAGGCTTCATCATGGCCTGGCTAAAATCTTGGGTCCGGTGGAAAACCGGCACATCTGCCGTGATTTTGCTGCGTTCTCCGTGCGTTCCGCGGGTCCTGCCCCGGTGCCAGGCCGTGTGTGCCGGCCAGATATTTGATGACCGTCGCACAGATTTTTTCAAACGAGCCACTGAACTGAAAGAAGAAATGTTTGCCGTTCTTGGCCAGACGGCACCGCAGTCAGGAACCTCTTACTGACGACTTCCCGGAAGGTCATTCTCTTTGAGACTTGACAGCTCTGTTATTCCTTAACTATCGCTGGGTTTGCCTTGTCGGTACCCGGCATAAACTGCACTCCACGTCAATGACCGAATCTTCAATAATCTTCACAGGGCTATATGCTCCTACGTTATCCTGATCGATAACTCACTCCTCTGTTGTGTTGGTCTTTCCAGTAAGAAAGTTCGCTCAGGATATGAGTTGATGCCTTTCGCTATTCAAGCCCATGCACCACCTCAGGCCCCTAGCAGCAGGCCTTCAACGTTGGCAGCGACGACACCGCGAATGCAATCAAATTCAGACCATCGAACAAAACCATCATCTTAGAAACAATGAGATGCTTCAGTATTGCTTCTCGATGTTGTGCTTTCTATTCTTATCCATGACGTCAAAAAGTGTTTCGCGCCTCAATCAATCTGAAGAAGCGCAGCACCGAAGTGGATCCCTCAACCTGATGACCAAGTTACTCATGGGTTGTGAACTGTTCTGTTCATGATCGGTCTGGACCATACATAGAAGTTGACCTCATAGCCAAGGCCCCTTAAGGTGCTGGTGGCTTTCGTTCGATTGCCCTTCGGACCCCGCCATGTGCTGTGACGTCCTATTCCGCCACAATCCTGGGCTACTTGGTTTTCGTGTATGGTGTTCCGCGCGAGATAAACTATGTGGACGGTAAGCGGCACCCCTCAGTTGTGCGTGCTGTATTTTCAAATTGTAGCCACCAATTGCAGCTTCATGTTGTCATGAATCACACGAGACGAGTTCGAGCGTCCTTGCCCCGTCAAAATTCTCAGAGGTAGATGTTAATTATATTATAAGGAGAGTAGTTATTCAAGTGAGGGACAACTTCGTAACACGCATGCGCCAAGTCTTCCCGGCAAGGCTTCCAACACTCAATAGTGTCACATGTCCCTTTCGTAATGAGAGTCTGCCTCTGTGCAACTACGGCGACATCGAAACCCTTGATTGTCAGCAGACTTCGCCTTCATTTTCAAATTACTTATCCAATACTTACTCGTGAAGCCTTGCTCGAGTAATGAGAGACGAAAGATAAGAGACTTGAGTCGAATAATCAAGTACCCCGAGAGGCTTTGGCAGGAGCGATTGATGGTAGACTAAATAAGTTGAATGAAGTAGGGAAGGAAAGTAAGTTGTGTGCGAAATGAGGAGGTCGTCACTTCTTGCCTGAAAGAGAGGAAGTTTAAACAGCTGTGCTGTTTGAGTTGTGCTGAGCTGTGCTTGGATTGAAAGAAGGAAAAGCTGGTGGCTGAGATGATGAAATGCCGGAATGGTGGGCACATCGCCAGCTTTTTATAATGATCACTCTTGCAGGCTGATTTAACCTTACATCGTGGCCCCCTCCGTCTATCGGGATGATATTTTGGTAACATTCCAAATGCCTCTTGCCCATTTAAAGTATGTAACCATGGAAGTTTGGATGGCATTGCCGGTGACACATTGTAGATCGGCTGAAACTTTGCTGACTTTCACACCCCGCATCCCGCAGCCTTATATTCAAAAGATGGAATGATCCTCAGTATGATCAACGCACAGGAAACGAAACGAAGCGGCAGTAACCATGCATCATTGAGACCATATCGACGATAGTACTGGTGCCGGCTAATGCAGTGACGAGTATGCGTTGTTATAATGTTCCGGTTTCGCTATATCGCAGCTTGGATTTGACTTTACTATTGTTTTAGCACGTCGATCAAGTTGGCTGATGTGGTTTGAAACGAGGAAGAGGTATGGATATGCCTCTCGGATCTCAAGGATGCGATGAGGGAAACATGCCGTGTCCTCCGTTTGAAGCGTCACAACATTGAGATTCCTATCTATCGTCTCGAATATGAGCAAATGTAAGCAAAAAATATCAGACCAAAATGGACGGCCACTAATAATGAAAGTGTCTTAGAAGAGAATGCATGTTAGCCTGGCTCAATATTCAATGCGAATTATCCATAATATGGGGACTTCAATTACTGAGATAGATACGCATGATTGCTATCAAGAGTGATTCAATAGTCTTTCAGTATCATATGTTAGAGGTTACTCAAGTTTCAGAGTATTCGCCGTGATATTCATTTGTGTAGGCTGCAAGTTCATTCTCTCGGCACATTCATCATCTCCGCCGTGTCAATCCGAGTAGCTTCGGACAACTTCCCGGAAAGTATCCGGCGCCGAGCGCGTTAACTCGGCGGGGTCAGGCGGGGGAGCTCCCACATGGCGCCCCTGGCCGGACTCTTCGAGCCCAGCCTTGAGCCAGTAAAGTCGCTGAAAATTACACTTCTTCCCTCCTTTACTCCGCGTCAACCCAATAGCTTCAGATCAAGTTCCGGACTCCGAGAATGGAAACCTCTTCCGGCTTTTCGGCGGCGCATTATTTTCCAGCACGGCGACGAGTATGGCAGGCATGTACCAATTGCCGGGCACGTAAGACTCGATGCGACGCGGCCAAGCCCAAGTGCAGCTTGTGCATGGCCCAGAACGTGGAATGCATCTACCGAGACTCGAACCAGCCACGTATCGAGCAGAACACGAGGATCTTGCTGGAGCGCATCCAGATGCTCGAAGATAGACTGTTTTCTTCACCGGTCTTTTCAGTCCAGTCAACATCAACTCGGCAACAAACAATAGACACCGCGTCGCCTCGAGCAACCCGTCTACCAACAACGCCAGCATCAGGTCCGCGCTCGCAGCCAGATTTAACCCAGGATGCAGGGGTGGCGAATGAGCATGTGCAACCAGGTAATTCGGCAGTGCCTGAGACCGATGCTCAGATTCCCATCCCGTTATCGCATACGGCAAACGCAAATCATGTTTTCGAGTGGCCGATCGTTCAACAGCTGCTTTCCATGGAGCCTGTGCCGCCACGGCTCGCGATGCCAGGAGGAGTTCGGTCGACTGAAGCCACGGACATCTTTTTCCAAGAAACTCCAGATTCTCAAACCAAAGTACCTCCAGAATCCTGGAGGCTTTTCCAGGATCGGAGTCTGCCAGTGTCTATCGACGCCTCAGAAAGATACGTTGAGGTGATCCACGAGTACTTCGCCGAAGTAAACATCTTCTTCCCATTACTGTCGTTGGATGATATACTCGCGATTCTCAACGAGGTTGTGGCTTGTGAGAGATCGGTCGGACTGAGTTCTGGCTCTATATCTACTTCAAGATACTGCCTCCTCTTACTGGTTCTCTGTTTGGGATCGTTCGTGTGTACAGGGGATTATCGAGTCTCACTCAACGAAGTCGCCGGTCGAAATGACGACCAAGAACACCAGTCTTTGGGTTCAGGGTTCTTCAAAGAGGCTTCAGGGCTAGACAAGAAATTGTGGCACAAGGCGTGCTTACTGCTCGGGTTCGTCTCGTCAGACTCCAATATCGAAGCTGCTCAATGCACAATGCTGGCAAGTCTGTACATGGGTGCCAATGGTCAAGTGGCAGACTCTTTTCATTGGGCTCATGCAACCGCTGTAAAATGCGAGACACTTGCAAGACGGTGAGTTACATGACTCTTCTTCTTCATGTCCAACAGCATTACTGATAGTGTCAACCCAGGGCAGTGACAAGCACGAGTGAGACGGATCGTTTCTCAGATGCCTTTCGCAGGCTATACTGGGTCTCGCTCATCTACGAGGGAGACTTCATTTCTGAGATATCGATTACCCTCCCATCAGGCATTGCCCGATATGAAGATATTGTCCCATATCCGGCCCCTGAAACACCGATACATCCGCATGAACACGCCGCCACATTTTCCTCCCAGGAAGCCAACCCGACGAGCCCGGCGAGCTCGACGGTTTATCGGACCGAGGAGCTGGTTGCGTTCCAGATCAGCACCAATGCCGCCATCAGACGATTCCTGAACCGAGTCAATAGCGTTGTTTACGACAGTAAGGACCAATGCCGGATGACAAGAGCCAACTACGCAAACTGGCTGCTTCGTATAACGGAAGACCTATGGTCATATCATGGAGCTCTTTATCGGAACTTGCCCGACTTTCTTCTTACCAGCCAGCCGAGGAAAAGGCCCGACCAAGACACGGCGAGTTCTCCCGTGACTCCGGGCATTATCAGGCTTGAAGAGCTCGGAAACAATCCTTGGAACGTCCTTCGACTCAAAGGCCGTTACTACGCTGGGCAATACATCATCCATCGGCCGTTCATTGAATACGTACTCCTCAACATGGCTCACTTCGAAACGCATCCTTGCAAGGAAGCAATACTCGAGCGGTGTCGATTATGCCTGGAAGGATGCCGGGGGTTCATCAACGTATTTGATATTGATCCGGCCAACAGCATCACATGTCTGTTTGCCAGCGGTATGGTGTAAGTTGTGACAGCCTCTCCGTGCTTTGACTGAGACTGACAACACCCAGAACCTTCACCATGGTCATCATTCTCCGGGTCGCATCCATGTGTCCTGTCTTCCGCGATGCCCTCCCCACAGACGTCGAGCACGCCATATTTGTTGGAACGCGCAATCTGCGAAGGTTTAACATCAGTATCAAGGAATTCGAGTGGCACCTCGGCATGTTGGAACGAATGGAAGCATCGTGCAAAGATAGAATGGCCATGTGATGAAAGGACTTGATATTGAGTATAACGAATAGGCATATTATATTTGGAAACGCTGTGCAAGGTTGTGTATGGCAAACTAGTTTCAAGAGATGGACACTTCCTCGAGAGGAAGTCCACATGTATGGAAGAGATACCCCAATGGAATGATGTCGGAACGGACACAACGATGCTATTTCTGTTACGAACCATTGATCAATGCCAGAGAACAGTGAAATCGACTTGACTTTAATTTCGTCTATTGAAGAACACATGAAAAACGCCGACATATGCATTTCGTACCTAATGTCTCAAGATCGTAGACCAATCATGAAGCAACGGCAACGGGTGTCCCGTTGGTCTGCGCAAGCATCTTCGCCTTCTCTTCAGGCGACAACTCGAACACCCCGACACCAGATACTGTCTGCTTGGGCTTCTCTCCGTCTTTCTCAGCCTCAGGTCGGATGACCTTACCCTTTAGCCTGTCGTCCTCGGGAGCCATTGGCGCGTAAAACTTCAGTAGCTCGTTCAACCTCTCGCGCTGGCAGCAATTCTCACACTTCCAACTCGCGGCCAACTCGTCCAGCTCTTCGAATGTCTTGTCCTTGAAGTAGTCGGCCCACTCGGGGATCATGTACTCAGCCATGGTGATTCCGCGAATGCCACGGAAGACGTGCATGTGCATGCGCCACTGCCACGGGTACTTCTTGTTGTATTGCGCCGGGACATTGTCCTCGAACCACTTGTGCAACGGACCGAAAAGACCGGGCTGCAAGTGAGCATCGTCGTAGGCCCAGCTGTCGACAGCAAGGTCGCGCTTCTTTCGAATGATGGGCCCCAGAAGCTTGAGCCATGCAGAGTCTGGGGAAAGATATGTCATGCCCATTACGTTGACGTCCTTGTAAGCCCAGATACTCCAAGCTGCAACCTCATGTTAGCTTGATCGAATTGATGCATGAATACTAATGAGTCGGGACTTACCAATACCCTCATCGGTATAGATGGCCATTTGCTTATCCAGCATGTCGTATCTCTCATCGTTGTGGACCTTCCAGTCAGGGTTGTACTCTTCCCGCTCGTAGATCGGACCAAACTCGCCTATTTGAAAAAAGGTCAGCACGCTGAAAAGCTGTGATCACGGGACTGATATTTACCGTTCCAGATGGGCACGTTGTGCTCTTTCATGAAAGCGACCTTGCGGTCATACATCTGGCGGATGTATGCATCCTGCTCTTTCTGCCCCTGGTATCTACCGATACGGTTCGGGAACCCAAAGCCGCAGTAGTCGTGGACGGCGTACACGGAGTTGGGGAAAACTTTCGTGAAGCCAGAAAAGTCCATGCTGAAGGTGTTGCCCTCAAGGAAAAGGATGTGATCGGGATCGATGTTGCGAATGGCGGGCACGATCCTGTCGTAGAACGAGAGAAGGCGACTCCACTCGACGTCGGCAGGCTCATTGAGGGGGTTGTAACCAGCGACCCAAGGGTTTCCCTTATACCGCTTTGCAATCACCTCCCATAAGTTGATGACACGGTCTTGGAAGTGCTTGTGATCCCAAAAGGCGGCGTAGCCGGTCGGGTTGTCGGAATGCCAGTCTTGGTTCTGGCCGCCTGGTGCGGAGTGAAGATCGAGGATTGTGTAGATTCCGTACTTGGCGCACTATGGTGATGACTTCTTAGCTTCATTCTGTCGAACGGGAAATGGCATCGGAAGATAGCTGTACATACAATTTCAACCGCGCGGTCAAGGTGCTTGAAGCCCTCTTCCTTGATCACGAAGGGGTTCATGTCGTCCTCAAAGTGATGGTAGTTGAAAGAAAGGCGCACACAGTTGAAACCAACAGAGGCGAGGAACTCGGCGTCTTTCTCAGTGAAGAAGTATTCAAGGAATTTGTCGAAGAAGAAATCGCACTTTTCTTTGCCGAGGACCTTAAGCAGCGCGGCGCGGATCTGGTGCTCGCGACCGGGGAAGCCGTTCATGAAATTCTCCATGAGCATCCAGCCGCCGAGGGCAGTCTGATGGAGACTACGGTCAGAAACATCTTACTTGAGGAGCTTGGAAACGCAACTTACCCCGCGGAGGCGGACGGCCTTGCCATCAGCATCGACAACGTCGGGGCCAGACGTTCTGAGAATCCCGTTGGACATGGTGTCGTGTGTTTTAGTCCAAGTTAACTATGATAAGAGACAGGAAGTTGCAGAATACAGTGATGCGATCGAGGTCAGAGCAGCTCGAGCTCCTAAATAAGAGCGCCTCACATGCGACATGCGCGTTGAGCAACGAGCCATGCTGGGCTGTCACATGGATTGCGGAGTTGTTGCATCTATCCCACATCCCCCATGACGTGTGGTGCCACTCGAGGTGTCTCCTCGTTAGCTGATTCGAAGTGAAAACTTACACCAACGCGTCTTCTTCCGCGGTTGAGTTGAAAGATTATGACCCGCGTCGACAATCGGGGCAAGGCCAGACGCTCCCCCGACCCCACGTTCCAACCGTCCTGGATGACCCGCATAACCGCCGGCGACATTAACCGAGAGAAAAGGACGCTAGGGGGAAGATTTTGGCTGCCCCGAACTGATCCATGTTTGTTCGGGGGAAGCATTTAGATGCCCCGACGAGTCATGATTGGACAGTCTTCAGTAAAAAAGGGGGTTCCAAAGTCGAAGAGGAATCTCAACTTCTCCACTTGGCGGACGCTACACAACTCGAGCGAGTCTCGGCACAACTTTGTGGTTATCAAGTGCAAGTCTACCGCGCTCCTGCGGAAACTGGCCGAGTCAGACGAGCATGACTGCAATATGTTGTTGATCATGTGTTTCCCCGTGGAGTCTGGCTTAGTCTGGTCAGTATTCTTCTCATGAATGTCTTCTGAGTGGAGATAGAACCGCACTTTACCCCAGCCCCCGGATTGCCCTTGCTTCTTCTCCGCATCTCATCATCCGACCTGATCCTTGCCTTGTTACTTCTCCTTGATAGGTTTTCAGAGTCCCGGGACTACGGTTCTGTCAGTCAGTCAGGCGAGCTTGTTCCCGCGCCAATGGCGATATCGCTCGATCGACCTCGTTTCGTCTAGCCCCGGATGCCGACTATTCGACTTCATTACCTGGCTTGTACTCCCACTTGACGAGTAAAACCCGGGAGCGGTGCATGCGGCCAGGACATCCTGATCGTTCCACTTCTGCACCTGAAAGGAATGCATGCATATAAGGACACCTGAAAACCCGACTTCATGGTTGAGGAGTTGGTTCAGACTAGTCCTCTCCATCTTACATCAACGTCCTCCGCCGCCGCCGATCAAGCTTCTGGTACACCAACTCTCCGAGTATTGGTATCAGTCACCATGGACTTCCTCCGTCAACGTCTTCCGGCTCCGAGGCAAGACCAGCAAGCTCGCCGGGCTCGCAAGCAAGGCGGTCCGGCCGTGGCGAACGAGACCTACCAGCCATCTCGCATTGCGCAGCTCGCGCAAGAGTCGCCGGCATGGTACCGATCTTCCGCTCGGAGGAAGCTTTACTTTCTCCTATTCCCGGCAGCTGTTGTCTCTTACGCAACCAGCGGCTACGATGGTTCCATGATGAACAGCTTGCGTAAGTCATGCTGCTGCTTTGAAGGTCCGAACATCCGCGGCTAATGTTGACGTTCTTCGTAGAAACGGTGTCCTATTTTGACGACTTCTTCGACAATCCTCGCGGTGCGGTTCTTGGCTTGATGAGCGCCATCATGTCTCTGGGAAGCATCTGCTCGACCCCTATAGCACCGTGGGTGGCAGATCGCTTTGGCCGACGATGGGGTATCACGGTGGGAAGTTTGATCATGATTGCCGGTGCTATCCTTCAATGCGAGAGTACAGAGTTCGCCATGTTCGTGGTCAGCAGATTTATTCTGGGCTTTGGTCTATCCTTTGCTACGACTTCCGCTCCTAGTTTGGTCAGCGAGCTGTCACATCCGAAGGATCGTGTGACGATTACTGCTATCTGCAACACCTGGTAAGCATCAACCCCTCTCGGCCTTCGAACGAAACGCAGACTAATGATTCATAAGTTGGTACGTAGGAAGTATCTGTGCCGCCTGGATTACCTTCGGCACCCGAACGATCCCAAGTACATGGTCCTGGCGAATTCCCTCCCTGCTTCAAATGGCACCTAGTGTTGTGCAGCTCGCTGCTGTCTGGTTTGTCCCCGAATCACCAAGATGGCTCATCTCTAAAGACCGCGATCACGATGCGCTCGAAGCTCTCAAGCGATACCACGGTGATGGCGAGGAGACGGAGTTGGTCAGGCTGGAGTATGAAGAGATAAGAACGGCGATCGATAACGAGAAGAGTAAGAGAAAGCTTGTCTTGGTAGTTGTCGGGAACAACGGCTAACCTTAGTCGTAGGACTTGGGTCTACTACTTGGAAGTCAATGGTCACGACAAAGGGCAACCGTTACCGCATGTTTCTTGTCATCTGTAAGACCCTCCTTCTCACAACTCATTGCTCCATCATCCACTAACTGCCGGTGATCCGCAGGCATGGGCTTCTTTTCCCAGTGGTCCGGTAATGGCCTGATTGCGTACTGTAAGTTTTCTGTCTGTCTTGGGCTGACTTACTGCAAATCTAACAATGATAAGATCTCTCTAGAATCATGGACACTGTCGGCATCAAAGACAAGAACACGCAAGCTTTAGTCAACGGTCTCATCAACATCTGGAACTTTGGACTCGCGCTTACTACTGCTTTCTTCGTCGAAAGAATTGGCAGGCGCCCGCTTTTCCGTATCTCCACTGTCGGCATGCTCACAGTCTTCATCGCCTGGACCATTGCTTCGGCACGCTTTGCCGAGACCAGCGACAGGTCTGCCGGTATCGCTGTCATGGCTCTGATCTTCGTCTACCAGGTCTTCTACTGCATCGCTTTCTCGCCCCTGCCTGTCGCTTACTCCGTCGAAATTCTACCTTTCTCAATCCGAGCCAAGGGTATGGCGACCTATGTCTTTGCGACTAAGGCCGCCGTCTTCGTCAACCAATACGTCAACCCCATTGGGCTTCAGAACATTGGATGGAAGTTCTACATCGTCTACGTTGCCATCTTGGCGGTTGAGAGCTTCGTTGCTTATGGATGGTTCTTGGAGACCAAGGGAAAGGCTTTGGAAGAGATTGCGGTAATCTTCGACGGCGACCAAGCGAATGTTCGGGTTGACGAGAACGGAAAAGGAGACGGCCCTGTTGATGTGGAGGAAAACGAGCATGTCAACAAAGTTTGAGATTATGTTGGGGAGTCACGTTGATGATAGTTAATTTCAAACAATATTATAATAATCGTATCTTTGCACAGCCATATGTCTTGCCTGTGACAGTTGGGTTGCAGGCTTTTACATGTACTTGCGTGGGCTGGTGGAGATGAATCACGGGTGTAATGCTAGTTCATTACTGACACGGCCCGGCCACGAGACTCGGATGTTGCATGACGAAACTTGATAAATGACTCGTCTTATTTTTCTGTTTCTAGTTCAGACATCAATATCAACATTCCTTATTGCTGTGCTGAGATGTCTTGTCTGAAAACTCGTAACCGTCGCCACCCCGTGCTGGACACACAGTCTGAGGCATGACCTTGATAGATCCATCATATCGAGGGGTAGATTAATTTGTCGTAAGAAGGCGTTCAAATTTTTCAAGTAGCTTCAGTCCGTATTCATAACATCTGGGAGTTGTCTTCGACGGAGCCGAACGTTGAGACCCTTCTGCATGACAAACCAGCTAGAAAACATCAATTAGCATCGGTCAAACAAGTGTCCAAGTCAGTGTACTCACTAGCATCTTTCCTCCAAAGGGACATTTGGGTCCGCCAACTCCAAGTCAAAATGCAGAAACAGCGTCGGAATGAGCTACAAGCAAGTCAGTATGCGGATGGTTTTATGGTGCTTGTAGGAACCTGGATGGCGTTGACCAACCTTCGCCATTTCCATCCAGCTAATGTCTGTATCACTCATCAGCATTCTGCTTTTGTCTGAATGCATACACGTGGTTTCACATACTTCTTCCCAGACACATGCGAGCACCTGACCCGAAGGCAAAGAAAAAGCGATCTGGACATTTAAGTCAGAGATTTGTGGTACATGCTTGCCAAGAAGGAAGAACTTGCGCATGTCCCCATTGTTTTCCTTGAGCCATCGCTCCGGCCTGAATGAATGTACATCTTGGCCGTATACGTCGGTGCTTCGATGTACTACCCATGGATTGACGCCCACAACAGACTGATAGAGAGGAGCATGTTAGTCCACATTTCAATAACTGATCGTCCTGTAGACGGAGAACTTACTCCGGCGGGCATAAAACGTCCGTCAATCTCATAACCGCCCTTGGGAACAACGCGTGGCAGTGTCATGCCTACAGCAGGGTGTAACCTCAAGGCTTCGTACATCGCGGCCTGCAGATACGGCATATTCTCGGACTGCGAGACGGTGATGGGGTCGCTGAGTTTTCCTTGTTTCCAGAGTTCGTCAACTTCTTCGACGAGCTTGCGCTTACTTTCGGGGTTCTTCAGCATGTAGTATATGATCGATCGAATTGAAATTGCTGTCGTGTCACTTCCGGCAAAGATGTTCGATGTCGCCATAGAAACCAAGTCGGACCCGTCGAACTGATCGGGCTTTTGGTGATGAACTTCCAGGAGCTTGCCAAGAATATCCTGGTGATCCGATCCTCGATCTTGCCGAGCATCAACCTCACGGGCTGCGAACTGGCGCAGACTGCCGTGGCGCGACGTTATGCCAAGCCAATTTCCAATGACTGGAGACAAATAGTCATGGAGCCAGTAAAACCACGGCACTTGGCCTATCCATGCAGCTGAAATCAGAGCATTCTCGATCTGCTGGAAAGAGCCGTCGTCGGAACCGACATCCATGAAGCCGAAACGTTTCGAGAAGGTCACCTCGCCAATGACATCTTGAAGTGATTAGTATTCGTATCCATGATAAATGACAAAGGATGCTAATACATACCAAACGCATATAGCTGAACCCAGTTGCCCATATCAACAGTTCGTCCCACCATCTCACTGAGTTTACCGAGGAAGACACGGATGCCGCTGTCTACGTAAGGCTCAAGCTCTTTTAAGGAAGACATGGCGTAAGGCCTGGTGACCAGTCGACGTTGAGCTGAATGGACTCCGTCGTCTCGTTCGGCGAACAGGTCAAACTTCCGTCTCCCCTGCCAAACACTATACCAGTCCGATTTCCGAAACTTTGATCCAGCGCCTGTATGTGAGTGTTAGTCCGTAGTCCTTTGAGCTATCGAGTGGCCGGCTTGCCGTAGATTGTTTTGATTGAAGTGAGATCTGAGATGCTCCTGTGAACCCATTAGAATGAATGTCACGACATTGAATGCCTCGAGACTTCTCCTCCGGTTGCACTTACACCTCACTTGGCGCAATTCGAACGACTTTTCCATGGACTTCATGAAGACGCATCATGATCACATGAAGATCCCCCTTGTTCGAGTGCCAAGTAAGCCATGCCCGAGAAAGGCTCGCCGCATATGGGCCCGGAATCCCCGCAAAAGGGGACAGGTAACGTTGATAGACGACCCATGAGAGGACCAGAACGATCGGCACGAGCTGGAAAGCCACAGCCGGAGAAAATGAACTCGCCGGATCATTGACTTTGTCCATGATTGAGGTTGTGTAACAAAATGGGTATAATCTCAAAGATCATGCTGTGGCTGCAGGCATTTGAGTTAAAGGCCAGTATTTAAAATGCTATGTAGCAGCCCGAGGCCCCCGAATGCCAATCGGCTCCTTGCCAATGGTCAAGTTCAACCAGGGTTACCGGCTGTCCCGGGAGTGTCCCCGCGAGTGCGAGCTCCTCGAAGAGCTGCGGGGTAAATGGGATGTATTCGCTACGATCGCTTCTTGAGACGTGTTCCCCCAAAAATGAAAATGAACCCGGCAAGTGAAGTCGGGTAGATCGCAGACGGCCCCGCATGTCCGCCGGCCCCGCCCCCGCTATCACCGATGCAAGTCCGGAAACCAGTAATGACGAGTGAATATTGTATTACGTATATGGCAGTGTGGTGCATGAGAATACTAACGTAAAAGAGAGAGCTGGGTGTTTGTCTTGGTTTTCCCGCAGCAGGCTATACATGCAGGCTTCTTGCAGTTTAGTCAGAGCGGCCCGGGCTCTGTAACAATAGAAAAATAACTTAGAAAGGGGGCAGGCATTGACGCACAGCCAGTTGTTTTGAATTGAGCTGAGCGTAAGTAGAAATACTCTTTTGAAGGACTCGGGAAAGATTTAAGAAGAACTCAATACCTTCTGTAGGCTTCAAAGTTTCAATAGTCACCAAGTCACACTACTATGTGGAAGGCAAATGGTCAGTTGATGGCAACAAGACCTGTGCTAGTAGGCCTGAGGTGATTGTTGGTGAAGAGTTAGTAAATAGGATTGGCCCGTCATTGTTCCCATTTTATGGCATATTCACTGCTACAAACATGAGGATCAAGGCGCTTGGCCAACAGTCACAGGACTTGTCAATAATTTTACGGATTCTTATGGCGCCACTGAACATTCACTTGACCCCCCATATCTGAGAGGAGAGGTTCTGAAACCTACAAGATGACTTATGAATGAATACAACAAATTGAATGGCAACCCATCGGGTGAATCAGAGGCTCTAGCGGCCTCAGCATTCAAAAGACACATGTGAGGACCAGGCAGAGTATAAAATGATACTTCAATCCTCGAGATACTTGTTTCTCTTTTAAGCACAGAAAAGAAGCAAACGGTTCCTAGCATAACTGGCCACCAAACCCCAATCATACTAGATATTTGCAATCCATCTTCATCATGCAGTTCAACATTCTCTTCCTGCTACCTCTTGGAGCTGCAGTTGTCAAGGTAAGGAAAAGACCAACCCTCTGACTACAACTGATTCAAGCTAACGGAAGTTTCATAGGCCGCCGCAACGGGTCCCAAACTTGCCGAGGCGCCAATTGAGGGCTACAGCGTGTTCGTACCCCAGTGGGAAGTTCAAGCTACCCCTGGCGGTGAGACACTCATCATGAGTGGAACGGTTCAAGAAGTTCTCGACAAGCTTCGCAAGGCCAACCCTTACTACGATGACTCGTTCCTCAACGAATTCAACGTCACCGCTTCGGAAGAAAATGAGCAGACTGAAGCCCTACGACCTCGCGCAGACTTCACCGGTGCTCCCGCCAACTGCGACCCCTGGGAGTTGGCTGGCCGTAATCGCATTTACCAAGGCATCGAATACCTTGAGAGGATTGGTGGCAAGCCGCACAATGCTGCGGGCCCGGCTGCCTGCGGTAGGGTGAGTCGGCTCTTTATTCTCTTAGCTCGTTGCTTTACTAAACGAACTTCGCTTTAGGTCAGCTGCAGCTACAACAGCGCCATCGAAATCTGCAATGATGTGAGTAGCCTGCTTTCATTGGTTGAATATCTGGTACTGACCATACACAACAGGATTCCAAGCCAAAGACTCTTAACTCCTTCAAGGATATCGCTGACGGCGCACGCTATGTTGATCACATGTGCCATCGATGGGAGAGCACCAGATTGGCTGGCCAAGTGCACCACAAGGACAAATGGAACGTCATTGTTCGTTGGGCAAGGTGCTAAGTCATTATTTCAGATTTGCAAATAGCAGAATAAGTAGCATGAGTGGGAGGAAAGGATAATGGTTGGAGATGACAGTAAGTGAACATCAAGTATCAGTATCAATTTGCACGAGGTTTAGTCCAGACTTGTTCATTTTCAAAATCGTAGCTTGAGTGCACAATCATGAGCTTTGGTCTCCTAGATATGTTATTTATTGATTTTTTCACATTAATATTCCATCAATATGAATCTGGTTCTGCGTTGCTGAGGCTCGGTTGTTTCACTGAGTTGCCAAGACCGAAGGGGATGATAAGGTTGACACCGATATTAAAGCCCCCACCTGACTGACTCAATAGGCAGGAGGAGATCGCGCTGCCGCGCGCTAGAAAACGCATATTCGTCGGCATGTGCTTGTTCGCGAGGCAACTTTACCCCCTTTTGGCTCTTGAATGCAACTCTGTGTCGACTCCAATGCGAGGCCCCGATCCCAGAGCCTGATAGTCCGAAATGGTGTCATCTCACCCGGGCCGGACAGCGGAAGATCCCTTTCATGCTATGCAGCTAAGCAGCCCGGAGCGATGACCTGCAATGGCTTAGTTCGTATTGATGGCAACATGACCACTTGATGCCCGACTTTCCCTTGCCCTTGCACTTTGCATCTAGTCTCCGAGACCCAATAATATCGCTCTTAATCCAAGTTACTCAGCCGCGAAATTCTCCCACCGGCAATTATCTATGTGAGTCTATGAGAATTAACGGTGTCTCCGATCCTGCTCAAGTGAGCAGGGTAGCCTACGAGTACAAGTAGGTAGGCTGCGTGATCTTTTCATTTCCAATGTGCTTCGATCTCATCGCCTCTTGTCACTCGTTTGTTCTCACTCGTACACCCAGCATGCGATTGCTCTTCTTTGCTTACATGGCTTCGGCCGCTATGGCCATTCTCACCGAAGAAGAGTACCCCTGGCAGCCACCGCAACCTGGTGATTTGCGTTCACCGTGCCCTGGAATCAACGCTCTCGCTAACCACGGGTTGCTTCCTCGAGATGGACGCAACATTGACTTGGACATCCTCGGGACGGCTAGTCAACTCGGATTTAATATGGATCACGAGACGATGCTTCTAGTTGGCATTCCCGCCCTGAGAACCTCAACTACAGGCAACGCCTCAACTTTTCACCTCAGCGATGTCGACCAGCACCTGCCACAAGTTATTGAACACGACGGCAGCATGACCCGGGAAGATGCTTACTTTGGCGACTCGCTTCACTTCAGCCCGGCTGCATGGGGTCGTACCCTTTCCGGATGGGGCGATGTTGAAATCATTGATGTTCGTTTGCCCAATCAGCACTTTTTGCTATGAAGAAGATCACTAATTGATGTGGACATCACAGTTTGCTGCTGCTGCAAGAGAAATAAAGGCTAGATTCGAGTGGGGTGAGAAGTTCAACCCCGAATTCAACGCCACGTTTGCGAGGAGCGGTTCACTACTTCAATACGCTCTCCTGCTGTCAGCTTTTGGGAATTATGGCGACGCCAATAAGACCCTCGTGCGTTATTGGGTTGAGAACGAGAGATTGCCACTGGACCTGGGCTGGCAGCCGCCCGTACAACCAATCACTCACAACATGAACGCTCTTATTGCGGCCAACATCTCTGCTCTTTGGGTATAATCAGTATGAAACAACAAATAGACATAATAAACTAGAACATTGCCTCCCATCAACATGTGTGTACGACTTTCACATTTCGCTTAAGAGCCGTACGGATCCTGCGAGGGTCGCGGTCGCACTCTGCTTACGGTGGGCTCGATTGTCTGACATGGCTCTAGCGAATGAAAGCCACGTTCTCGCGCGACACGAATGGAACCGCGTTCCTCTAACCAATGGAAGGCTTGCAGTAAGATCATTCAGCGTCTGTCTTGCCACAATACGTATGCAAACTTGACTGGTTCCCAGCTCGCTCCTTTTTCTTCTTTCGTTTCCTTTAAATATCTCAGCAAAGTACATGTTTTCACGAACATAGAGCCTTTTTTGGTGTGAAATGGCATCTGAAATTCGACGGAAACCTCTCCCACACAAATCCGGGGAGGTGTTGGTATCAGAAACTGCTTCCAGCTCATCCAAAACTCCGATTTACCCGACACAAACACCACAAAACAGTCATTTTGATTTGTTTCCACCGAGACGCCAGCCAATATTCAAGCTTTGGGCCCTTGAGCTGACCTCGGTGTGCCTTGCCAGTTCTCTCTTGGCCGTCATAATATGGATACTCGCACGCGAGAATGGCAAGCCCACGGATCGTTGGTCATTTCCCATAAACCTCAACTCTCTCGTTGCCACCATCTCAACTGTCTACAGAGCTGTTCTGGTAGCCGTGGCTGCTGAAATCATCTCCCAGTTCAAATGGGTATGGTTCTGGTCAAAATCCTCTCCACCTCGGCCACTTCGACATCTGAGCGACTTCGACAATGCCAGTAGGGGGATATGGGGAGCTCTCAGGTTGGCTCCGACTGTTGCCACAAGAAGTTTCCCCTCGTTCATGGCGCTGATTATCATGGTCCTATCTTTCGCAACTGGACCATTCTTTCAGCAAGCCATCAATGTTGTATCGCGAACCATTCCACTCCCTGGACGGGCTGCATCTATTCCGGTATCCTATTCAGTCTACGGCACTATGAACGATACCTATTACCGTACCCATATGAGTGGTCTCCTAGGGCCTTTCGACCTTCGGCCTCAGGTTCGTGGGATTGTGTACTCAGCACTTGCAAGTCCTCGCAGTAACGACACCAATATTCGTGCATCATGTCCCACCAGCGACTGCACGTTTCCAAGCTGGTTGCGGGACGAAGCCGAAGATCCACACCTCAATAACGAAACCACACATGCAACAGTTGGTGTTTGCAGCGTTTGTACGGATCTTACCTCAATTGTTGTTAAAGTCAACGAATCTTTTGCTCATTTGCCCAATGGCATGGGTATTGGCCAGGGCGACGGTTGGGACGCCATGATCAGCAAGCACGAGTCCGATCTTTCTTGGGCTGGAGAGCTCATTACCTCGGATACGTCTGAGCAGATTCAATGGGCATTCGCCAACATCACCATATTATCCAGGAGAGCTGGACCGATGATCCCGCCGATCTCTTGGGCCGACCTTCTTTCAGAATACGTCGCAGTCTCCTGTTCTCTCCTACCTTGCGTAAGATCCTACTCTGCATTCGTCAAAAATGGAGAATTCAAGGAAACTCTGGTCAAGTCGACACCCATGTACGGCGACGCATTTGAATATCCCAAATTCAACTCATCGACTTTCTACAGGCTGTTGATGACCACCGCGCCGGGAAGGAACCAGTCCCTCGCAGCAGTCCAGTCACCTTGCCGCTTGAACGGTTCTCGCTACTTCGCTGGCGATAAAAAGAACGAAGGAGATACCGGCTTAACGGATGTCAGGATCTTGGCTCCATGGAACGCCCCAAGCTTTCTAAACGAGACAGTGCCGCAAGCATGTACGTTCCGTCTTAGCGGTTGGATGTTTTCCATGCTGTCCTTTCTTTGGCAAGGTGAGATATTCACAGAGAATTGCACCTGGAACAGCCGTCAGTTGGATGTCGTCGACTGCAACGGCAAGTGGTGGCTTTCGTTGCTGTGGAACCAAAACAACGCAACCTATGAGTCTCTTTCCACAAGATTCTCTGACTTTGCAGACTCGATGACAAGTCAGTTCAGGCTTGGTTTTGCGAGGGCGGAAGGCAGTGAAACGCATGTTTACGGCACCGCATTTGAGACGGTCCCGTATACTGAGGTCAGGTGGCAATGGTTGGTGTTCCCCTTGTTATTACTGGCAATCGAGATAATGATCATGGTTTGGGTCATTGGGCGCAGCTTACATCACAGAAAAGATGAGATGGTGTGGAAAAGCAACCTTTGGCCTCTTCTTTTCTACAAGGAAAGCTTCTTCAGTCCGGACGGAGAACAACTAGGGAAAGGAGAACTCGAGATGGTTTCTAGGACAGAGGATGGACAACTGTTGAGCACTTCGGAGATGGAGAAGATCTCCAAGATGATTCACGTTAAGTTGACTCGTGCTGGAGAATCACCCGCTTCTACGTTGGAAATGCAGAACATGCAGGACCTACGACTCAGGGGCTCATCAAACCACCAATCGGACAGTGAGACCTTACTGCGAAGCAACCCTCACCATGATATATAAACAAAAGCTAGCCACATAAAGATTCAGACACATATTCGAGCACTGTGGTTGAATTTTAAACCTTCGTCCCGCATTCGAGTGCCTTCAACTTGAATGATCATGTCAGTCCAGCCCGGTATCAACCTGCTGTGATTGGTGGAAGAAGCCAAGCCGCTCACTTCCACCCTCCCTCCACAACTTCAAGTCCGTCTGTCTTGGCAAAGGACTCTAAGCAATATGCTGAGGCCTCTGTTGTACAAGGCAAAGATTCATTATCGTTGGCGGAAATTTGACGGCCTTCAGCGTTCTAACCACAGGTGAAACTGTCGGCAGGTAATCATCAGAATACAAGACTTGATTGCTTCTCAACTCTTGAAGAACAAACAGCTGAATCTCATTTGAATCAGAAGTCGATACGCCAAGATACGACTTACCACGGTCAAAATGTTCTTTCCATCTGCTCCTGTTCTGCCTCTGCTCATCGCTCTGGCTGCAGCCCAGTCACGAACCTCCTCAAGCTCGACACGCCGCACAACTACTAGCACCATCAAATGGCAAGCTTCGGGTGGCGTTTCTTGTCCTCACCCCGCGGTCAACACCATTTGGCCCTCTCCTACGGGTAGTACGTCTTTTCCCACGGCATCTGTCATTCCGGCCAACGCCGTGTTTGACGGCAAGATGGCTGTTTTCGACCGTAGGGGCAGCGCCGGAGACTGCAAAGGCCAAGCAGAACAGGACGAGGCTGCTGCTGTCTTCATCCTCGAACCAGGTGCAACCTTGAAGAACGCCATCATTGGTCCAGCTCAAGCTGAAGGCGTTCATTGTCGAGGCCCATGCAACATCGAGAACGTATGGTGGGAGGATGTATGCGAAGACGCTGCCACCTTCAAGGGCAGTGGGCCAAGATATGTTCGAGGTGGCGGGGCGAGGGAGGCCAGCGATAAGGTCTTTCAACACAATGGTCCGTCTACTTTCGGTTATGTTTATCCCCTGGCGACAATCTTGACTGACCTGGTACTTTCTGAAGGGGAGGGATGGCTGCATATTGACGGCTTTTACGCCAACAAGTTCGGAAAGTTCTACCGCTCCTGTGGCAACTGCAGTCAACAATTTCAACGTCACGTAAACATCACCAACTTCGTTGGCATTCAGGGAGTCGTTAGTAAGTTGTACTTGCAGGAATACCGGGACCTAGGTCCGTGTTTAAGGATTTGGCTTAACATGCTCGCTAGTGGGAGTCAACCAGAACTACGGAGATACTGGAACATTGTCCAACTACTGCGTGGCCAAGATCGGGGTAATTTGCACTCGATATGAGGGCTGCGTGAAGCCTTGCGAAGCAGGCGAGATCGGAGAAGGTGCACTGGCTCCTTACTGCGTTGTCAACGGGCAAGACTGGTCTTGACTCCAGTCGTCATATCCACTTGGAGGCCACTCTGAAGCAGCAAAGATAGGCTAGCCTTTGAGGACAACGAAGCTGTTCTCGACATAAAGAGCGGGAATGAATGAAATCAAGGGATGTGGGGTTCAATAATGAATCGAAGAAGTCCGGAAATGAGGAAACTCGCAACAAGTCAATCCAGCAATACTGTGCCAATGACTAATACTCCTGCTTCGCTGTGCCGTAGATTCGATATTGACATGTGCCCCCCGATACGCCGTCAGGAGCGCCGTTGAGAGAGGCGATTCGGACCGACAAACAACTTGGTAGACAAGCATTTCCTCGTTCGAAACACAGAAAGTTGATAAATCAGTTCACGTCCGGCTTGCAACCACTTCAACTAGAAGCAGTTGACGATGTGGAGCAGTGGTAGGACAAGCAATACGCGGAGAGGAAAAGATCGCTTCTTGGAAATCCTTTTCCCCGCGTTTGAATTTGATCAACGATATCATTCGGCTCAACGAGGGGTTGGCGACCCATCCTGCCGGGTCTGACTGGATGGAGTCTCTTGGCTTTCCCCATGGGGAATTCTTGGCCGCTTCTAGGGCTATTGGACTTGCAGCGAAGAATCGCTTCTGTGAAATCCAGAACCTACCAGCGTAGTTCGGCCCGAATATCTGCGCAAGCTGCTGACAGGTGACGCGAATGACACTGCCAAATCTCAATAGTTTTGATTCCAGTATGCACGTCGGTTTCGCTTTCTTCTGCAAGACTTGGCGTATCGTCAAAAAAAAATCTAGCACTATATTCACTACGATACAATCGATTTAGAATGCTGTCCTCGAAAGTACATAAATACGGATCAAGTCAGCTCTGGAGTCATGATTCCATTGCCACAATAGTACCAGACATTCGACTGCTCAGTAATCTACTCCTTTGAACATCTCACTATGAGCATCAAAGCTTTCGTGTGGTTTCTCGCCACGAGGAGCATTGTTTGTGGTCAAATCTTTTCAACAAACATTGCAAGTCTCGACCAAATACTTCTCCCCTACAAAAATGCGTCTGTCTCCATTGATGGTCGGGTTGATGATCTTCTATCCAGAATGACCGTTGAAGAGAAGGCCGGTCAGATGTATCATGGTCGCGACATCCCAGGCCGGGGAGATGAAACCAGAGGCATGGTCAAGGATAATCTCATGACGCACTTCGTTTACAGTGGCGGAATCAGTGACACCGACGCCTTCATCGACTGGCATAATGAGCTACAGGCACTTGCACTCAACTCGACCCGCTTAGGAATACCCATTACGATCTCCACCGATCCCCAACACGGCTGGACGCAGGATGGCGGAACTTCAAACGTCGGGCTATCTTTCTCACGATGGACGGAGCCCATGGGTCTCGCTGCTCTTCGATCCCCGGAAATGACGTTTGCCTACGGCGACGTTGTGAGGCAGGAGCTGTCTGCGGTTGGCGTTCGGCAAGTGCTCTATCCTCAGGTCGATCTCGCAACGGAACCGAGATGGGGTCGCACTGGGCTCACCATGGGCGAGGACGCCAACTTGACCAGCACTCTTCTTATTGAGATACTTCGAGGTTTTCAAAAGACTGAGGAAGTCGGAATCGAGTCTATCGTCGCTACGGTCAAGCACTTTCCAGGTGCAGGGCCGATGCAGGACGGCGAGGACGCACACTTCCCGTGGGGAAAGTGGCAAGTGTATCCGGGAAACAACTCGGAGTACCACATGGTTCCTTTCAAAGCCGCCATAAGCCGTGGAGTGCCTCAAATCATGCCATATTACTCCCTTCCCAAAGGAACTGAGTGGGAAGAGACTGGGTTTGCCTTCAGCAAGGAAGTCATCACCGGCCTTCTCAAAGAGAAACTTGGTTTCAAGGGAATAGTTCTCACGGACTTTGGAATTCTCACTATGACACCGTGGGGTGTTGAGGACAAGACCGAATTGGAGAGAACGCAGCTCGCCATTGATGCAGGATGCGACATTATCGGCGGCGAATCGAGCACCCAGCTGACTATCGAGCTCGTCACTTCTGGGGCTATCAAAGAAGACCGGATCAACGAATCAGTTCGGAAACTCCTCAGACAGAAGTTTGAGCTGGGATTGTTTGATAAGCCGTTCGCTGACAAGAACTTGGCTAAAGCAGTGCTTGCAAAGGAGGAGTTCACCCGCCTCGGAAACGAAACGCAGCGTCGTTCTTTCACCCTCTTGACGAACAAGAACAACTTACTTCCTTTGCCTCGCGCAGCACGCAGAGCCAAGATATACGCTGAAGGAATCGACAAATCTGTTCTCGAACAGCGTGGTCTCACCCTTACTGATGACCCTGATAATGCGGATTATGCCTTCCTTCGACTTGCATCGCCACGGCGACAACCCGATGGCTCGGATTTGGCTGCGGTGCTCATAAACAATGGCACACTTGAATTCAACTCCACGGAGCAGGCCCGCCAAAAGGAGATTTACTCCGCCGTTCCGACGATCGTGGACATCAAGTTCAACCGCCCAGCCGCCATACCCGAAGTTGCGGAACAAGCTGCAGCGCTGATGGGAAGCTATGGAAGCAGTCACGACGCGTTTCTTGATGTAGTCTTTGGTATCGATGGGTGGGCACCTGAGGGCAAGCTACCGTTCGACATGCCGCGATCGATGAAAGCTGTGGAAGAGTCATTTGAGGATCTGCCGTTCGACACGAAAGATCCGTTGTTCAGATTTGGTAATGGACTTCAGTATGATACCAAACCCTGCGCTCGCCGACCTCACTCTATGAGGTCATAAGGGTACGCTTCGAGCTTGATTCATAGGCTGTTCATAGGATAACACTACATATCGTTACACTGTCGTACACTCTCTTCTGTCGTTTTTCTTGGTGTCAACCCTTTTTATCGGAAGGCCGCATCAGACCATGCATTCCAATGCTCAAAATTCAAAAAGTTCCAGACCACATTCGGATCGACCAAGTTCGCATCGAAGTCACCCGGAATCAAGTTCTCTCCCAACTCATTATCTCCGCGATGAACATTCATGTCTTCTGGAACGAAGAGCGGTGATGTCTGCAGCGCTTGCGTTTCGTCCTGGAGCTTGATCGCGGGCCCTGTTTCTGCTGGCATCGGCATGCCTGTCTGTAGTTGATTTCCCGGGTTGCTGGCGTTCGTTGCCACATTGAGTAGCTCTGTAACTATCTCGGCGCATCGCCGCGCTACTGCGAGCATCTTCATCGCCTTGAAGATCTCGATGCTCATCTCGAGGTTTTCAATGACTTCTTCATTCGGGAATGGGGATATGTTGGAAATGAGAACGTGAAGTAACACCATGCAGGCGTCGAGTAGGTACATGCAGTTGTACCACCTGTTGACAGGTAGTTAGTATTGCACATAAAATCATGATACGGTGGATCGACATACCATGTCCTGAAGTAAGGCCGATGAAGGTAGCTCGTGTGCATGAATCTAATAGTCTCGGTCGCAGCTTTTACGCAAGATGATACGTGACGGGACAGAGTCTTGCGGTCGGACTCAGGTGCTTTAAGGATGAGAAACTGTCTATGAAGGAGGATCCTGGCGTTCAAGAAGCCTGTTTCGCTGTAAGCGGAAATTCTCTTTCATAAGTTCAAGGACGGCACCTACGTAGCTTCAGAACTGTCTTCTGCTTCATGGCAAATTCGCTGTCCTCCAACGATGAAGTATCGAATCTAAGCTCTCGTGGAAGTCCCGACCTCCAATCATCTAGCTCTCGGTCGAGATTCAACGCCGTCTGCGACAATCGCGTTAAGGATGTGTGGCTGTTGTGAAGACTCAGGTTGTCGGTCATCCACATCAGAATCTTGGCCAAGTCGACCATTGGGTTGATGAGACATGATGAAGAGCTCACAAAACCCTGCAATAAGTTGTTAGTCAGTTCACACTTCGTTCATGTGTTGACTCAATGTGTCTCACCGCAGTCTTCGGGAACGGAATTGAGTAAGAACTAGGACCTCGCAGTCCTGACTGGCGGCCAGCAGAAAAGCACATTTCGCTGCTTCATTAGTATGTGAATCGATACGAGGAAGAATAAAAGACCCACATCTCATGAGAATAAAGAGACCTTCGTCGTGTCAGTGAAGCTCCAAGTGTTCATGTCAATGGTTAGGGTCTTACCACCAGAGTAGGCTTTCCTGGCTCGTCTCGGATCGGATGTTTGTGGGAATTCCCATCGCCGATGCAGTTCGAATGGCCATGCCGCTGTACATGTAACAGCTATGAGGCTTGAGCGCATTCTGACAGAAAACGGACTGTAGTCGTCAGCAGCGCTTCCAGGACGACGGGTAGTGAGTGCTTCATACCATGAGGAACAGAGTTTGAGCCGTCTCGAGTGAACTCGATTCGCAGATGTCCTCCAGGTATAGCTTCGCCTTCTCAAAATACCTCCTCGCTAGTTTGATAGGCGGATAAGTCGTCTCATTCTCCCCGGGCTGCTCCGTTCGATCCAAGAATTGCAGCGTGGGGTCTTCCATCAGCAAGGACGTCTCTCCCGCAGTGATGGCTCCGATCGCCAGGACAGAGTTAAATAGTGAAAGAAATCTGGCCCCACGACGCTGCTGTGAAGGCTCCTCAAAGCCCGATTTCCTCTGCCAAACCTCTTCGTCGCAGCGCTTTGCGAACCCTGATTGCTCTAAGATAGGATGAATGTTGTGTAGATTTTGAAAGTAAAGCCGCACACATTCTCGTTCGATCTCGGTCGCGAAGGCGGCGTCTGCCGGAGTCAAAATCTTTCCGTTGCCGTACTGTACTGAGTCGCGTCTGGTACCACTGTTTGATGGCGTCCCCTTTCCCGGTGTGTGGCCATGTCGATTGTCTGGTGAAGTCGAGTAGTCGGAGCTGTGAAGAAGATTGACGACTGAAGTTTGATTCAAACTCTTTCCCGGCGAAGTCTTAGAGTCGGGACCGATCTGTGGCTGCTTCTGATTGTTCGTATTGTTTGCTCTGGAACGAAGTCGGGCTAGGAAGTAGAATGTTCCTGTCGGACCATAGAACTCGGCCCCCTCTGTGTGATCATTAACCCGTCCAAGTCCATCGACCTCATGCTCGGATGAGATGGATGATCCCCTCTCCTGATCTACAGGTGGTTCCGGCATGAACGGCGTCGGGTTCGGATTCTCGACTTTGAGCGGTTCATCTAGGCTGACTGGCGACGGGTGAAGTTGCTCTGCTGATGTTGGCTGGCTTGGTGGACGCTGTTGAATACGGCCCGTCGGATCAAATATCCTCTTACTGACGCCATAGTCAGACATGATGAACGTAGATCCCCCGATGCTGTTGCTGTTGACATACGATTCTTCCGGTCTGTCCTTGTACGAACACGAGAACTCATGTCCTGTATCTAACATTAGGATCATGTATCGATGGACAGTCAGTGGGTTCTTGGTCAACTCACGGACGCAATTAGAGCACGGCGAGCTCCCATCACACTATTGCCGAATTGTCAGCACTTTCGTGTTCGTCTGCATGATATTTTCATCATCAATGAGCACTAGCCTTGACCTTGCGCGCCCGACAGGTACCACACGCCACAGGCGCACGTGGGCGACGCTTTCTCTTAAGAGTGCCAGACTCTGAGTTATCCGAGGCGCCTGTTGGTAGAGTGGGGATTTCCGCCTCCATACTAATAGCCGATTTGATATCAGAGTCGTAATTACGAGCAGATAAGGTCGACGAACGTTTGTGTGAAGTGTGAATAACGTGGCTAGGATGGAAGGCGGGGTTTCGAACCATACGTCTGGACAGCTGGAGACGCGTCCCCGGCGGCAACGGCGGCGCTTCCTGTCCATGGCCATTCTTTCTTGGTGTGCTGTGACTTCAGCGTGAGGTCAATGCAGGCTGAGGAACTAAGGTAGTGTCAGAAGTTGCGTGTGAGACGTGTCTCTCGGGCAGAGTTCTGGCTTAGGTCCAATGGCGTAACGGACGAAGTCGCCGCTTTGACATCGCGACTAATGACTTGACGAATCGGAATGCTGACTTCGGACTAAGATGACCGCGGCGAATGAGAGTTTGGTTGTCGGAGATCGGGCGTCTCGGAATGGTATCCTCGTGTTATTGATATCGGGCTCCATCCCCGTCCATCAGAATGACCCTCCGTGGAGAGAAGCAGATTCCGTGGAACACAGAAGTAATCAGTTCCAAATTCCTAGCGCGCGTTTCCGCGATTAGAATATTCATATTTCTAGTACTTTGAAAGACCAGTCCTCGACTTGATTTTTGAGACTACCACAAAAAAGATGGAAAATGTTTCAGCCGATGTACCTGTTCTCATAGTAGGCGGAGGGCCCACGGGTCTGTTCACAGCATACATGCTCTCCAAGCACGGAGGTTGGTCGGCCTGATGTCCGCAGTTGGGCTGGTGAGTTGCGATGAGCTAACCAGTATTTCAGTCAAATCACTACTCATCGAAAAGTATCCTCAACGCCTGGCTGCACCAAAAGCTCATGCCTTGTGCCCTCGAACTCTGGAATCTTGCAGGCAGTATGGTCTCGACACAAACGCGATCCGCAGGCTCGGAAGTCCCCGCGATGATGCCTTTTGGGTTAATTTTCTCACCAATCTCAGCGGTGAGAGGATTGGGTACTTACCATATGAGAGAATGGACGCAGAGGTCTTGGAAAATACACCCGAGGTAAATGCGATGATGAGATTACAATGCTTCAATGCTGATAGGAAACAGATGATACACAATGTGCCTCAGCCAGATTTTGAGAGATTCGTTGCCGAGCAGTTAGTATTTGATTCGAATGTTGAGCTTCGAAAAGGAATTGCTTTTGTGTGTTGCAAACAAGTACGTCAAGTCCTGGGATTGTGGTTGAGCTGAAGCACTGATGAGATGACAGCATGGAGACAAAGTCGTCACAACAGTTGAAGAACGTTCATCAAAAAAGCGTTGGAATATCACTTCGAATTTTGTAATTGCATGTGACGGGGCAAAGAGCCAAGTTCGCAAGTCTCTAAATATTCAGACTGAGGGCGAGGACGGTTGTAAGTGTCCTGCGGTCGGCTATTTGTGTTCCATCGAATCGATGAGCTGACCATGCACAGATGAGACCATGATGACAATTCATTTCAATGCAGATCTTAGACCTGTGGTGAGAGAACGAGTTGGCATGTTGCACTGGGTCATGGATCCAGCTTGTTCCGGGCTCATAATCGCATACGATCTTGGTGGAAACCAAGTGCTGATCAGCAACTTCGATGTAAGTCTTCATCATCTTCCAGGAGCGCATCAATAATGACTAGTGTTTGCAGCCGAAAAAGCATCCCGCTGAGGCATGGAGCGAGGAACTTGCCCGCGCCACGGTTACAGCCGCGATAGGGCAAGACATTCCATTCAAAGTACTGAGCTTCAGGCCGTGGGTGCTGAGCCGAAAAGTAGCGAAAGAGTACAGACGAGGAAACACATTTTTGTAAGTGACACACGCCTCAACCATCTGATGAGACTTGGAGACTCATGTGTTGGATAGACTAGGCGATGCTGCGCACTCCTTCCCACCTACGGGAGGTCTCGGTCTCAACTCCGGGCTGGCCGATGCCCACAATTTGGTTTACAAAATTGCAGCGGTATATCAAGGATGGGCCAAGCCTTCTCTTCTCGACACTTATGAAGCCGAGCGACAGCCGATTGCCCTGGTCGCCTCCTCTCAGAGTGTCGAAAACGGGAAGACTGTATTTTCCTTTCTCAAAGCCATCGGCACCGCTGATATCGATGACGTCGAAGAGGCCAGGCGGAACATGTACAGAACGATACGTGACCCTGCGAAGCAAGACTTGATCGCTGAACGCGTCGAAGGTCAGCGGGAGCATTTTGATAACGTGAGCCACCCTTCTTTGTGAACGAGAACGATGAGACTGATCTTTGACAGCTTGAGATACATATCGGTTACGTTTATGGCGATGCTAGACCTCCAGCGAATGCTTCACACTACACACCAAAATTCAAAGTCGGCGCCCGGTTACCTCATGCCTGGATCAACATTCTCACCCCAAACGATCGTCTTCCTCAAAAGTGCATCGACACATCATATGTCAAAGAACTCTCAAAGGACCAGGTGCTCGCTCGCCAGTTCTCAATGCTCGATCTTGTTGTCCCAGGTGGCTTCAGTCTCATCGTCGAGTGCCGTGATCTGTGGATTCAGCGGTTCAAGGAATTCGAAGAGGCACTATCAGGAAGAATCGGCCGCAGGTTGTACTTTTGGGCTGAGGGCACTGACTTCGAGTTCTCCAATGAGTGTCATCGCAGGCTGTTTCACAAACAGGGCCGGCTGGCCCAGGGAGGCGCCCTGCTGGTGAGGCCGGATCAACACTTGCTGGGATGTTTGGGACCTGAGGCTTCGGCGCATGATTTGATATCCCTTGTCATGAACCACTTGGGTTTTAAGGAATAGGGAAAATAAAAAGTCCTAGACAGCCATTTCGTTTCCATTACTGCACATACACCCTGTCTCTCGACCCTTTCTCAGGCTAGAATTCCTCTCTGCTTCAACCATGCCTCACACAGTCGAGGCCAGTCCGACACCGGCAAGCCCTTGGTATCCAATGCAAACCCATGAGGCGCATCCGCAAAAACATGCAACTCGACAGCCCCCCCCGCCTCTTGGATGCCCTGCGCAATCCGGTACGCATTGACGACCGGGACGATAGGATCGTTCCCAGAATACACGACGAAACTAGGCGGCGCCGGCCGGCGAAGCTGCTGATCCGGGATCACGACGTCGTACAACTCCTGCTTCTCAGGCGGGTCGAGGGGGGCCTTGTTTGGAACTATTTGGTGACCCTTTGCGTTGGTTGAAATAGGTCCGTATCCAATGATGGCGAACTCGAGCTCCGGAACAGCAGGACCGGCTGTGGCGGACCACGCAGCGGGGTACTCCGCCAAGAGCGCCGACGCGAGATGACCTCCCGATGATAACCCACACACGCCCAGGCTCGATGCCTCTGAGTGCTCCTTGATAAGCCGCAAAGCCTGCCGCGCGTCATCGACGGGCGCAGAGGGGCTGGTCGAGGCGGTCGGGAATCGATGGACGAGGACGTAAGCTTCGAAGCCCAGAAATGCCAGCCAGCGTGCTACCTGGACTCCCTCGCGTCCAACCATCAGCTGGACGTAGCCTCCGCCTCCAAGAATAAGGATCGCGCGTTTGTTGGGTGTTGTGGTGGGCTTGTAGCCGAAGAGCCATGGCCGTGTGACGCTTGATGCGACAGCTTGGTCGATAGGGCCATCGGGTTGTTCGAGGGTGAAGGCTCCCTCGAAGGGAAGTGTGTTCCAGAGGGGGCGGGCTGAATCGGAACCGAAAGGTGTCGCTGAGGTCATTTTGATGGGCTAAGTAGTGGCGATGGCACTTCAAGGGAACAAGTCTGGAGGGACATGTTTCTACATGTTTTGTGAGAAGAGGAGGGAGCTGGTGGGTTATTGTGGTCCTCGGTTTCCATTACACCGAGTTGCCGAGAAATTGGGAAGAACACTCGGCTCTACGAAACGCAAAGAAGTACTAGATAAAAGCTTGATTCATTCCGAATAAAACATTTTATGAATAGTATTTCGAAGCACAATCTCCGGTGCAAGGAATCTGCTTGACATCGCCGGAGTCTCACCTTCCACACCCCGCGTGGAGGCGGGGGCGGGGGCGGGTCACTCGGCATCGGATTGACGGCGTCGCAGCGCGGAGAATTGTGGAATCAGTTTGATCGATGTTGTGAATAGTTGGAAGAAGACAGGCGTATGACAATTGCGACCGTGATTCAGACCAATATGTACAGCAGAAAGAGAAAGATCCCATCGACATTCTCAGCCAGAGGCCATCTCCTCGGGCCCTAGCCCACACAATCACCAACTAAGTTCATACTCAAGGGTTCAGGGTGTATGTGACATTGTTTCCCGGGACACGAGGGTAGAACTCGAAAGTAAACACCGTCGATTTGCCGCTGGTAATGACAGCCTGGACAGTGGCTTGTGGCAATATCACCTTTTCGCCGTCATACTGCCACTGGCCATTGAAGGTCTAGAGCATCCACGATGTTAGCATACTGAACAGAGTTGCTTGTCTAGATGCCCAGCACGTTGACTTACGATGTGAGCCTGCTGAAGCGGGCCAAGATACTGGGTCCAGTCATCAAATAGGTAGACGCCATCGCTCCTCAAGGCCTTCACGGCAGCCGGCATCTTCAACCCCTTGTACTCGATCGGGATATTCAGATCCGCCCCAGAAACAGCCTTACTGCTGGTAGCGGAGAGACGAGGCACATCCCACTGTATGACCTCCACCTGCACCGTCGAACCTGCTGAGAACTCCACCGTCAAGTTCGCCTTGCTTCCGGGGGCTGCCGTGGCAGAAAGCCACTGGTTCAGGGAACTGGCCTTGAAGGTGATTGAGGAAGATGTCACGCTGTAGTCTTTGTCGACAGCGAGCGCGGCTCCGGTGTTGGTCTTGACGCTCTTGAGAGTATTTCCGTTGAAAAGCCACGGCAATGTCGTGTCCTTGGGCGTCTCTCCAACCTTGTTCCACACGAAGGCAGACGAGGACTGCGTGGTCGTCGCTGCATCGACGGTACTGTCTGGCAGGGAATTCTTGACTCCCTTGGCCGCATTCTTGACGATGCCGAGGGATGTCGGGTCGCGCCAGGTATGCGTGTTCCGATCAAGGTGGTCCAGCCCGTTATCCCAGATGATGATCGCCGTGTTGAGTTCAGTTGCGGTACGGACAAAGTGGTCCGTCCACTTCCATCGTGCCGCGGGCTCGGTATTCAGCGGGCTGGCATCGAATTCTCCGATGATCAGGGGAATGTCGGTGAAGTTGCCTCGCACGACGCTCAGATCAGTCTTCATTGCCGCCTTGTCTGCATCGCTGCCCCAAATCGTCTTGCCCCACGCTGCGAAGACGAAGTCATAGGGTGAATAGTAGTGGTACTGAATAGCCCAAGGGTTTTTTATCGAGGCAGGAGCCTTGAACCAGTCCGTAGTTTTGTAGCCGTCCATTCCACCGCCTACTAAGTTCACTACGCGACGAGTGTTAAAGCCGCCGCTGTCCGCCAGGGCCTTTAGGAAAAGCTCGTTAAGGGTGTTGAGGTGGGCACCGTGTTCGGCTGTGGTGGCAGGCGGCTCATTGATGGGTTCGAGGGAGACAAGGTTTGATTTGCAGGCCAACTTCTTGCCGATCTGGAGCCAGACTGCGTAGAACTTATCGTTAAGGACCTTTTTGGCGTCGTCTGTCGTGGCCTGTGTAACGTCGGCCCAGTTCCAGGAGTCATGGTGGACGTTTGTGAGGACGTAGAGGCCGCGGGCGGTGGCCATATCAACGACGTCGGACACGCGTTGAAGCCAGGCGGGATCAACGGTGTAGTTTGGTGCTGCGCTGGTGAAGTGATCGCTGTATGTAACTGCGACTTCTTGTTAGTGATTGGTAATTCCATGTTAAAGACGAGGACTGACCAGGAATCCGAACGCTCTTGAAACCGGCGGCCTTGATGTCATCAAACGTCTCCGCCTTGACAGGCGGATTGTTCCACGATCCTTCGTTGGGGATGGCGTCGAGAGTGTTGCCGAGGTTCCATCCCGGGTTCATTGCCTTGACGTAGTCGACGGCGGAGATGTCCGTGAAGCTGCCGGAGCATGCTGTCGGGGCGGCACTGGTCGAAGAAGATCTAGTAGTGGATGTTAGTGCCCGGGAAGTGGTAGCTGTCACAGCTGGCTTTGAAGTTGTGACGAGTGTAGTTGGCGCGGCTGATCCCTCAAGACACTGCGAGTACCCTATGCTTTTGTGAGTGAGAGTGTTGACAGGAATAAAGAAGAACCTACATTCGTTTTGCTTCTGACATGTCCAGCCCGACACACAAGTCGTTGGACCCGTCCATCCACTTCCGCCGCATTGGCCGTATGGCGTTTGCTGAGCAGAGGCTTCATGAAGCGCGGCTAAAAGCACGACGAGCCCGTATGACTTCATGTTGAAAGGTGTATTGACGAATGCGTGGCGCAGAAGCGAACGACGGGTACTCACAGGGTCTCAATGGGATCGATCTAGTTATACAAAAAGCACTCGCTTCATTCGAGCATTCCGCCCGATTGGGGCAAGGCACCTGGGCAATCAGTGACGCTCCAAGGGCTACTCACAAGACGATAGCAGCCGCCAACGCGCGCAGCGCAGCTCTTGGTGGAAAATCGCGTGACAACATGGCCGAGAGAGCGTAGCGAAACCGAACAAAGCGGAAGGTGCTGTCGCCAGAAGAGAACGATTGGAAGGGGTCAGATTCGAGTCACACCGGGACCAAATGGAGATATCGGCTTCCAATAAAACGGGAAGACCATCCTATTTTGAGGACGGAGACTTGGCCAAGTGTTCGCAACGACCTAGATGGGCAGGATTCAGGGCAGATGAACGGCTTGCATCACGTAGATTGCGGGAGACCTTCGTGTCCGAAAGAGGCAATTTGAAGGTCTGCCTCCGCAGCGACCCCTCAATCGGCTTAGCAGCACGATTAAACGGCCCGGGAGTGGACCGGAGTTGTGGTCCAGAGGAAGAGAGATGGGAGGCATTTGCTAGAAGCGAGATATTAGAGTTGAGTTGCAAGTCGACCCATGAACGTGGTCGGATGTTTGTGACGGGACGGAGAAATTTCAGGGACTGCAGCTAAAAGCTTGTTTTGAGCTGGGTAACCCAACATTTCGATGGAGACTGACCATCTCCATGCCGTAGTAAGCTAAGATGAGAAGTATATTTAATTTGCTCCCTTTGAGTCATGTGGTCGGCCTGGCCATCAACATCAGACGAAACACACGATAGCTTCGTTTGCTTCTGATGCTGCGTACCTGGATACACCGTCGCTTTCGCAAGTTTCCAAGCCCGGTGGGAGCGCCCATCGGCTCCATCGGAGTGCCCTGGCTCCGTCAATGATCCGGCCTGCTCGGAAGCAGCCGCATTGCAGTCAACCGGCTACGGGCAGTGAACTCCGCATATCCAGATCGGGTATGAAGGAAGTTGCTGCCCTTGAAACTGTGTCCGAGCCGCGGTCGGCTTCACACCATGCCCTTACGATTCCGTACTCCGAACACCAACGCAAATACCAACGCCAATTTCATGACACGCAGGAATCGTGGAAGCAGCGCTACGGCAACTTTATACGCAACTTGTTTCCTGCTTCGCTTCGCTCTGGGGAAAGCATCCACGGAGGCGCGTCGTAAATCTTCGGCTTGTGGAGCGGATCCCACGCGAGCTTCTATCGATCGCGGAAGCCATCATGCCAAATAAATAGGCCGAACGTCCTATGTGAAGTTTGAGGAGAGTGCATCTGCCCGCATTCGTTCGCAGAGTCGTGTAATCGTTCAATCGTGCGTGGTCGTAGGCCTCACCGCTTGGGCGGTCCAGGCGGCGGCGAGTCTGTCGAAGTGCCACGAAGCTGGTTTTTGAGCTCCTGGAAGAAGTGGTGAGCGAAGCCTTTCCCTTCAGGATCGGCTGCGATACCAGTCAGCGCTCCGTTCTGTGCCTTTCCTCGTCGATTTATGTAGACATACCTGACGCCTGTCCTTGTCGCAAGGGCTCGTGGGGCATCGGGCCGTTCTGTTTCTCGTCGACGAACCGTTGGATGCGACCTACGCCGCGATGGAAACCGGGGCTCCGGAGGATCTGTGGGACATAAGGCGTTAGCAGGTGATCTGCGATGCCGCTCGCGATGCTTGCAGAGGAGCCGGAGGGGGTGGAGGGGTCGCGAACCTGTCGGATAATGACATCCTCGAAGGCGACGAGGGCGCGGATGAGCACGTTCGGTGGAATCGCCATATTCGATGATTGTGAACCTTCTATTCCAAAAGAATAGGAAGTTTCGGCGATGCGGATTCGAACAGTACGAGCTGGACTTGGAGTGATTGCTGCTGAAAGTAAAAGGTCCAAAGTGATTGATCGTGTTGGTGGCGACCGGGTGTTCGGCCGTTCGGCGGTTGCGCCCCACTCGCTTGGTAATCGACGAATCATAGGAACACTGCAGGATTCCTGCAGTCCGTCACAGCACCAAGGCAAAGTCTGTCAACTGTTCGGGTAGAGCTCGTTCAGATACCATTTTATTCCTGTCAATCGACTATTTACTTCGAGAACCTAGTCATTCATTCGATTGAATGGTTGCAAATATGGTGATTCTACGCATAAGTCATGGTCATTCTGCCCCAGAAAGGTATGCGCTGCATGAAGACCGCGGCTCTAGTCCGAAAGCATTCCGACTGCTGGAGCTATGCACGAAAACTACGCTCCTAGGCACATCTCTAAGTCTGGGAGTAGTTGATGCGCCGTGCCTTGATCTCATTCCACACTAAAGTACACCAAGTCCACGGGGTAGGAAATGCAACATGGCTTACTTCACCCGCATTTTCTTTCGGAGGCAGCGTGGAACAGGCCGCTGAGACTCGGCTTCCACTCAGGTCTATACTCAAAGGATCGCGTTCTGAGAAGAGGCGCCCGCATAGTGGTTCTCCATGGAACCACCGGGTTCGAAGCTGGGTATCTTGTTAATTCACAAAAGCTCCGGTTCCCATGCGGAAGTAAAGCCAACTCGGCGCTAGCATGATGATGTTGTTGGTCTTGTTGGGCGCGACGATGTCGGCTTAACCCTGTGTCGCTCAGCGGGCGAAGTATGAAGTATTTGAGTGCACCAATGTTGTTGGTTCCTCAACCGGTGAACTGGTCCCACTCGCTCCAGTTGAGAGGCATTCCGATATCTAGGTTCGCTTCCAACACGTTGTCGACCGCAGGAAGATTAAAGTTTGGGTCAAAGTGACCAAAAACGTCCACGTGCGGAATAGCATCAACGGCCGAAAAGTCGAAAGTGTCCAGATTGGGAAACGCAGATGTCGTGGTCGCCAGAGGAACTTGAGGTACGGCATCTTGCGCCGCTGGCGCAGCCATAAGATCCTCGACTCTTCCATTGGCAGACACGTCTGCTTGGGAAACCTGTGGTACTGCAGCCCCCGCCGCAAGCGAAGTGGCAGCTCGCTCCATCTCTCTAAGAATGCGTTCTCCCAAGCTGGCCACCACTTTGGCGCTCCAGAAGACGTCTCCGAAGCGCTTCATAAGCTCCGAATTGGACTTGAATGCGCCTCGAGCCCGCGTACGGAACATGGGGAGGGCGCTGTGACGCATCTTGCGGTACTCGACACTCAGAGCAAGAGAAAGGGCGTACGGGACGAGAGGCACGGGGCTGAGATGATCTCGTCGAATAGCTGAGGAGATGCGCTCAGCGGCGAGAGAACGACGTGCATTGGCCGATGCCGGCGGTATTATCTGGGCATAATTCGATGGCGGGCCGGGCCTGGGCAGACGACATGATAGAATAATAACGGCATGGTAGAAAACCTCGATCGTTGCTGCGAAGAGTTAGTACGGCAACTTCAGTGCGAGAAACAATATCGACGTACCAAGTAGAGGAGTAGGGACCTGCAACGCCCCGGCCTCGAGAATCATCGGCTCCAAGACAGGAAGGTCGATGAATGGTTTCGTCTCTAGAGATTGTGCGATAACTCCGGGACGATATAATTCAATGACCTTGTCTAACCACTGAACAACGGAGAGGAAGAGGCGGAAGCACGGAGCCTGCCTCCGGAAGCAGTCCTCAAGGCCGGGACCAATATCTCGTTCGTGAATGACAGACGGCCGTCCGTAAGCAGCGGCGTTGATGCGATCAAGCGCCCAAACGGCACAAAAAAGGGTATCTAGAGCATCGTCACTGGTGTGGAAAAGCTGCAGACCGAGAGTCTGTGAGTGGTGAACTGCCCTAGCGCCAAGTTGTGCAGGCAAATCCGCCTCGTCAGCTCCTGACGGCTGAACGTACAGGGACAACATGCAAAGTGCACGAATGTGAATTGTCCGGTCCGTGATCAAACTCGTTTCCAGGATTGTCCGGATTGAACCAGAAAGGTGCTGATGGAAGTCATGGTAGGGCAATTTCCTGTTCCCTTGGTTTGCAAGGCGGAGATGACTCTTCATCTCTGGGTCGGAAGCAGCCGCCAAAGAGACAACTTGCCGCATGACGATTGCCGCCGGTGAATCCCCATCGACTAAAAGGTCCTCAGGGACGAGTGCGAAGATGGGGTGGATCTTCTCGCGGTAGACCCTGTGGAGGTGCTTGAAGTCTTTCTCTGGGGGAACGCAAGTGAGACAGTTCTGCTTGACGAAAGGCAGCAGTACCTTGTCGATCATGGCGGCCGGCCGAGACACCACGCTATTTGAGGCCTGGCCCGAAGATGTATCTCCAGATGGGAGCCAGACGCCAACTTCGGCTTTTTGCGTTGGGTTGGCTATTGATTCCGAGTCGGCGGCCTCGGTGAACATGCCTTCCGGGTTAAGGTCACCGACAAATCTTGTCTGACCGCCGTGGGCGTCCGTCTTCGCGTCGGATTCCCGACGGGAAGGGGATAGGATCAGGCCGGCATCTGGAGCAGCTGATGTCGAATTACGTTGCTTCGTGGGCGACCCTGAGCCTGGGCTTGGGAGGTGTCAGTCTTGGGAATGAATCCACTGCCAGATCGGGAAACTAACCCATCATTACTGGGCGATGATGCCCCAGCCGCTTCACCGGGTTCCGAGTTTGGTGGCTCGGCATGGATGCATCGTTTCTAAGGGACAATTAGTCCAAAGTCCAATTCGTAGGAAAAAAAGTTATGACTGACGAACCTTCTTCTTGCGACAGGAATCACATGCTTGCTGAACTTGCTTCCGCTTCAATGGCAGTCCTGAAGCGTCAGAGCCGACGAACTTTACGCCTTTGGCCGAGTTATTCATGGTCCCGGTTTGTTGGCGACTCTGTGTAAGATTATACAAAGTGAGGCAAATGAGTGAGGATTCAGCATCATCACGATGAGTAACAGTAATTCATGGTAGTGAGAGACGGTGAGTATGTATTGAATTGGTTTAGCGCTGAGAACCCATTTCGTTTGGGGCAGGTGGGACGAAGAACCGCTGTGACTCGACAGGCTCAGCAGGCTTAGTCATACGGTCTATTTTTCGGTGTATCGTCGGTGTAGCTGCCACCTTTTCTTCACCTTGGTTTCTGCCCGTTTATTTGGGGATCCAAGTTGAGAGGAAAGTGAGACGCTCTCTCAATGCAGAGACTGTATAAAATGCTCTCAGTATTGCTGATTATTCTTGGAAAGAGTTAACTTTTGTACCCGCAGTCTATTGCATCCTCATTAAGAGACAATTTCCTCAGCCTTCAATTGCAGAAGGCTGTCTACAAGACTGGAGATGAACATGCCTAAACGCCAACGCTATGCCGAAATGTGCAATCCCATTCACCCAGTACTTCCACGCGCGTAATTACTCTGCGCGGCCCCCAAGACCGCTTTTAATGCCTTCCAGCGCAACTCCCCAGTGACTTCCCAGGCCCTTGTCTTTGATGGCATCACTGTATCGGCCTGTGACGAGCTTGCGCATGAGAAGCGTGTCTTTGGCTCTCTTGAGCTTCTTGCCATCCTCCTTGGAAAGATACTCCTCGAACCACTCCTCTTCTGTCGCATCGAATGGCAAGCCGATCAACTCCGTTGCCCGAGCGGCAGTCTCGTCGTTGGGTGGAGAATCGAGGACGGACAACACCAATTGACGGAACAGCCGGCCCCGAACAGACTCGGAGTGCGTCCTTGAGTAGAAGAAGGCCTCGGTCACGCTGGCCCTAGCCATGGCGTTGAATAGCAACTCCAGTGCCTCGGGTGTCTTGAGAATCGGCTGGACCGTGTGGAAGTAGGAGAGAGGCAATGTGTCGTCGCCCTCAGGAGCATGGCGCACCAGCACGGTCATGATCTCGTCGGCGAAGTCGGTGGTAAGTGAAGGGTGCGCAATGTACTCGAGGGCTTTCTGTGAATTGGTTGTTAGCCGATGCAACTCCGCCAGCTGACTGCGGCCGTACCTCGAATTGTTGGTGATCCAACAGCCAAAGGCCCTTCATGAAGATCTGATAGTTCTTGGGGACACCGGAAGAGACCGCGAACTTGGATGATGCCTGCGCTCTAGTCTGACTGGTATCGAAATCGAGAAGGATGTAGTAGAAGATGGAGAGGCGGTGGTGCGTCGAGATGCCAGCTTCGCAGAGCTGCTGGTGGAGGTTGCGGAGGGCATTGTCGGACTTGGGAGGGTATGTCTTGGCTGCGATACACCGTCAGTAACCATGTAATACAAAGCTTCGACCAGCGTACATTTTGTGAGGCCCAGTGCCTTCAGGACGCGATCGATGAAGAGGGCGCCATCGAGGCTCTTGCGGAAGGTCTCGATCTCCTGAATAGACTTGCGGTCGTATGCAAACGTATGCGACCCAAAGACGTGGTCGAAGTTTGTGTAGTCGAACATGGCCATGGTGCTTCGCAGTTCTGGGACGATGCGACAGATTGGTGTTGACAACGGAGTAATTTTGAGTCTCTTGACTGCATTTGCCGCCCGTCTGAATGATTTACGCCGACAGCTCCAGCCACATTTTAATGGTCTTCCGCCACAGTCGCGTACCCGCGTCTCCGAATTTGGGTGTGAGCGGGGAAGGCGGTGTGGGAGGTGTGGCTTGTTTGTTTACACTCGGCCAGATTGGTGAGCAATTCAAACAAATCAAAGTGGGGGAACAAACAACACAATCACAATTCCGCTTTCCCACCAACCGCAACATTGCGATACCTTTGCCAGCAAAGTTGCTGTCGCTACTTTTCCTTCCTTTTTGGCCCTTGCGCTTTGGCTGTCAATTTGTTGATTGAGATACCCTCGTAAATACATACACATACACGTCTTTACAACGCTCTCTCGTTTTCGCAACACACAGACCTCAGCATGTCATCCCGACCGCGCCGTGCGACGCGCCGGCAGGCCATCGTCGACTCGTCCGACGATGAGGACGTCGCCAACACTACCGTCAAGGTCGAAGATGAAGAAGATTTCGAACCAGAGCCATCTCAAAGCCCAGTGCGACGACCAACTCGGTCGCGAAAGAGCGCCGCTGCATCAACTGCCGCATCTACCCCGACTCCCACGACAGCAGCACCGCGTAAGAGAGGTAGACCGAAGAAGAATGCCGAGGCTTCAGTGGTCGCAGACCAATCGACTGTCGAGCCTACGCCCAAGACCGAGGAGCCCGACAACACCACGGTCTTGCAAGATGCCCCTCTCGCAGACGAACCCGTTTCCACCATCGAACCGAGTGAAATGCTCGACGCCGACCAGACCGCTGCGACAGTCGAGCAGGAGAACACCCCCAAGAAGCCTTCGCCCACTCCCAGGAAACCGAGAAAGAGCGCCGCGCCGCGTGCCTCGAACAAGTCTGCAACGCCCGAGATGGCCACCCCTCTCTCGAAGCCTAAGCCATCGGGCTCGCCTCAGCGCGAGTCGTCACAGCGCCGTAGCGAGCCGCTGGCCGACATCACCAATGCTAGCGTCAACGAGCAAAGGTCCGCTGTCGACGAGACGCCAGAGACCCCGGCTACCGTCAAGCCTATTCGTGCCATGGACACAATCATGGAGAAGCCCATGGACATTGTGCTCAAGTCGCGAACTATGGCGGTCCCCGTCGTCGAGGACACGACTCCGAAGCCCCGCCTAGTCATCACATACCTGATCTTGACCAACTTCAAGAGTTACGCCGGGCGTCAGGAAGTCGGTCCTTTTCACGGCTCCTTCTCATCTGTCGTTGGCCCCAACGGATCTGGAAAGTCCAACGTTATCGACTCCCTGCTCTTCGTTTTTGGATTCCGCGCCAGCAAGATGCGTCAGGGCAAGCTATCTGCTCTGATCCACAACTCCGCCCAGTATCCTAATCTGGATCACTGTGAGGTCTCCGTGCACTTCCGGGAAGTCATGGACCAGGTAAGCTAGATGTTTGGACTTGTTCGGCACAGTGGCTAAGATATAGCAGCCCGGCGGCGGTCATGAAGTCATCCCTGACTCTGATCTCATCATCTCGCGAAAGGCTTTCAAAAACAACTCCAGCTCATACTTCATCAACGGAAAGAACTCCAACTTCACCACGGTGACGACCCTCCTGCGCGACCGCGGCATCGATCTCGACCACAAGCGATTCCTCATCTTGCAGGGTGAAGTCGAGTCCATTGCTCAGATGAAGCCCAAGGCTGCCAACGAGCACGATGACGGCCTTCTCGAGTACCTCGAGGACATCATCGGCACTTCCAAGTACAAAACACCAATCGAAGAGGCTGCGGCTGAAGTGGAAAGTCTCAATGAGACCTGCATGGAGAAGAGCGGCCGCGTCCAGCACGTGGAGAAGGAAAAGAACAGTCTCGAGGACAAGAAGAATAAGGCGTTGGCGTACATTCGCGACGAGAACGAGTTGACCATCAAGCAATCCGCTCTCTACCAACTTTACATCAGCGAGTGCAACGACAACGTCGCCGTCACCGAAGAGGCCATCAGTCAGATGCAAGCTCAGCTCGACGAAGAACTGGAGAAGCATCACGGCAGCGAGAAGGTCATCAAGGAGTTGCAGAAGGCGCACTCTCAAGTCAGCAAACAGCACGAGGCCGAATCCAAAAAGACCGAGGCCCTTGTTAAGGAGATGGCCAAGTTCGAACAGGAACGTGTCAAGTTCGACGAGAAGAAGAAGTTCCTCAACGACAAGCAGAAGAAGCTCGAAAAGACGATTGCCAATGCCGAGAAGAATGCGACTGAGGCCGAAGAAACGATTGTCGAGTGCGGCGAGGAGATTGAGAGCCGCGCCAAGGAGATTGCCTCTTTGGAAATCCGTGTCCAAGAAGAAGAGGCAGAGCTTGCGACCATACGCGAGGGCCTCAAAGGGAAAACTCAAAAGTTCTCTGACCAAATCGCCGTCAAGCAAAAGTCCCTCGAGCCCTGGAAGGAGAAGGTCAACCAGGTCCAGTCCGCAATCGCTGTTGCCGAGAGCGAGAAGACCATTCTCGAGGAGAAGGCTAACGCTGGTGCCGTGGCTATCTCTGAGACGGAAGCCAAGATCGCGGCCATCGAAGACCGTCGGGCGGCCAAAATGGAGGAGCTCAAGGAATGCCAGGCTGAGAAGGCCAAGCTGGAGCAAGAAGCAAAGGAGGTCGAACATGAGCTTACCCGCTTCAGTGCCCATGAGCCCAAGATCCGCTCCAAGGTGTCCAATGCCAGACAGAAGGCCGACGAAGCTCGCTCAAGTCTGTCTAAGACGCAGACTCAGGGCAACGTTCTGACTGCTTTGATGCGCATGAGGGAGTCTGGTCGTATCGATGGCTTTCACGGAAGACTCGGAAACCTGGGTGCCATTGACGAGAAGTACGACGTCGCCATCTCGACTGCTTGCGGTGCGCTCCACAACTTTGTCACCGATACGGTTGAGGCTGGTCAGCAGTGCATCGAGTACCTGCGAAAGACCAATTTGGGTCGTGGCAACTTCATGTGCTTGGACAAACTCAGAGTTCGAGACATGAACCCGATTCAGACGCCCGAGAATGCGCCTCGTCTCTTTGATCTAGTGAACCCCAAAGAAGAGAAGTTCCGCCCTGCCTTCTATCACGCCCTGCAAGATACTCTGGTTGCCAAAGACCTCGCTCAGGCGAACAGAATTGCCTACGGTGCCAAGAGATGGCGGGTGGTGACTCTGGCTGGAGAGCTTATCGACAAGTCCGGTACCATGTCCGGTGGTGGTAACACTGTCAAGAAGGGACTCATGTCTTCTAAGCTCGCTTCCGACACTACCAAGGAACAGGTTACCAAGCTTGAAGAGGACCGCGACGTGCTTGAAGAGAAGTATCAAGACTTCCAGGAGCAACAGAGAGAGCTCGAGAACAGGTTTCGCGATCTGAATGAGCAGATTCCGCAGCTCGACACCAAGATGCAAAAGATCAACCTCGAAATCGAGAGCGCTGCTAGGAATCTCGCAGACGCGCACCGCCGCATCAAGGAGTTGAGCAAGGAGCACCAGCCATCGGCATCAGACGACAAGCGCATTGCCGCTCTCAGCAAGGAAATTGCCAAGCTCAACAAGGAGCTCGAGAAACTCCACGACGAAACCTCCGGTGTCGAGGAGGAGATCAAGGCCCTGCAGGACAAGATTATGCAGGTTGGTGGTGAGAAGCTTCGTCTTCAGAAGGCAAACGTCGACGCTTTGAAGGAAGAGATTGCCTCGCAGAACGAAGAGACCTCCAACGCCGAGGTTCGCAAGGTTAAGGCCGAGAAGCAGAAGACGAAGCTCGAAAAGGACCACGCCAAGGCGACCAAGGAGCTTGAGGCTGCGATCCGTGACCTTGAGAAGCTGGAGAACGAGGTCGAGAACCAGGGCGAAAAGGCAGAAACATTCCAAGCTCAGGTCGACGAGGCCGAAGAGGGTTTGGCAGCGAAGAAGAGCGAGCTGTCATCCCTCAAGGCTGAGCTCGACGAGAAGACATCAGAGCTCAACGCCACACGTGCTCTTGAGATCGAGATGCGTAACAAGCTCGAGGAAAACACGAAGGTCCTGCAAGAGAACCAGAAGAGGCTCATGTACTGGAATGACAAACTCAACAAGCTCACGCTTCAGAACGTGGACGATCTTACTGGTCCATCCAATGCAGCTTCCAGGCGGACCCCTGCGCCCACGCCAAAGAAGGCACCTTCCGAGGGCGACGAAGACGAGGAGGGCGAAGAGAACGACGACACTGTTGTTCGGGCCGAAGCCGACCAATCTCTTCAGTCTGCCGTTGCCGATGAGGCTGACGAAGACGAAGAAGCCGAGGGCGATCAGCCTGCCACGCAGCCTTCAGAACTGCCAGTGTACACCCCAGACGAGCTGGCTGACATGAGCAAGGAGAAGCTCAAGGGCGAAATCGCCGCCTTGGAGGAGAAGACGCAAAACGTCAACGTGGATCTTGGTGTTCTTGCCGAGTACCGCCGCCGCGTTGACGAGCACGCCCAGAGATCATCTGACCTGCAGAACGCTGTTGGTCAGCGTGATGCTGCCAAGAAGCGCTGCGATGAACTCCGCCGCCTGCGTCTCGAAGGCTTCATGGAGGGTTTCAGCACCATTTCACTCCGGCTGAAGGAAATGTACCAGATGATCACCATGGGTGGTAACGCCGAGCTTGAGCTTGTCGATTCTCTCGACCCCTTCAGCGAAGGCATCCTCTTCAGTGTCATGCCTCCCAAGAAGTCATGGAAGAACATCAGCAACTTGTCCGGTGGTGAGAAGACGCTCAGCAGTTTGGCCCTGGTCTTCGCTCTGCATCACTACAAGCCGACGCCTCTGTACGTCATGGACGAGATTGACGCCGCGCTGGATTTCAGAAACGTAAGTCCAAGATATCGACCCCTTCGTACCCTCAGCTACGCTAACATTCGCCACTCCAGGTCTCGATCGTCGCAAACTACATCAAGGAGCGCACGAAGAACGCCCAATTCGTTGTCATCTCGCTCCGAAACAACATGTTTGAGCTGGCCGCCCGTCTTGTCGGCGTCTACAAAGTAAATCACATGACGAAGAGTGTGACGATCGAAAACCAGGACTACATCGTCCGCACCCGGCAGGTGCCCCCGGGTAGTCAGGCGACGCAGCAAACAGCAGCAGCAAGATAGAGAAAAGGGGGGATTTTGATTGATGAATGACGGCTCTTGTGTTTTTGGTTGGCATTTGTTTCTGTTTTATTCCCAACGACTAGCCTTGTCTTGGATTGGTCCTTGTGTGTCATGGGTATAATGACTGTACGAGAGGCGCTGGGTAGATGTAATGGATCGCACGAAATGAAATGGAGGCTTTTTGGTTGTCAGACGAAGCTTTTGGTCGTACGTGAGTGTAAAGATGTTGATCCTGGTCCGAGGAGTCGGTGAAAACCCCCTATAATGGTCGCGGACTGAGGGCTGTTTGGTCATACTCGCTCACGGTCAATGACCGAATTCGGTCGCACATCTCGGTTCTTATAAGACGCAAGCTCGGGAACATCACGTTCTACGTCGCACACCAGCTGCATGTGCGCATCCGAGACCATGGCCGACCGTCAAGATCATGCAGGTACCAACTTGACAGCGCCCAGCCGCAGGAACAGTCACGATCTTCTCGGCCAATATATCACGACCATCTATTTTCCCCGCGTCCTCGTTTCAGCCATCGGCCCTCGAAGTTGGAGCACGCCACCTCGTGAGAGGCGGCGTCACGTTGTTCTCACGTTGCTATTCGTCGACGAATGTTTTGACTCACTTGCCTCGCGCATCAGGGATTCAACCAAGCCCTTGCTGTGCGATGCCCTCGGTCCAACTTCGTGGTTCACCGAGGATGAGATCAGGCACGCCAGGGTTGAGGAAGCGAGAGAATGTGAGTACGAGCAGCGTCTCCAGTGAAGGTGTCTCGGAGGGCGTATTGATTCCTGACTCTCGGCAATGGAAGTCCCATCGTGGGATTTGCGAGAACGGGATTAGGAACAGGGGAGGATACCGGTATAAAGGTCTCGTTTGAGGGCAATGGATGCAGCTGTTCCTCACCGAGACCAGTGGCCGATGACAAGCTATCAACACTCGCTCAATCATTCGCTCTTACCATCCGGCTCTCGTGTTTCCCTACGTTCTTTTACTGCGATGCGTGTTTCGTTGGTGCTGGCGCTTGGCGCCGCGGTCACGGTCGCTGCGGAGGGCTGCCATGGTGATAACCTCCTCCGCGGCATGGAGCGGCACAATGCCAGCGCGTACTGTTCTTCGGTGCTGTTCACTGTATCTGCGACGACGACATTGACGATGCCTGACGGTGTGCCGACGGGGTCCGAGCCCGGGCCTATCTCTTCTGCTGTAAGTCGACTACCGTTGGACGTGAGTGTTTCTTCGCTGACGGATGCTAGTGTTCTTGTCTCTTGGGGATCGACTCGGCTGTCTCTCGCACGTCATGCCAGTCCAAGACAGCAAGCTGGACGGAGAGCCCGGGTTTCTCCACAGAGACCACGGCGACGGATGCTTCGTCGACAGTCGACTCTGATATTGTTGGCCGTCCTACCGCAACGAACTCCGACATTGGCGGTGGTTACTCTTTCTCTTTCCCCAACGGCCCCTTGACATCCACCACGGCTTCAACGTGTGGGTGGGCGGAGGCGACTACCACCGTCCAAGTGACCGAGACGAGCGTCGAGACGGTGTACGTTACCAGTTTACCAGCTACCGCAGGTCGTCCGCCACCTTCGAGTACTTCGGGTCTTTCTACAGTTGATGCCGAGGCCACCAGCTCCGATGCGTTTAGTGTCATTACTCTGTCAGGAGAGCCGAGCGGAACAGCTCCTGCGTGGGTTTCGACCGTCACTCTTAGTGGCGATTCGACTTTGGGCATACCGTTTCTCACGACGGTCACGAGCGGAAGCTCCACGATCGTGAGCACCATTACAGGAACTCCGTTGAGACCTCCTCAGGGCCGTCCTGTGACCACATTCACTCTGATCATCGGTAATACTGTCACAACTATCACCGGGGAGCTCCTTGACCCTTCGTCGCCGACATCGACGTTGCCCTCAAGCTCTCAGAGCTCGGACGCTTCGAAGTGGACTCTTTCGTCGATCTCGGGGTCAACTGAAAGTGCTCCTACGGTGACCACAACTCCACGACTGACTACCATCACAAGTGATGTTGGCAATGGAGTTTTATCAACCTGGATTGTGACGCTTACTGGCACTGGTGTCCCGTTTCCGAACACGACTTCGAGCACTGACGCGACAGGGACTCAAACTCAGAGTATTGAGGTCTCTGTTACGACCAGCCTGGCTGCTGGGGGAGCTACAACTATCTCGGTTATCGGAGGCTCGACTGTCCTGGAATCTGGAAATAGCAGCTTGCCAACCGCGAGTTCGACACCCTCGGACACCGTTTCTTCCGGATTCAGCGTCATTACGACTACCGTCAGTGGTCAGGCGACCACAATCACTGCAGCTGGAAATTCGACAGTGTGGTCTGCTACCAGTTCTTCAATCACTTCGAGTCCGACTGCGTCTGGATTGATCTCTTCGGGGTTCACAATCATTTCGACAGTGATTGGAGGAATTGCCACAACTTTCACTCTTAGTGATGGATTCACGTTGACCCCAGAGTCTCAGAGTCCGACAAGTACCCTTACAACAAGCACGTCAGAGGCTTCGTCTCCAGTATCTACAGTCATCACGAGCGTCATTGGCGGCATTGTAATGACACTCACTGTTATTGGCGGATCAACCGTTACCCCTTCCACTGCTAGTAGCACAACAACATCTACGACAAGCCCTTCAGAGACCTTGCCTCCTGGCTTCTCAGTCATCACGAGTACTGTCAACGGCGCTGCTACGATTATTACGGTCTCCGGCAACTCAACGTTATCCCCTTCTTCAAGCACAACCCTGACAGCCAGTCCGATTGTTACTGGTAGTATCACCGTCATTACCAGTCTTATCAACGGCGCTCCTTCGACGTGGACTGTGTCCGACGGGTCCACTCTAGTTGCCTCGAACACTACCAGTTCGACGCCGTCTAGTAACATCACTTCCGCTACATCTACTCCGACGGATGGGGTTGTCGTGATTACCGGTGTCATAAGTGGTCAAGCCTCAACATGGACGGTCTCGGATGGCATTACGCTAGGGATTCCTTCTTCCAACACAACGTCCTCGACGCCTACTCCAACTACTGGAATCGTGACAGTTACCACCATCATTGGAGGAGCTGTGAGCACTTTCACGGTGTCTGACGGAGTTACTCTAGGAGGAACGAATAGCAGCACATCTACTTCGCCAACGCCAACTGAAGAAATCATCACAGTCACGACAGTAATCAACGGTGAACCTTCAACTTGGATCGTCTCAGATGGTATCACCTTCAGCCCAATCACGAGCACGACTTCTCCACCTCCGACGGCGACTGGGGTGACTGTCATCACAAGTACAATTAGCGGCCAGCCGACGATATGGACCATCTCCAACGGCTCGACCTTATCCGAGCCTGGGGTTTCTAACGCCACATCTACCCAAACCCCAACTCCGACTGTAGGTTTCACAGTTATCACTACCGTGATCAATGGTGTCGCATCAACCTGGACGATTTCAGATGGCGTGACCATCTCCGGCACATCGACTCCCGCTCCAACTGCAACAGGTGTGATCACCGTTATCAGCAGTGTCATCGGTGGCGGGGCGTCGACTTGGGTAGTCTCGAACGGAGTGACACTTCCCGCATCTTCCAACTCCACGGCTGCGAGTCCCACCCCCGTAGTCCAAGTTACAGTAATCACAAGTTCTATCAACGGCGCAGCATCAACATGGACCGTATCAAACGGATCAACTCTCACCGGCAGTCCAACTTCCACCAGCACCCCCACGCCGACGGGTAATGTAATTACTTTGACGAGCACTGCGTTCGATGGCAGTGTTTCGATCTGGACCATCACTGGCGGTGTCGCATCAACTACGTCTTTGAATACAACCTCTTCCACCCCAACATCAAGCACTACTTCCACCGCAGCGTCATCTACTTCATCGGGCTTCGACTCGGCCTTTACCGGGATCACCGTCGTAGCAGCACAGAGCGCGACGACATGCTACTCACTACCGGTTCCGACAGAGTCTCTACATGAGTCTCTCCTAGATAACGAAGGCCGGGAACCACCGTACGTCGATGCATTCTACTTCAATGAGACCACCAGCGCGGTTCAATACCTTCGTCTCGTCAACACCTCTTCGGACCCCATTCTTCTAGATGTTTCCGATCCGTCGAGACTGGCTATCGTTGACAAGGACGGCGATGTTCTCCTCATTGATAGCCAAGGCCTACATTTCACCTCCGCCAGGTGCTCACCAAAGATTGACATCTTCATCTCTGGATTCTTCGAGCAGCTTGACACCCTGACAAACTCAACTTGTGGTGGTCAGTCAAGCATCTCAGCCAGCGGCACACAGGATTTGACCGCAGCAGGCTCGCAAGAGAAACGACAAGTGAGGGCTTTCGATGTCCTTCTCCGCCTGAAAGACCAGTGCGGAGACCCCGCTCGAGCGAATCTTCCTGTCGCTGTGGCCTTGGGTGAGAGCCAATGCGTGGTGTCCCCGAGGGATCCAGGCGACTTCCTTGCAACTTGCGCTTTCCCTGGAGGTGAGAGGTCGTCGGCTGAATGCGAGACCTCGGTTCAACAGACGCTCGAACGTCTCACACAGGGCTCTTTTGCTGGAACATGTTCATCCTTTACGTCTGTCTGGACTCTCCTCTTCCAGCAGTTGAGCAACGTCATTGATATCGACCAGCTCCTCAAGCCATTCGTCGACGCTGGTCTGGACGTTGACACGGACACTGGCAGAAGCATTCTCTCCAACATCGACAGCTACTTGGACCTGTTCGATTACTCCACCTCGACGTTCAAGAACTCGACATCTCAAGCTGGGTCAGGTCTGGGAGATATGATCGAAGGTTACGGCGTAACAACCATCCAAACACAAGTTTGCCGTTCCCTTCTCAATCAGGATGCCTTCAACCTCACATTCACTGCGGGCTTGTCAACCACCCCGTCTCTTCTCGCAGAGGTCTCAACAATCCCTTCCCCAACGCCCGAGTATGAGCGGAACGTCACCGACCCAACCGGTGTTGCATGCTGC